TGTGCTCAAGGGAAAGACAACTGCAGTATCCATGCCTCGTGCAACAACACCAATGGGTCTTTCAAATGTACTTGTTATATTGGCTTTACTGGAGATGGAGTGACATGTACAGGTATTTTTAAATAATATTTTATTTAATGATGGTATAGTTTTATATAGGAAGTGAGTCATTGATATTCCAAATGTGTTTGACACAAACAAGTGTAGCTAAAGTTTTTAAAGATTAGGCAGAACTAGAATTAGCTCCCGAGGTAACAAGATTGACCTGATTAAGTAATTTACAATTAGGGGTAATTATTGGTTTCCTTTAAACAACTGTTTTAAACTTTGCACATGAATGGGGCCTGTTTTTTACTCACCCTGAACTTTAATTTGTAAGATTTTATTTCATTGGTTAATTTTATGACACATATAAGTCATTCTTTGTTCTTGCTTTCGTCCACATTCTAATATCAGATTTATATGCTTTTTAACAAGGTGGAAGTTCGGCATACATTTTTCAGACTAAACAAATCAGAATACCAAAATTTTTACTACTTCATGTAAAATAGTAAATAATGTACATTTTTGCCGAAGAAGTGTAAATTTATGCATTTTGATTGGGTAGCTGGGAATATAAAACAAACTCGCTGATTGGTCTGAAACGAAATTCTACTTGTTGTGCTATTTCGATATAGATATCGACGAGTGCAACTTGAAACGTGATAATTGTTCCAATACTAATGCGACATGTATGAATTCTCCTGGTTCTTTTATTTGTACTTGTGAAAGTGGATACAGCGGGAATGGCAAATTTTGTAGAGGTATAATTATGTGACAATTTTTCTTCTTATTGCAAAATTTTTGTTACGTTAGGTTTAATTTCAGCATCACTCGTGCAAGCTGTCGCGTTGCATCGGACGCGTGGAATTCATGTTTTCTGGACAAAAAATTACTCTTTTAGGAATTTCAGAAAACAGAGATATACGTTGAATGAAGTGTCGTGGGACTACACGCATCACAATTACATCAATATAGGGAAATTGGGAATATGATGAGCATATCTTTTCTAAATTTTTCATTAAAAATTTTTAGATATTGATGAATGTGCCGTGGGAACAGACAATTGTAGTAAACAAGCATCATGTGTTAATGTCAATGGGTCGTTCAACTGTTTGTGCAACGTCGGCTATACTGGGAATGGTGTAACATGTACAGGTATGATATAAGAAATCAACAACTGTCGCTCTGCTGAAAAATTAAATTAAAATAATCTGTGTTGAGTACACATTATGGATCCATACCAGTGACAAATCAAGCGTGGGGCTGAATAAATTAACACAGCTCTTGCAATCCCATTGGTTGATTTATCTTTAAAAATATTCTTTAGAAATGTAGAACAAAAAGCGTTGCTATTAAAGTGTCTTAAATTTAAGATTTAGCCTCGCCCTATAGCTTGATCCGTCACTTATCCATATATGGATCAGTATACTGATCAGCGTAACGCTTTTCGACCGTCCCTAGTTATGCATATCGCTATCCCACTTGCTCCTCAAGAAAACAACGCTATTCTCCGCTGTTGCTGTTCATTATGAATTTACATGTGCTTTCCGCTGTTCCTGTTCAATTATGAATTTACATGTGCTTTCTCCTTTAGATATTAATGAATGTGTTGATACACTTGACGTTTGTGGTAATTCCAATGCCACTTGTGCGAATACTCCGGGTTCATACGTTTGTTCTTGTGCAATTGGATACAGCGGAGATGGCATCTTTTGTAGCGGTTTGTAAATTCCAATCATAAAAAACTTAGCTATTTGTATGGCATATTTAACAACTAGTTAACAAGGTTGAACACGATATGAAGAATTCAAGCCAAAATATTTCTTAATCGAAGTTTGATAATTCTTCACATCATGTAAAATCCGAATGTAATAATTGTTTTATTGTTTATTTAGCGGGCGAATATGTTTGAATATTGAAGTGATTCTCTGGTCACAAAAGTGACCTGCTATTCTATTTTGTTACACGCGATATAAGAAGCCTGAAGTAACAGAAATGTAACGTGTGTGACCAGAGAATCGCCCATTAATTTATTCATTTGCATTTGTGTCAGATTCACAATCTCGTTCTCTTAGGACGTTGATGCCTTGGCAACGATGTGACGTCATAAGGATTATTTATCGCACGTTATGACGTCATATAGCGCGCAAAAAAGCCGAATGCCACGTTAAGCCGGTTTTCCACTAGCGATATTTTTCGCGCGAAGCGACATTTTACTTTTGTTTCAGAGCTCTCAACTGCAACCATCTGGAACAAATTGCTCAAATACAAAGGAATAAAGTCGCTTCGCGCGAAAAATATCGCTAGTGGAAAACCGGCTGTAGGAAGTCACTCGTTGAACGTAACAATCTCACTTAAAGCTATATATCAGTCAATCAAAAGACCGTCAATTTCTTTAAAAAAATAATATTTTTTATACCGAATAGGGAAAAATATTGAAATTTCCATTAGCTAAATGACATATAAAACTAGTAAATTACACTTTCAGATATTGATGAGTGCAGAATAGGAAAGAATACTTGCAATTCAAAAGCTTCTTGTGTCAATACGGATGGGTCGTTTCGTTGTTTATGTAACACAGGATATACAGGAAACGGGCTAAATTGTACAGGTATATAAATAATAAATTATCTACCTTAATTAATAAAAAATTACCCATGCACGAAAAAGCTAACTTCTTTCTGAAGTTTTGTGGCCACATAATGAATACTGTAGTGATAACCTACTACAGTGCACTCAAAGAGATCTTTTAAAAGTTTTATATTTGTTTTTTAATTTACCAAGGCTTGCCAAGGCTAGTTGAATGAACATGGATTAAACTTAGAGTATAGTTAAAAGAAAATAATTTTTCTTTATTTCCAAACATCAACGAATGTGTTCTTACATCAGATATTTGTGCTAATTTAAACGCAGTTTGTTTAAATATTCCTGGTTCATATATTTGTTCTTGCACAATTAGTTACAATATAAAAGGCACCACAACTGTCGGTACACTTCGATCTTAAAAAGTCATCCTGTGATTTTTTTTAATGATACAAAACTCGTAGAAAATTTCTAGTGGAATTTATAACTGGATCTGATTAGATGACTGAGTTATAATAATTAATTATTATAAATATTAATGCGCGTAATTACGCGCAAATTAACATTTATATATGAGTTAACCATCATTAATAACTAGTAAATGCCACAAATAGATATTGATGAATGCAAAAAGGGAAATGAAACTTGCAATTCACGAGCTTCTTGTATCAACACGGATGGGTCATTTCGCTGTTTATGCGACAGTGGATATACCGGGAATGGAGTGAATTGCACAGGTAATGTAATATTTATTTAATTATTTTTGGTGAAAAAGACATTTAAGGGTAAACCAAACCCGTATAAGTGCGATTGGAAAGCAAAAAACATGGCGAATTGTTTCGTCCTGACGTTAGAAAAAATGGTAATGGTAATTACCAACCGCAACCGCGATACAATGCTTCCTACAATGCTCCGGCTTTTGCCAAGTTTGGCTGCAAAATATCAATTTTTGTATACTTTCACATTTTTTTATATACTTTCATATTACGTACAGAAATGTATAACTAATTTATGTACACATTTTCAGCCACAATTTTTCAAACTTTTCGAGATTCCTATATCTGTCTATAACTGGCAATTAATAATGACCCATCCATTCACTTGGACCGTTCTCCCCATAAAGGCCATAGTGGACCTCTTTTCTAAGGAAATTTCCTTAGAAATGGAAACATTGTAATACAAATTATACAAGTTATCTACATTTGCGAAGTGGGAAAACCATAATTATGTGTTGTTAACTTTTTGTTTTGAATCTATAGTCTTTTACTGTTTGACTTTTATAATTTTTTTTTATTCTATTGCTTGACGGGAATTGAGCGCGTGCTTTTTCTTCACCGACAAGTGTAGCCACACCAATCATAATAATACCACGAGGTTAAAAATGGCGGATGTTGTTTTCACACGTCGTACTATTGTCACGACATTATTTACAATTTAGCTTTGTAATACGTTATTTTAATGTTATGTTTTGACAGATATTGACGAATGTCTCATACGATATAACAACAGTTGTCCTCATTCGAATACAATTTGTTTAAATACTCGCGGTTCGTTCTTTTGCGGCTGTTCAATCGGATACTCTGGGGATGGTGTTATTTGCAATGGTATGCTCTTCTCCTACAATTACAAATTGCAATATTTTGCATTTTTCTGGCGCTCAATTTAAGTCGTTTAAGCTAAAGCAATATACAATTATATTGTGAAAATCTATCTACCAAAAGGAAATTGTGAAAGTTTTGCAACTTCCCTCGAATGAAAATCTCGCAAAATCTAACAACTTTGAATAGGTTTTTAGATTTGAATTTTTCCACAACACCAGATTTTCAATTAGAATATTGAAAACGAGGTGGATAGTGGACCTATATAAAACAGTATAACAACAATGAAATGATAATTTTCATTTCAATAAAATCTCGATACTCACAAGCAACTCTGGTATAGCACTGGATATTGAATGTTATATACAATATCCAGCGGATAAGTATATGACTTATCACAACCTTTTAACCTTAGACAACTCCACAACAGATTCAAGTAACACCACTTACCCTGTCGTCATGCAGTGACAATTCATTCATAGCAGATGCTTTCCAAGTACCATAATTATATGATTTTGCTCTTTTTTATGCTAAATATCGCGGAGGGAGGATGTGTAGTTCTGAATATAAAAAATATACTAATCAGTTACCAGTGACAGGTTTGGTTTCATTATATTGATTTGCTAATAAGAATTTGGGCCGGGTTCTCTTTAACAACGTTTATCTCTCTCACGCAGGCATGAGTCTATACACTGTAGATCTCGAAGTGACATGTTTAGGTAATATTTGAACCACGTTTTGCTGTTATTTTTCTTCGTCTCACATACTATTTTTTTTCTATTCTAAAATGTCACAAATGCAACGAAACTGTTTGGAGGATGGATCAATATGGGAGTCAGATATGGAAAAACTATATATATAGAAAGGTAATGGTAAAGGTGAAAACGAAGTTACATTATTTTAGTATAGGCAATGGTATATTTTCTGATGAATGTTTTTCCGTATTTGCACGAGAAACTACAATAGCTATTAATTCTTATTAATATGGACAAAAAAATTACCGAGCGCGAAGTCTTTACCAAGGAATTTCGGACGATTTCTTTTTGAACAGATCGATTTCGAAGAGCGAGGTTTGTGCAAAAAAGATCGAGGTCCGATATTTCCCGGTAAACACCGAGAAAGCGAGGTTAAAAGTTAAAAGTTTATTATATGGCATAAGACATATATTTGCACTTAATTGAAACAAACAAGGAATGCATGAATTCGTATTAGTAGCCTTAATTGTACGCATTTGATATAAACAAAAACAAAATATTGAATTATTTAGTTTACTTAAACTGTCTGGAGACGTCTTATTCAATTCGAGAGCAATTAAATTTTCTTTTGAGCATTTATTTGCGCCTTTTTCATTCAAAATTTCTTTTTTTTTATCTCGTAATGGATCGCCGGTAACATTACGGGAAAGTAATGGACCGATGAAAATTCTCCTGAGCCAATCATTGAGCTCTATCTCACCGAAAGTCACGCTTGTTATATAATAAATTGTTGATGCATATGCGAAGAGATGAGTGAAACAACAATTAGATATTACAGACAGTGCAATTTTAAATTGAGTTGCACTCTTAATTATTTAGCCAAGCGGAATAAAAATCTATTTATCGCTCTTTCGCTGCGATCGCAACCTGCTGAGAAATCGCTATTTCGCTGCAAATTTAAATGAAGATTCCTTCTGTTTTTGTAAGTGTTATAATAACGAACTCGGACACATTCAGCTGTGTAAATTACAGGCATTTTGTATGAAATACAAATGACTTTTTCCACCATCATGTGCAACAGGCTTCACGACTTTCGTCTGTTTTTACGTGTAACATACTGTATAGTTGATATTAATCCTTAATTCTTTAGATTTGTGTGTTCAATGAAAAGCTATTCAAAGTTAATTTGATTTTAGAAAAACCAGGAGTGTCAATTATTTGTTCAGGGAAAATAACAGCTATTCGAAGTGATAGAATTTTAACATGTGATATAGAATTTTATGCAGTGATAGAATTTTATGCAAGCAAATCATCCGTCTAGTTTAGGCTAATTTAGTATAAAAATCTAGTAAAATTCGGTCACTGTGAAGAAAGAGAACCAATCAGTTCGCAACGAATTAAGAAAAGATGACAATGAGCCATTTAAGTGCGTCGCCCAAAGTAGCAAGTTGTGACCCCAAAAATGCTTTAAATTATCCGTTTTGTGTAAGTATTAATCAGTATATGATTTATATCGCAGGTAGCTTCTAGGAATTAACGTTTATACTGAAAATTATCATTTTATTATGCGCATGATAATTAATTTTAGGGATTAATATAGGAATAATTAAAATCTGCATGATTTTCTCCCTGATTTTTGGAAAGAAAAAGTTCATTTGCATATAATTATTATTCCCATGCATCTATTTCCTGTTTTTAATTATACAAGTAGCTAGCTACTTGTGATCACGACTTATCGCCTTCGTCTTTGCTTTAGCCTATAATATCGTTATATTAAACTCCAATCAACGGCAGGATGTCGTGGCTACTTTATCGACACTTGATCTTCCTTGGTTTATCTTTGCTGAAATTTGAAGGTAAAAATGATTTTGTTTTATTAACCTTTCATATAATAGCAAGACCTTATGAGGAATTAGCAATATGGTGCCTTTACGAGACAAGATCTTCAATTATGTGCATGTGCATGAGGACTTCTGAAAAATTTCCTATTGCTAAGAACAGTGAAACAAACTTTAAATATCTCCATTTTGCAAATCTAAGACGAGTTTTGTTTCTAAATTATAATAATGGGGTCCCATAGGCTTCATCAAATCGACACTTCGCATTTTAGATTAATCTCCTCTTAAACTCCGAGAGATGCAACAGTAAACCACTGCGGCTAAAAAAGAGAATACTAAAATAAATACACTGCAAAGTTTCATTATAAAATGTTGTAAAATGCGGAAATGTGCTCTTACTTATTTCGTATACTCTTGTATTGGTTGCATGTATGCAATGACATGATTGAAATATTTCAGTTGACGGGCGGATGCAACAGGAAAGCAGATATTGAGTTTTCACCAAGTGTATAGAGGCAAAAGCTAATACGGATTGCTGCACATGTGCACTTTAAAGTTCTTTGGTTTTCCTTTAAAGGAAATGAAGCGCCTCGAAGTTGTTTTATTGTCAGCAACTGGCAGGAAAACTGACTCCAAACAAGAAATTCGGTGCAGAAATTTTTACTATTTCGACCGAAATTTTTTAAGAATTTCCTTGCACGCTTGAAGAGTTTGTAAATCGTCGAGTTCTCGTTAGTAATAGTAGTGCATTTTACATATCTTTTCGTGTGAACATGCTTACGGCTTACATTGCGAAGAACAAAAGTCTATAACTATTATTATTAATTGAAGCCCGTTTCAGACGTCAAACTTTTGATGTGCCGAAATGATAGAAGACAGAGCAATTCTTTGTATGCAAATATTATATATTATACAAGTATTATATGCATGTAAATACGTGCGTTATGGTATATTTCTTTTTCTTTTACAAACACAGCTTTGAGGCGTGAGTGAACTAAAGCGATGATTTAATTTAAATCCGTAATTTTTCCTTGCAGCTTGACAATGCATGCAGCTAAAAATAATAAGTCATACATTGAACTTCTGCGTTCGAATTAAATTGAAAGTAATTCTATAACTATATACCTCATGCCCGGCTCTTGTTTTTAAGTGTTTGCTTGCATTTTTCGAAAATATTACCTTATTATTGTAAGAGGTAACAAGGGGCTATTTTAAACATTCTAATAAGCGAAAAACGATTTAGACTATGTTAAATCACAGTTAATAGAATATACATGGTTTGGAGACTAAATAAAAGTACAATACAACTCATTAACTATGTTATTGTCCACGTTTATGCAAAAAATGGTTCCTTTCTCGTCACATGTCTATTGTATTTTAGCCAAACGTACCAATGGCATTCGTCTTGCTAAGCTCATCAACCTTGACTTGAAAAATATGTTAATTATAAGATTGCTATTGGTTTATCTGTGCAAAATACAATAGACATGTGATGAGAAAGGTACAATTTTTTGCATAAATGTACCTCAACATAGTTAATAAGTTGTATTGTAGTATTATAGGGTCTCCAAACCATGTAATTATATTCTATTAACTGTTGTTAAATATGTCTACGTAAATATGTCTACATATATTTTATTTCGCCATTATTTAATCAAATTAGGACCGAAAAAATCTAACACGATTTACAAGTTATATTCTGTTTACTTAATAGCGATCGACGTCTCGAGGAGATAATGATAGGCTCTCTTGTGTTGTATAGGTCTGATATTCAATCTTTTTCGATGCAATAAAAAGCAAAATATCATGAATATTTAGGATGCGGGGTTTTTTTATACACCCTGTATGATTATTATGATTATAGATTTAACATATTTTTAAGTCAATACTTTTGTTCGGTTTTCATTGCTTTCAATTTCAATGTTTCATCAAGGATATAAAAGCATGCAAGGGGAGGGGAGAGACAAGAGTTGAGAAAATGTATCTCCATATTGTCCTGTCTATCTTCCTTCAAATTTTAATTAATGAGATTTGTCATTAAAAATAAGACAAAACGAAATAACAAACTGTGCTGTAATATAGTCAGCGCCGTAGCTATAGATTGCTTTACTTGTATTGCTTAACTTGTATTTCGATTGGGTCGACAATGCTTTGTACAACAAGCCACAGATGCAAGAGCAAGATAAAAGCTCAGCGAAATTTTCTTCCGAACACTGGCGTTTGATCGACTGGTCGTGATTTATATGTTAAACGTTTAAGTTACGGATAAATTTTTTTGGGGGTTTGATGTTAAACATGAGATAAAGCCCCGTCTACACGATGCCGGAAGAATTTAAAAACGCACGAATATTTTTACGTCCACACGTATCCGGCGTTTTCGCCCGCTGAAAATGAAAGAATCTGAAAACGCTTTCCCGAGTGGAGGGCCTTGAAACGACGGCTGATCAGATACGTGTGGGCGGCTTTGCCGGATAAATTTGAAAACGATGACGTCACTTATCGTATTAATGAGGCTTGTTTCAAGTCTTGTAGCTTATGTTCAACTTTATAATTATTGTTATATTAGCGTGAAATAAGTCTTATTTAGATTATCTTCATGGTGAGTGATCATGAAATCTTCGCCAACCCTTTTATCATTTGTAGAAATATTAATTTTTACGCGAGAAACATATCGTTTGTCCAAACAAAGTTCTCATGCATTCTTCTGTTTGCTTTGGATTTGGTAGATTTTTTTTTAATTCGACATCACATGTGTGACACGCGGGTGGAAAATATGAAGGTGTACTGCGAGATCAAATAACTCTAGCGTTAGTGTGGATGCATGCGGATAAATATTTTAACGGGGAAATATTTTTGCCTTTTTTTCGGCATGGTTACAAAAGTGATAACCAACAGAGCAAAATTTAGTGTGGCCGCCTTGTTGTTTGTCGTAGGTTGTCGTAGTATTGTTTCCCACTATTGTTTTGCCAGCTCCCTAAACTTGAATTCAGAGTCAATTCCAAGACAGTCAGATATTTCAAACATCGGCTCTTAGCCAGATAAATTTCCTTGGTTTGTATCTGGCTTTGAGGAGCTATATACGTTCAAACGGGATTTTACGAATTTGGAAGCGTACCCAAATTCGTCTGGTTCAGGTATTCACACGGTGGAAATATTATGAAACTCTAACTGGTTCTTTGTGTTCTTATCAGGAAACCGGACAAATTGAAGCACGATATCAAGTTCGTCCGTTCCCGTGTAAACGTAGCCTATAAAATGAGATGTGAGGGAATAATATATAAATAATAAATATCAAGGAAATATATTACCTGTCTTTCCATCTTTTTTTCACCCACAGATTTGGTTTTATGTTTTATTGTCCCTGTGCATGTATAGAGTATTTAGCAAAAGAGATGATATCGTCATCGACTAATCAAAGCAATGTTTTAAATGTGCAAACTGATCCAAAATGTTGTGCAGAATTAGCACAAATAAGAGTAAATAAGATTTTCTTCACTTTTATCGAAAAGTCTCGACTGTTTTACTGAGAATTTATACTGGTTCCATAACTCGTATTAATTTTTTAAAAAGTGTACAATTGTCTAAATTGAAATTGCTGATATTCTGTTGCCAGGTTGTGAAGGATTTTTTCTGAGACATACTCTGTCTGGAAAGTGCATTTCTGCAGAAGAACTGTTTTTAATTACTTCCGCGGGCACACGTTATTGGGCTGAATTGGTTGACGACTGTTTGAGTAAAAATGCATCATTTCGTTACCTTCAGAACAAACTTATGCAAAATATTGGCACAGGAGGAAACCTTGTGACTTCTGATAGTCCTATATATCAAAACCGTTTGTTCGTATTCGGCGGTAAAAGTAGCTCCGGAAAAATATATATGAACAGTCCTACTTACCGTTTAAAACAAACCAATGCTGGAACGCTATATTTTTACGACAAAATCAGGAACTCATGTGCTCAGCCTGATGCGAGAAGAAAATATATTGATGAAAAAAAGAATGGATGCAGGGATGCAGAGGAACAAAGATTTACTTTTGGTAAGAAAAAATTTGGTAAAGATTTTTTTTCGGTATTGTGATTTAACGTTTCCACCAATTTTGGTACAAACCCAAACGAAGGGATTTGGGGACTTGTCCCCTATCATTTAAAGGAGTGGAAGCGAGTCAGGTACTGAGTGAACGGAGCGTAGAAATGCATAAAAAATCCTGGTTTGACTGGTCTAGCTGTATTAAACAAAGCTTACCAAGACGACGCCTTATCGGCTTGTTTTATTCCGCACTCTCCCGAATAAATAAATCCACTTAAATAGGATATATATATTTGTTGTTGAGGCAAATTTTTGACAAGAAAAAACCGATTTATTTCAGTTCAATCCAAAGTTATTTCATGTCACAAAAGTTATTGATCACTAACGTAAAGAAACGTTTTTTTCTTTCAGGTTCAGTGACACAGTATGGTACGAAGATGAAAGATGTTCATTGTTCTTCCATACAACATATGGTGTTTACGAATGCCCGCTATGGAGACTTTAATACGAATGGCAAGTTTGATGGCGCGGCAAGCAGTGAAGCCGAGTGTAATGCTGTAGCAAATTGTAAGGTTAAATCTCTTTGTAGTGGAATTAAGAACAGGTCTTGTGACCTGACCATTGACAACAGTTTCCTGCCACAATCCCTTTGTTCTGATCCTACAAAAGAACTTTTCACCGAATACACCTGTGTGGATAATTATATTGAAGCAATAACAACAGGTGATGACTTCTACAATCGCCTACTTACTTAAAATTAGTTTTGGGTTTTTTGGGGACACCCTCTATATAGTGAAAAAACCCCAAAACTACTGAAATCATGCACCTGTTGTGAAATTGTCAATCAACATTATAGAATTTGAGTGATTTGACCGTACAAATTTTAGTTATAAGTGAATTTCCAATTAAAACATTCTGTTCTAGCGCGTAACATACGGTTAAAGAATTTACCCAACGGAGGACGTCTTCAAATAAAAGATGGTTCAAGTTGGAGATATGTTAGAGAAGATAATTGGGATAAAAAACGTCAGAAAATGCTGTGTCAGCACTTGGGGTTTGTTGAAACTACCGAAAATAATATTATGAGAAGAAGAATGAGATTTCTCGGTGGACTTAAGATTGCATCAGGGGACTTGATATGTTACCGCAGACACTCAAAAGGAACATCATGTTGTGCTCATCTTGTTCTCTCAACAACCAGGTCATTTGTTTCTGTGCCATATGTTAAATGTGAGTACATCGAGATTCACACCAGTCAGCAGGGTGGGGGGACAGGGAACAGAGAGGCATGGCGTAGGCGTGAGCTAGTTTTGTATGGTGTATGGCCATGGGTTTTTGGCAGGTCGGACAAAGCGATAAACTTCTTTTTAAATTCAGCCCTCTTCCCCTCCCTTTTATGCACTATATCTGCAAAGTTATTTGCACTATATAATTATATGCATACGACAGCTAATATATTACATTGATCAGATCGTCAAACCTAAGGATCATTATAACGTCATTCTGAATCACTTTCGGGGTTTTGGCCGTGCTATCTCTTTTCGTGATAATTTAATATAACTGTGAAGCAAGCTACACAAACATTATATTATTAATAAATGTGGAAAAAACACCCAAAAATGTCGGAATGATAAAACGAATACAGGTCATGATCATGAATAGTAATATTGTTTTATTTTTTTATGATTTAATTTCTATATAGGTAAGATGTGCAATGAACCAGAGTTACTCCAAAACCGAACAACTTTTCCTGATTCCGTTTTCTCTGGGAGTGGTTCTCATTCTTTCATGAACGCAAGATTTGATAGAAGTGGTTGGTGTACCGAAATTAACAGACCAAAGTATCTTTTGATTGATCTTCAGAAAGAATATCACATAACCCGAGTCGTGACAATGGGTAATAAAGACCAGACCAAATGGATTGGTCAGTACATAATGGCATACAGCTTTGATAACAGTTTTAGGCACGCAAGACAGGTAAAATTTAAAATGTGTGAGCATCCATATAATTTATGCAACAACAATCCAGCGACCTGAGATCACACTGCAGAAACTATATGATTCCTGTTTTATTGATAATCGAAAAAGCGTTATGCTTCTACCATGTACATTGTATACTGCAGCTATGATTTTAATCTGATAGCTAATATAGCCGTCTATTTCGTCCGCTTGTTTACAAACGAAGAAGTATAAAGAAATAAACGAGGAACTTATATAATTATATGATCATACCAACTATATATAGTACTTAAGTGTTATTCAGTATATTACTGCATGTATTCACTACTGAAAATGGCTGGCAAACACGATGTGTTAAGACATTAAAAAATTAAATTCTCTTCCATTTTTAGATGACTGGAAACACAAACGGCTTTCAAGCATTAATTACACGTTTTAATATTTACAACGTGAGGCATATAAAGATACAATCGAATAGGAAAACAGATTTTTGTTTACGAATAGAACTCTGTGGAAAAGGTGAGATCATACAGCAGCTATTATATTGAAACGGTTTTAAACGACTAAGTAAAATTAATCATAACTATAAAACGTATTATCTTGAAAATCTATTAATATATTAAAAGGATTATGAAACCTTCATATAGTTTTATGGTTCTTATACTGTACTGTCCAGTAATAACCTAACAAAAACCGCGGTAACCTAGGTCAAACCTCGGTCTGATCGCGGTTCAACCGAGGTCAGCTGAGGTCGAACCGCTGTGAGACCGAGGTTAGTGAACGTCTATCGAAACACGGTCTGACTTTGACAGACGTTTGATGTTTTCGATTTGATTATTGTGCTGTCGTTCTCAGCAGTTCATATTTTCGATTTGATTATTGTGTTGTCGTTCTCAGCAGTTCATAATATTCTGTTCGGAAGCGCATGGCAACCACAATCGTATTTTCCCCTTGCGGTCGTCTGCCGTTTCAATCGGTTGACCGCAACCGAACCACAACCTAACGGAAACCGAACCGCAATCACAGTTTTATATTAGCTTATTTCTGGGGAGTACCGCAGTTTTAATAGTTGAAGAGGTTGCATAAAAGTTGTTAGAAGGTAAAAGAAATGCAATTCGACGCTAGCTATATCGAGTGCATGAAAATATGCATGATAAATACATACAACAATCCTGCATGTACGCTAAATCATCTTTTAAAAAAACGCTTTCCTAAACATTCTAGTTCAAATGCCAGCACCTGTGAAAGATGTTATAATTAAAGTTGAAGGAAATTCAGCCAAAGTGAGATTGGACATAGAAAGATCAGCATCAGCTTCGAGTTACATCATAAAGCTCAATGTATATCTTAATGGCGAAAAACACCAGACTGTAACTCGGCGACAATCCTTTGGTAACTTCAGCATTATTGGACTCACACCGAACACTATTTATTATGTTGGAATTGAGACGGAAGATGGTTCTTTCCTAAAGAGCAGCAGGGTTTCTACAGTGATTAAGACGAAAACAGGTATAAATATCCTCCAACTCCAGCGCTATACGTCCATGGCAGTAAAATTATAAATAGTCAAACGGACTTTCCTCATTGACCATTGATTTTATCTGCAGGGAACGCTCCTACCATTCACTCCAGTCCCATCACATTTAATGCTGCATAATAATAAATGAGTGATATTGTTTCATGTTTATGTTCACACAGCAAAAAGTCATTTTCTTATCGAGAAAATATGTTATCTTAAGAATTTTTTTCTTGTGTAAAGAAATTTTTTCTTAAACAGAGAAATTTTTTTCCAACTCTAGGATATAAAATCTCGTTTAGAAAGTAATTTCTTAAAATAAGAAATTAAGCAGTCAGCCCACATGCAGATTTACAGATTTTAACACAAGAAATTATATTCTTATGATTGGATTTTTTTCTTAAACTGAGAAAATAATTTCTTGATATTAGAAAGATTATCTTAACTTCTGAAATTCTCAATATGAGAAAATTAATCTTGAGCAGATTCGCAAATATTTCTTAAAATAGGAAAGCTCGCAGGAAAGGCAAACAACAAAGATGACAAGCAGATTAACGAGACATCGTTTAAGAAAAACGTAATATAACTGCATATATGACATTATGACTGCTGATGAAACTACCGGTGGAACATACTTTGAGTTACATATTAACGACCTGATCATTAATACTTAAGTTTTTAAATAGCTCCTCGTTCTATTCTTGCTGTTGCGTGTTTATAGTCTTAGGTAATGGGAAACTTTGCACGGCCGATACAAATATATCTTTAACCGTTATTACCTAAACATCAGCAAAGGTATAATAATCGTATAAATAATCATCCATCTTTCCATGATCATCAGTATACATATAACAGTCGGCTCATAAACACACATCTCAATTTCTTTAATCATGCATCCGTCTAAAATAATCGGCTCATAATAATCCATGCATTTTTATAATCATCCGTATACATATAGCAATCGGCTCATAATCATTCATCTTTCCTAAATCATCAGTATACATATAGCAATCGCCTCATAATAATCCACGCATCTTTCCATTATCATCATTATCATATAACAATAGGCTCATAATCATCCATCTTTCCAAACTCATCAGCATACATATAACAATCGGCTCATAATCGTCCATTTTTCAACAATCATCAGTAATTGATATGACAATCGGCTCATAATCATTCATTTTTCAAAAATAATCAGTATATACATGGATAAAATAATCGGCTCATAATCGTCCATGCGTCTTTTCGTAATCATCAGTTGTCTAGATATAATAATCGACTGATATATAGCCATGCATGCTCCTATCATGTTATACAGGTAACAAAGCTGCTAACAGACCAATTCGCGGAACACGATCTTACTTATTTGGTGTAACATTCGTGGCTGGCGGAATATTCGGTATATTGCTTTCTTACGTTGTCGGACGTTTTCGCCGTTACCGAAAACGCCGGAAACATCAGGCAAGCTCTGAAGTTCCAGGGACATCAACTGACAAGGCTGAACAAAACGCAACCTATGACAGCCTGGATCTCACTAAGATGAACTTTGAAGATAAATATCAATCGCTGAGGAAGAGTCTGAGTGGAAAGGAGGAAGAAACATGTGAACATGCTGAACCTTACACGCAATTGAATAAAATTAGAGAAATTGAAGAACATTATCAAGCTCTTAAATGAATAAAGATATACCACTATTTTTCATGTATCTGTGGATCGACAAGGAACTTACTGCGGATTCAGGTTGAGTGTTCAGTGTTCAAAAACGTCACAAATGAAGCAGGCCGATTATTTACGCCCTGAAGTGTCTTAATGGTAGGAAATATAATTTTAATAAAGAAGGTGATCACAAAACAAGCTTTTTTCCTGGAACGTTCGTCGATATACGCACAGCGCAACCTCTTAAGGTCTCGTCAGCCGTTGTATCTAAAATTTTGAAACGCTATTGCCAAGATTAATTAGTTCCGCGGATGGAAGTCCTATATAAATCATAGTCTTTTACCTGACGTTGTCCTGCAATATATTGAGTTTTTAAAAAGCCAGCGTCCATCTATTGCATACAAGAAATCTTGCAAGAATTTTACGAGTTTGTAAACATGCTATATAGAATGCGTACGATGCGTAACTGCATGCTGGTGCTGATTTTAATGGAGATTGTCGGTTGCCACACGGAACAATCGTCTTCTTGCCCGAGTTTAGTAATCTCATTATTTGAGATTTACGTATACATGCTCAGCCGTGCCAACTTCCTCATCACGATTAGCCAATCATATTTGAGCTGAAATGACTATTGACCCATTAAATCAAGGCAGTGGTCACATAACCCGGTACGGAAATATCAATTTATGGAGGGAATTTTGAATATTTTGATCCAAGTGATTGTTTACATATTTTTACACACCAAGTTATACACATTTTCCCCATGGAAATGAGGTTCTTTGATTGTTACACTAACATTTGTATCCAACTTGAATATAATCGAGATTATCTATATCTAACGTACTAAATTGTTTTAAATATAATGATTCAAATTGTATCACATTCTCCCATAGCAGAAACTAATTTGCCACTTGACAACTCGCGCGTTTATGAGATGCACATGATCGTGACGTCATTAAACATGCACACAACCTGAACGCGCAGTATTCGTAATATTTGATTTAATTATCTATATATGATCTTTTATGTATACATATAGAATTATAAAGTAGTTATTCAGGACTTTACACACGCTCTGTCCTATAGGACTAAATATAGGTTAAGGTGAACATGTGTGAGCAGTAATTTTAGTTTGTTTTTAGTATTGCAATAGCATATAGTTTCGAGTGCAACTATATAGATAAACATACACAAATGAATTATTTTATTTTGACGACTGCATGCCAAAAATAAAAAAATAGGCTGCACAAAATGGGAAATGGCAAACGGTATTTCAGTGTTGGATAGTATAGCAATTGTTTTTATGCCTATATATGAACATCATTGTATGTATAAGAATATTAGCCCAACTCAATTAAGCAAATCTAAAGTATGATATTGAAGATATACAGCAGATATAGTATCTACACTGCAATAGAAAAGGTTTAAAAAAATGGAAGAAAATTTAATTATATTTAAGAATATATATTTTTAGTTGACACATGGATTTTATCGGCGGAATAAGTTTTGCGTGAGCAATTAAAATATCATTTTAGTTCATTAACAGGTTTAGAAAGAACTGATCAACGGGGTTCCTTTATACTCATATATCGATTCAATGCAATTAAGCATGTATTTGTAAGAGAACAAACATTTTTTTGCAAATATTTGTAATAAAAGAAATACGAATAAATTTCTAACGCAATATCAGAAATTGGTAAAGAGACAAAGATAGTTAAGACGTACACATAATTATATATTATAGCAACTCGTTCCAATAACAGTACAGGGTAAAATTTTGAATAATTGTGTCATATTCATAGTTAAACTTATTACAATATTATTTGATAACTCTCTTTTGACTGGTAATTCGTGTTTTTTATTACCTCTTTTTACCACTTACAACAAAAATGTACATTTGTACATTATAATTGATGTACAAATGTACATCAATTGTAAAATTGCAAATTAAGAAATGAGTATTCAAGCGACAGGTGCACACTGCATGATATAATTATATTCCGCGCAGGTTATCCCAGTGTGACTATTTTTCACGCACGAAATATAGAGCTTAGCTCGCAATTGCCGTAGAAGAAAGTATCAAAAATTGTCAAGCAAGAATGAAATATTTTACAAAGGTATAGTATAATATTCATTTTTACAATGTAAATGTGAAGGGAGAGGTTGATCATGATAAGAAATATTCAGCGAATCAGATTGACGCTGTGACACATACTTTTAGGGTTGAAATTTCTTTACCATAATAGGTACCCACAGCTTAAAAAATCCCGAAAATTCATTTTTCAGCGCGTCTATAAAAAATGAAGTACTTGCCAGGTAGCAAACACTGGTCAAGGCTGAAATAAGAAATATGTGCATCACCGGGATTCGGCGTTTTATAGCACATGTTTCAAACTACGTATGGAGGTCTAAACCCCGCTATGTTTTCAATACCCCCTATATATCCACATTTTAAGAGTGATTAAAGCTATAGTGATTAAAGCTATAAACTTATTTTCCTCATTGGCGAGGTTGCATTTATATAATATAATAATAGAAAGGAAATGATTTTGTTCCAAACAATTGTCTTCTAATAAACGAGTAAAACATTGGGGGAACATTGCACCATTGCACTATATTGAAAAAAAAAAATATTCCCCAATGAAAACAAAGAAAACCGAACAATGTGAAAGATAACGCTGTTGTTATAGCTATAGAAAAATAGCTGCACGTCTTACTATATGTTAATCGTATATATTATGGTAAGAGAATGCTTAGTCATTTACCGCGCATGCAATGCTTTTTTTAACTATCTATTGTTGTTTTGGGACTCAACTCCAGCCGCTATACTTTGTTTTCGGCAAATGTCCCATTCTCTTTACACATCCGAATTTAAAATTTTGAATAAGGAAAGTCTTGAGGAAAATTTTGATTCAAGTGATTGTTTACATATTTTTATACACTAAACGTATATACATTTTTTGATACTCCCATGATAATTTAAATCGATTTTAGGCCGATTTTGTTTCTTCGATAATCCAACGCATTGCTGCTGTAGAAGATATGGCGAGTCATTAAAATTTCATTTTAGTTGGAAATTCGGAAATTTCCTTCTTCTTGCCTAAATCAAAAGTTGGTGTATTATGCAAAAGGTGCAATAGCAAAATGAATATATTCTAGCGACAGGTGACTGAGCCAACTACATGCATGACATATTCCGCGCAGGTTATTGCATGCCGGCCGTTATTGGCGTTATTGCCGCACAAGAAAACATCAAACATTATCCAGCAAGAATAAAATATTTTACCAAGGTATAGTATTATATTTATTTTTACAATGTGAATGTGAGGGAGAGGTTGATAAGAAATATTCAGTGAATCAGATAGACGCTCTGGTTTCTTTGTCAATTAGCTACCATAACATGTAGCCATGCACCGACGGCTTAAAAATACCTGAGACGAAAGTATACTTGCCAGGTAGAAAACACTGCACGATCAAGGTTGAAATACGAAATAATTATGTATGAAATAAGCGTAGGAACTCCGCTGGGACTCGGCGTTTTACAACACACGTTTCAAACACTGTATGCATGACCGACCGTGCAGGGCTTAAGACCTGCTGCGTTTTCAATATATACATTGTAAGCGTGGTTACAGGTAGTAACTGTCCGTTCACCTCAGAAAAGGCATGAAGCTCTTCTGGCCAAAACATTAAAAGGCCTATTGCATATATGTTAATCGTATTTTGATGAGAGAATGCTTAATCATTCACCGCTCATGGAATGCTTTTTTAACTGTCTAATGTTGTTTGGAATGGCAACTTCTATACTTTTATACTTCGCCTCCGGTAAAATCAATGTCCTATTTCTTCTCATCCGAATTTCAAATCTCAAATGAAAGCAACCCCATGCAAGCCTTTATCTGGATTGATTTTGTCAGAAGCAAAGCGTATATAAAAGTATTTAGAGTAAAATGAATTATTTTAGTAAAATTAAGTAGTCATTTTAATAATTTACATTCTACATTTTAGCAAGATGACTCCCGATATTAAGGGGTTGAAACTTATTGTTTCAACTGATTATTTACAGCCATTTGGTAAAACATTGAAACTTTCATATTTTCTTATAAACAGACATGGATAAGAGAAACGTTTCCGCTATCTTCATCTATTGTACTCGTCGTCGTTATCATGATCGAGTCCTGTGTTTTGTCCGAAATTGTTGACAAAGACTCCTTCTCCGGTGCTCAGCTAATGATGGTTGGAAAAGGTAGGCTTTTGAAGAAATATGATGTTCAAATAAATGTAAATTGCATCAGCACAATTATTCAGAAAGTGTTTTAAAAATTTTGACTCTCCGTTTGTTATATAGTTTCGAGTTGTTTTATATACAGCTAATTTTATCAGTATAAAGTAGGCATATGCAGGTATTATGCTCATCACCTGTTTATTAAAATTTAAATTCGCGTTGCAAAAATAATCTACTTTACTTGTCACAATAAGTTATCGAGACTGTAAAAAATCTATTTTTATGTCATAACTTGCAGATAGCGCTGTTATTGGACATGTTCTGGAGACTTATAATGTTCACGACTTTCATCAATGTGGTCTATTGTGTGCATCTAATCCTAAATGCAAAGCCATCAATTACGAGCATTCGGCTGTCAACAGTCCGTTGCAGAAGTGTGAGTTGAATGACGCAACTAAGTCGGAAAGACCTCCAGAGTTTTATATTTATCGTAAAGGATTTTCCTATTACGAGATGGTAACTGATTCAAAGCCACGCCCACAGGTATTTTCATTACTCTATGTTATACATGAAATGAGAGAGTACTAATTTATATTTGCAATAACTTCCCATACGTACACGCGTAAAAATCATCATGTTGATGCAAGTTGTTAACAACATTTTTCACCCCTGATGCGACAACCTGATCAATTTTTGGCCTTGTATGTAATTACACAATTCGGGCAGCGCTTCCTCAACCGATATTATAATCCTAAATTATTGAAGATTACGGCTTTCCCTTTATGGAAGTACATGTTGGTCCAATATAGCTTTCAACAGCTTGTCTTTATTATCAATAATTGCTGTAAAAACAACACTCAAAACATATGCATGCCAATTATGAAATCGTATAACGCCGTGTATCATATTTTCTAAATAACTCTAATGAATTACCGCATTAAGACATCGAGAGTTCATTTCGATGGCATCATAAATGTTAATTAACACAAACTATGCGATTTTAAACCTAGACACACAGTAATGAAATTGGAAAGAAGCTCAATTTAAATTGTCCCGATCAGTATGATGGAGCAAGTTGTCAAATATTTTGTAAGTTGCAGTGTAGTATTTTTAATCGTCTATAGCGCGTAATGATTAAATTTATTTGATTTTTCATCATCGCGTATAAATTTGTTTATTCTACCCACAAATGCATAAACAAAAAAACCCTATCTTTGTGTATGTAAGAGTCATCATTCATTACTTATTTATGTAGTAATATGAAAAAGCGCGTTTGCATGTACAACTTTTATATCCACTTACTTAAGAGCGTTTTTTCGGATATAATTTTAACATTTCGATATCTCGAATAAAATTGCATTCTTCTGCAATGGTTTTTTCTTAGAGCGTACATATTCGCCTTGTAACCCAGATGTATATGATTATCTACGCCAGGGACCAGTTGTTCAAAGCAAGTTTAGCGCTAACCCTGCATGGGTTGAATTTTAATCAGTGTTTTGGTTTATGTACCCCAAAACCATTGTTCGTTTAAAACTTTAGAAAATATTACTTCTATCGGTCCAACGTTATCAGTCCCCCACCCCTGGTGCATTATTATACATGTGGATTTACACCGTAACAGCTCGGACGAGTAAAATTGAAACCTGATTCAAATTGAGCGTACATTATTTATATCTTCCAAAACAGATCCAAAGACCTGCAAAGATTATCAAACTACGTTTGGCTACCGTCATGACGGTGAATACCGTATTTATTTGGATTGGCCAGAATGTACACATGCAGCTGTAATTTATTGCGCAAACATGGGAAGTACTCCTTTGGAATATATCTCCTTGACTGAACATGAAAACAATTATGCTGGAAGTCATAAAAAAAATAAGATGAGAGAAGAAAAGACATACTTCAAAAAAGTAAAGTTGTATTTTATTATGCATAATCGTTAAAATTACAGAAGCGCCATGTGCTCGCTAAGCACTTTTAATCGATAGATTTTAAGTCCAGCGAGTATAACTGCATGGCAAAGCTCGTTTGGTTATGTTCCGATATTATAGCTATAACTATAACAACTGCCAAGAATAGACAAAAGCACTTCTCTCGACGTTTTGAACTAATTAGGACATTTTTGCGAAATCTTTTAGTAAATTTTTTTAGTAAAGGGCGGTACACTACGGGAGGGGGCGCAACAGGGAAAGACCCCTTCTATAGAGAAAACAAAACTTGTAATCTTTCTTTTTGCTACATTGACTTTCAACCATACATGCAGTGTGTCTCGAAACAACAAAATGTCGTCTTTGACTTGCTGCAATGCACTATGAATAAGAAGCTTTCTAGTGTTTTCTTTGCCATAATGGCTAGATTAAAAATAGGTTAAAAATTGCTAGGAGGAAGGCAAATTCTTTCATCATGCATTAGGAATTATATAGACAATTGTATTGGCGCAAGCACTGATATACGCATAAAAGTTTCCTCCATAAATTTAGCTAGCTATATACTTAATTGCTTCCTTCTTATTCGGAAGATGAATAACTCATCTAGCTTTCATACCGGGGGCGAGGATTAAATCATCAAATTCAGTATATCCTTCGAAGAAGTTTCAAGTTTTTTTTATAGCATATATTAACTGGAATTTGAAGTTTTTTTCAAGAAAGCTTAAAATAATAGTGATGATCAGTGGTGACCATCAACAATAATTATTACAATTTTTATACCATACGTATAATATTAGGCATTTGGATAATCCTGTTATACTTAACTATTCTGACTTTAACAGATTAGAATCGTATTGCCTGAAAAAAGTGTCAAGGGAGACGACTATTTCTTCACCACTACAAATTACCCTGGATCCGCTAAGACACCCTACGCCAGCGCGAGCGATTGTTATTCATATTCCTGCAGTGTTGACAATAGAAAAGGAAGTTTCAAAGTGGATTTGACTGGAACTAGCTTTCATTTGCCCAACGCTATTGCCTACGGCTTCAACTCGTACCCAAGCTGCGTGAAAAAAGTTTATGCGGCTTCGATGAGCAGTGACAACTTACGTTGGTCTGGAAAGTGTGGAGGTTACTGTGGAGAATGTTCGCCGAAATCCTTCAGTTTGTTGTTGAATGGCTGCTAATCCTGATGTCTATCTGAAGTGAACTAGTATAATAGTTTATTCACAAATTGCAAGCTAAAATGGTGAAAAGATTTGCGCTTGGATATATATGGTTAATTGCACCACATTACACTGCTGGTCGACCTCTTTAAAATCCACCATCTCAGATGCATTCTTTTTCACCAATATATAACTAATTGAAACATCCGAAAATTCGTTATTTAAACCACAATTTTGGCTGTAGCTATTTATCCCATTTAACGGAATAAACTTGCATGGTCGAAAATCACGAGTGAAAGCAACTTGAAAATGGTCATATCAACAATCAGTTTTTACATGTTACGAATATAATTAGTTGAGCTAAACATAGAAATATTCATTTTTGTTTGTCATTTGTTTTTTCGAACAACCGTAGATTCACTTATCGTAATATAGATTTGTGAAGTGGACAAGTTTATCGGTTGTAAAACGAAGCGTCTTAGTTTAACGTGGCTATATTATGAAATTAGGCTAGAAATTTAGGCTCCATTTATACACTTTAGCAAGCTAAAAGTTTTTTATCGCTTTAAATTCGCGGTGCAGCTCATATAGTAAAATAAATTTATGAAGACCAATACTCTGGTGGCAATGATAGACCGGGTGAGCTCTGTTTTCTGTGTGAGGACCGTATATAAAGAATTGTAACATACTCCGGTTTGTATAAATAAATGGCAGTGTGCCAAAACACATGCCGAAATGTTAATCAATGACCTTGAACTAACAGTTCATGCTCACCTTTATACGGTAGGCCCACGTATTCACGTGAATCGTGATATGTAAATTTACTGAAATGTTGCAATATTCAACCGGAAAATCAACAGGTTGTACAAGTTTAATTGCGATGAATATATAACCAAAAACCTCATTCCACGTGCCCCACAGTCCTTGAATAGCCCCTATAATCCCCACGAAAGCAATAAAATGTTTATTCGCTTAAGCAAATAACTTTTTTTAAATAGTAACACATGCGATTTTAAACAGCTATTCATAGCGCTCAAAATGTGCGCAAAGAATATTTATGGAAAAATAATCAATATGGCTGCATGTTGTTAATGTTAATTGTGCACTACGTCATATAAGAGATAACTATAAATTTTGAGGAGATTTATAATTATATGCTTGCTTATAACAAAGCAGAAAACGGGTTGTATTTGAATTTAACAATATCAATAATTTCGTATTTAATGATATAAAATATATTTGCCTATATTCGTTATAACGATAGAAATAATTACTTGCTTGCTTTAAAGTGGCGGTATCCTGCTAGCAGAATATTGCCATATGCATGTGTGCCCAACGACAAACGATTCGAAAACGGAAAATACCCCCCATTTTAAATTGAAAAAAACTGGAAACAATGCTTTAAACTTTGACTTCCTTTCTTTATGCTTACATGACTTTGTCTCGACTACAATTCTTTGATGACAGGGTTGGAAAACTCGATTGCCCCACTACTGAGCACTTAAATATGCGGTCAAGAAGGGGCGTTACCAGTATTAGTATTGTCTCATACAATAAAAATCTACTTTTTAGTGTCATAATTTACATTGGCACCACGACCCTCCTTTCATTTACTGCATTTATTTCTCATGGTTGCTATTGACACTGGTACCATATCAATAAACCATGTCAGAGCATCCGACGAATTTAATTTTGGTTAAGATAATTATGCATATTAATTTTCACAGGCATGTCACAACCTTCGTCAGATGGTTTTTAATGGCGTGAGGATTTCGCGCTAGCCATTAAAATTTAATTTAGGTCCATTAAAAGATTTAGGAGGATTCAATACTATATATAGGGACTCCTTAGAAAATTTGAAAATCGATTTCAATGAAATGAAGAGTGCATGTCATTTATTTGTAAGAGAAGAAAATTAATACAGAATAATCCAGTATACGTATGCAATATTAGAAAATTGGTAAAGAGACAAAGATAATTAAGACGTACTCATATTTATATATTAGCTATAGCCTAACATCTCGTTCTAATTTCATTGCATGATGAATTTAAGAATAATTGCTCATATTATTAAAAGTCAAACTTATTACAATTGTTATTAATACTCTGTTAGGCTTCTTTGGCTGGTAATTCGCATGTTTTTTATTATCCCTTTTACGACTTGCAACAAAAGTGTGCATTTAATTTGTAAACCCGCGTCAATCAAAATTGCAAGATGAATACTCTAGCGACAGGTGAACACTGCATGAGATGTACTCCGCGCAGGTTATCTCAGCGTAGCTATATTTCACACATGTGTATGAAGTATAGCTTGGCCGTTATTGCCGCGGAAGAAAACATCAAACATTATCAAGCAAGAATGAAGTATTTCACAAAGGTATTTCAATATTTATTTTTATACCATGTTAATGAGAAGCGGTTTAAGATGAAATGGCTAGATTAGAAATATTAAGTGAAATGAGATAGACGCTTTAGAAGATACTTTTAGTGTCGGGTGAAATTTTTCTCCCAAAATATCGAATGCTTAAATAGCCACGAAATAGGATACTAAAATAAGCTTAATCACTACCAAAATACCACGAGCTTAAAGAATCCACAAAAAATCATTTTCTTAGACAACATCCTGTCTATATAGAAATTAAGTACTTGTTTAGTGAAAAAAATTCTGAGGTTGAAATTTAAATACGAAATATTCATGTAGAAGTTACGCCGCATGGGATACGACGTTTTATAACGAATGTTTCAAACTGCGTGCGTATTATCGTGTAGATGTTAATGCTGCTATATAAGAATTATTAAAGCCGGTGAACACTCTCTTCACCGCAAGAAAAATACTGAGCACTTCGGACCAAAACAAATAAAAGAATATCATTTGCTTGAAAGTTAATTAATATACGCCTTACTGTAGGTTCATCATATTTCCGTTTGAGAGAATGCTTAATCATTCACCGCACATAGCTAACTATTGAGACATCTGTGAATTCCTAATGTTTTTTGATACTTTAGCATGCAACATTTCACCCTTTTTACTACATGCCATTATTTAGGGAAAAAAATCAGCTGCGCGGTCGCTATACTTAGGGGCTGATTACATGAGCCCTCTTACCCGAGATTTAACGAAGCGTGAGATGACTTTGAGGTATTGAAATAAGTCTTTACGATACCAAACAAGCACATGCTATTGTTGTGGTGATTATACGACTGCCAGGATCATGTTATTTGCTTATTTCAATATCTCAAATTCATCTCACGCTTCGTTGAATCTCGGGTGACCGGGCTCATGTAAACAGCCCCTTAGTCTCCGGGAGATGTCCCATTCTTTTTCATCAGAATTTTAAATCTCAAACAAAAGTAACCCAGGCCTTCATTTATATCCGTTTCTGGCTGAAACAAAATGTTGAAAGTATTTTGAGAAACACTAATTTTCTCTAAGTATAATTAAAGTCACGTTTACACTATAATGCAGGGTACCCGTACTAATTTGTATTGGTAGTCTATATGCAAAATTGATTGTAGTGTAAACAGCGCTTAAGTGCAATTTAAATAATTTACATGATATTTTCAAAAAGTTGCTTCCCTAAATTAAGTACATGCTTGAAGCTTTTAATTTGAGTGAATTGGAATGCACTCTAATTACTTAACGCAATTTGATAAGACATATCTTTTTATGAACAGACATGGATAAAAGAAAATTTTCCACATTCTTCATCGATTGTGTTCGTCGTCGTCGTGACGATCGAATCCTGGGTTTTGTGCGAAATTGTTGACAAAGATCCCTTCTCCAGCGCTCAGTTTATGATGGTTGGTAAAGGTAAGCTTTTGACGAAATATTATTAAGATGTTGAAAGTTACATTTATTTAACACTAATAAATATAATATATTAAAATAGTTCCTATTTTATTTACCTAATTTTATGCAGTATTGGAACAAGATATAATTATGCCCATCACCTGTTGTTTATTAAAATTAAAATTCTCACTGCAAAAAGTACCGGTCTACCTTTGCTACTATAATTTTTCGAAACTATTAAAATTCGTTTTCATGTCACAACTAGATAAGGTTTTTATTGGACATGTTGTGGCGACTTACGTCGTTGAGGACTTTCATCAATGTGGTCTGTCGTGTGCATCTAATCCTAAATGCAAAGCCATCAATTACGAGTATTCGACTGTCAACAGTTCGTTGCAGAAGTGTGAGTTGAATGACGCAACTAAAACGGAGAGACCTCCAGAGTTTTATATTTATCATAAAGGATTTTCCTATTACGAGATTGTAACTGATTCACAGCCACAGGTATTTTCATCACTGCATATTATGATTTATATGAAATGAAGGTGTACTCATATTGTAATATCTTCACATACGTATGTAATTACCTAATTCGGGCAGCGCGTCCTAAACGATATTACCTTAAATTATTGAAGATCACGACATTCTTTTTAGGACAGTACAATGTGGTCCCACATGTGGAATAAGTAAATAATTTTGAACAACTTTTTTCTAAATATTTGCCGTAAAATACAGTACACAAAACATATGCTAAATAGGAAACCTAACGGCATGTATCATTTTATAGGCAACCGCATTCCAACTAATTTCCACTTTAAGGCATCCAGTTTTTTATTCCGATGACGTCATTTGGAGTGAAAATTAACTATATGATTTTTAATCTAGACACAAAGTCATGAAACTGGAAAGAAGATCAATTTAAATTGTCCCGATCAGCATGATGGAGCAAGTTGTCAAATATTTTGTAAGTTGCAGTGTAACATGAAATCTATCAAAACATTTTCCGTTTTTCTATACAGTTACAGAAACACGCGTAGGAGTTTGGGAGGACGAGGTATAAACAACGTTATTTCGAGTGTTTCGATAACTGTATAGAAACACAAGAAAAAAATCTTTCTATTTATTTTATGAAAAAGCTCAATAAAAGTAATTTGTAGAAATATAATAATTCGATTCAATTACAAATTCTCATAACATCACTTTGCTCGTTGGGCGTACTGGAGACGATAAATTTGGGGGGGTTGTCACATATTCATGTTGCGCGCGATTAATTCCTTTTCAAACTTTAAAGTTTTATTAAGGTCCTTTAAAATGTGACAACAATGTTGCGCATGACCTTGAATAATATAAATGCATTTATTTGAGTTATGTTTGCTGAAATCACTTTCACATCAATTTCACTTTGCATCTTTGGGACCCCCAACACAATTTTTCAGCGAATGCAATATTGAAATATTTAATAATAACGCTAAAACTAGATTTGAAACCTCTTTGAAATTAAGGCGTACAGTATCCATATCTTCCAAAAACAGATCCAAAGACCTGCAAAGATTATCACACTACGTTTGGCTACCGTCATGATGGTGAATACCTTATTTATCTGGATTGGCCAGAATGTACAAATGCAGCTGTAATTTATTGCGCAAACATGGAAAGTACTCCTTTGGAATATATCTCCTTACCCGAACATAAAAATAATTATGGTGGAAGTCATAACAAAAATAAGATGAGGGAAGAAAAGACATACTTCGAAAAGGTAAAAGTGTATTTTTACCGTGCCTATAATGATTATAATCATTATCACTACATAATTTTATATAGGCATTAGCTGGCTAAACACTTCTAAGGTTCATCTTTCAGTCAGCGAGTATCACTGAATGGCCTTTTGTTTACGTTCCAATATAATTGCAAATAATTTTACTTCAATATTTTGATTTTAACAGATTAGATTCTTATTGTCTGAAAGACGTGTCAAAAGAAACGACTTTGCTTTCGCCACTACAAATTACCCTGGAACTGCAAGAAGACCTTACGCCGAGGCAAGAGATTGTTTTTCCAATTCCTGCAGTGCTCAAAAAAGAAAAGGTAGTTTCAAAGTGGATTTGACTGGAACTAGCTTTCACTTGCCCCAAGTTATTGCCTACGACTTCTACTCATTCCCAGTCTGCGTGAGAAAAGTTTTTGCAGCCTCGATGAGCAGTGACAATTTGCGTTGGTCTGGAAAATGCGGAGGTTCCTGTGGATCATGTTGGCCAAAATCCTTCACTTTGTTGTTGAATGGCTGCTAATCTTGATATCTATATCTGAAGGAAACTGATATCGTTTATGCACAAATTGCCATCTAAGGTTATGAGGTTATAACTGAATGTTACTTTCATTTGACTATATAGTTAATAATTGCACATTTTATTATACACTGCTTATCGACCAATTTAAAATCGGTCATCTCTGATGCGGCATTATTCGGCATTGCTTTTCGAGTTAAAACATGCCTGAATTGGTTATTTAAACGAAAACCTATTAAATCTGTTTTTATCTCAACATTAACCGAAGAGAGTTAAAAATCACCATAGCAACCGACTGGAAATTGGTCATAACAATATAATTATTGGTCATATAATCAGTTAAAGTATAGAAATATATTCAATTTTTGTTCCTCTTTTTTTCCGACGCACCGTGAATTCACTTATCCTGTTATCCTAATATAGATTTGTTATAAGGGAAGAAGCCTTTCTTCACCAAAATTTAAGTTATAATTATGAGTATTCAAAAGATAAGAAACTACCTTTAAAGACTTCGGCAACTGGCAATAAAGCATTTTTCAGCCGATGCACACATGGTATTCTTTATCAATCCGAAGTTTCTATGAACCTTCTTAGCTACGTTCATAGGAATTTGCACAAAAAGAACCCAACTATTTACCAAACACACAATTAGACAAACTATAGTGTAGCCGCGTGTGAGTTAGGGAACTGCAACAGCAACGGCGACTGCAATGGTAAAATATATTTACCTAATATTGTCATATTCCAGGAAAATAATTTTCCTCTTGCTCTCAAACAGTTATTAACTATTACAAATATTGTCGATCGACAAAATTACTTTCAAAACTTCCAACAACATCAAGTACATACATTAACAGTTGTCACGTGGTCATGCACTGTGAAATTGGTGGAAATCACGATGTCGTTTCAGCAAAGATAATAATTAATTATTAGACGAGTTCGAGCAAAATAGCGTGATTTGTCGAAAGTTCAAAACTTCAGCAAAAAGAGTCGCCATTATTGTTTACGAAATTGACATCAATGCGCATACCCAGAGCATTATTTGCAGCCGAGCAACGTTTTTAAGAAATGCGCATGCTCAGACCTTTATTTGGACGCAGTCAATTGCAGTTAAGCTGATAAATCAAAATTGGGTAAACGATAAAGTGGATGATAATAGAATATAGACGGTCGGAGACCACATTAAAATTACAATACAACTCATTAACTATGTTGAGGCAGATTTTTGCAAAAAATTGTATCTTTCTCATCACATATCCATTGTATTTTGCACAGATAAACCAATAGCAATCTTTTACTTAACATATCTTTCAAGTCAAGGTTGAAGAGCTTAGCAAGACGAATGCAATTGGTAAGTTTGGCTAAAACACAATGGAAAAGTGACGAGAAAGGAACAAATGGTTTCAGCAACAACGGCAATTAATGTGCAACATTAAAGGCCACGTAATTTATATTTTCAACGATCAATGTCATTGGTGATAAGTATGGAGTCATATTTCCGCCAATATTCATGTCGCTTTACTTTGGATATATTTTTATAATTGAAGTTAAATTCGACATTGAAGTCGTTCAATACCCAACATATTTCTAAAATTAAAGTTAAATTGGACATTGAAGTAGTTTAATATGCAACATATTTCTGAATATTTGGTAATTTAGGCTACAATGGATATTGAATACGCCGTTTGCTCGGCACTTCGATGTTCGAAAATTGTTGAAAATATTTCAACATGCCAATGCGGAAAGCTCAATATTGGCGGTGATGAATATAAGCGCGAAATGTCCGCCAATATTAATTATGATAAAGAGGGGCTAACCCCCCTGCTACGTTATTTCGTGCCCAGGCATTATCGGACTCTTACTACCACGTGACACGCGCAAAAGTCGCGCATGTGGTAATGCGTTCTTGTCTGTTTTCTCTGCGACCTGTGCTGCGACAAAGCAAGCGTTTCGTAAATATAGATTTTAGCCATTTTTTATCGCGTAGCATTGTTAGTTTTTCTTTCGGGATGAATGCGGATGAAATAAGCTCTGCTAGAGCGGTTCTGTTAGAAGTTGCAAAGCGATTAAGACAACAGTCTCGTGCGCAGCATTAACTAAATCTCCGGTGACTAAATCAGACGACATCTCATTCAGTGAACTCTAACAATGCTACGCGATAAAAAATGGCTAAAATCTATATTTACGAAACGCTTGCTTTGTCGCAGCACAGGTCGCAGAGAAAACAGACAAGAACGCATTACCACATGCGCGACTTTTGCGCGTGTCACGTGGTAGTAAGAGTCCGATAATGCCTGGGCACGAAATAACGTAGCAGGGGGGTTAGCCCCTCTTTATCATAATTAATATTGGCGGACATTTCGCGCTTATATTCATCACCGCCAATATTGAGCTTTCCGCATTCGCATGTTGAAATATTTTCAACAATTTTCGAACATCGAAGTGCCGAGTAAACGGCGTATTCAATATCCATTGTAGCCTAAATTACCAAATATTCAGAAATATGTTGCATATTAAACTACTTCAATGTCCAATTTAACTTTAATTTTAGAAATATGTTGGGTATTGAACGACTTCAATGTCGAATTTAACTTCAATTATAAAAATATATCCAAAGTAAAGCGACATGAATATTGGCGGAAATATGACTCCATAATAAAAAAGGAAAATTTTTGGCATAAATCTACCTCAACATGCATAGTTAATGAGTTGTATTGTAGTTTTATTTGGTCTCAAAACCATATATATTCTATTAATTGGGTTCTTCCTGTGTAAATACTTCGAAACGCGACTAAGAAGGTTCATGGAGACTTCGGATAATGAACACCAACCATTTGCTAACTGTAGAATGAAATAACTCGCGTAGTCATTCAAGAACCGCGTGGTCATTCGTTTTATCTCGTGCTTGTTTATTTATTCAATACGACGCTTCATTGTCAGTTGCCAAAGTAAAGGTAATATCTTATTTTCTAAGTACACATAACTTAGATTTTGGGTTTCTGACTTATATAATTTGAGACATCACAACAAGAGTAAACATTATACCATTCCTATTTGTGGTTTAAGGTAGTAAACTAAAAACCAATCGTCTCACTACTGAGAAAGCCAATAGACACAACAAAAAGGCGCGAGGAGCCGATTGCAATGTATATAATTATATACTACAACTAATTTTATTGCAGGTTGTCACAATTGCGAAGTTTAAGAATTGGAATACCCCAAATTATAGACACAAAATGCGAGTGTGAGCAAATAATTATGTAATTGCATAAATTATCATTTATAAAATCGCTACTCATTTGCGTGTGACTCGGACAGTCGCTACTCGTTACTCGCGAATGAATTGCCAATTGCTACTCGTTACTCGCGAGTGAATTGCCACTTGCTACTCGTTACTCGCGAGTGAACTGCCACTCACAACTCGCTACTCGCGAGAGGCGTCAAGTTACTCTATTCGCAATCATAGAAATATTTGCTGTCGTCTAACCAAAGCAATAATTACTTTCTTGCAATAAGGGCCGAGAGAATCTGAATTTCTGGCACCATATTGCTATTTGTGTCCACAACAACGGACGATTTGAACACGGAAAAGAATTCGCGATTTCAGAAGTCAAAAAAATGGATACAATGCTTGATATTCGGATTTTCGGCCTGGATGCATTCACGATTTTGCCGCGACTGCAATCATTTGATGACGGAGTTACAGTAGATAACTCAGTTGACGCAAGAAGTGGCCACTTGAATTTACGGTCAGATATACGGTTAAGAACCACTTGGCTCAGCAGCCAGATAAATCAATAGCCACAAAGTTGCGCAGTCACCGTTGATGAGTATCTAGACATAATGATGAGTAACTACTTCCCTGCCGACCATGCAGATGGCTGAATAACTACTTAACTGCGTAGCCATGCAGATCCTTAAGTAGCAACTAGATTATGCTGCCAAGGTCAAAGAATAAATTGCTGCTTGAAATGACAGTAAAAAATTCCGAAGTGGTATCGCGCGAGGTTTTCCAATTTGTGTAAGATATTGAAATGTGGATACCATAAAGTGTTTCATACCTGCGCAGTCATTTTATTTGAACGCATAATATATATCATTGCATTCCATTCTATAAAAAATAGGCTGCTGTTAACAACGGTTTTAAAATAATTATTCTTCTAAAAAGGGATTAATTTGTTCAGTAGGGAATTAGGCAAGGAATCTTTACAATATGATCTATAGTTAGCTCTCACTCTAGCTTAATTACTGTTGGCTTTACAGTCATTTCCCGAGTCTTCGTTGGTTGGTTCTGTATGTCATCAGCTTCCTAAAACGTTTTATCAGTGTGACTTTTGTTTTGCTGTGTCCGCCACTCGAGATTTTAGAATCTGCACAACATGCGATCTCCCAGTTGGGATGATTAATAACTATAGCTGTAACCAACGTTGGAAATTGAAAGTTTTAGATGAGTTTATTTTTTCCTTCCAGGTCTGGAACTTTCCATGCTGTGTCTTTGTAAACCTTATATTTCCAAATAATTCAACTAAGTATACTAATAATTTTATCAATTTAATAATATTTTGGGACGTAGATAATGTTTCAAGAGCCCGACCTTGCAAAATTCACTAACACTATTGCCCACACTACATGCTTGCTTTTGAGCTTAAATGTGGGATTCGGGTTTGAAAACTATCCTGAAGTTATAGGGTTTAAAAGGTCAAGTTCAAGTGGAATGATACACACTTCAAATTCGAGCCAGAAACAGTTGAAGGAAAACTGAGCCAACTATAGGTCCTCCAGCCGGAATTACGATTGATTTACCCTCACCTATATACATTAACCACGCTTGCTCTTGTCAGCTACCTATGTAGCTCAGTAGCAAGAGCATTGCACCAGCATCGCAAAAGCGGAGGTTCCGGTTGACTCGTTTTCCCTTCAACTGTGCCAAGCTGTGTTTGCTTACGCCATCAACCAAAACTTGTAATCGTCGAGGTTTTGAATGAGTGCACGTTTGTTGGTTAATTACGTATTCCAAAACGCCACTGCTACGTGTTTTGTCAGATGGCGCAGACAAAAGCACCGAGTTTGGCGCGGAAATGACGAATCCCGTAGTTGTACTCACTCACTCACTTTACACGGCAATCACTGTAAAGCTACCTTTTCTTCGTTTGACAATACTTACAATTGGAAGCCGAATAGACGAAACCACTGAATTTTTTACCTGAATAAGTTGGAACAAATGACTACATATTGACATAGAGTACAATAATTATTTTATTACATCATGCAACCAGCTTGGCATGTTTACTAAATTAAAGACAAACAGAAAACACTGTCAGACTTTTATGATGCATAAGTAGACACAAATATAGCGATTAGGTTTAGAGCATGCCAAGTTTGCGGCGCTGGCTTTTGAAAGAACTTAACAATTATTATAGCTAATTTCCCAAATACTTGTCGCCTTCCTCACAACGTTTATCCAAGACTAATATACCTTCTATTCGATTATTCAAGTTCTTGGCACCTATACATCATACATGTTGATTATAATTCCTATAAACAGATCAATATTCAACAACTATAGCTGCCTGAAATATACAAAGAACCTTTTGACTTTTCTACCTGCGCCTTGAATTAGCTTGAGTTAACGGCATATGTTTTTTACGTATAGAAATGTGAACATGCATGCAAGTATTGTTTTCGAGTGTTTCGAAAGTCGACCCGATAAATTACGTTAGATTGTTAACGCAGCAAACTCAATTGATAATTTTACAAAATCTCGTAGCCTTTTCCAAATTAATTATCAACGTTTTGATTAATGCTGAATCCATTGCTGATTCTTACTGTTATAATTATTAGAAAAATCAGCAATTGAGACGTTTTTTGCTCCTGCATTATTTTTTTTACGCTTTCAGAACTATGAGAGTCAGACTTCAGCACTAGCTGTACATGGCAATTTTGCTTCGTGTATAATAATATCTTCAATCTCTTTTCTCCTCCTTGTTTCTGAACTCGTGCATGCAAATTTCGTAACGAATTCACCGAGTGCTTTAAGTTACCAACGTAGGGATCTCGTCACGCACATGTCATCTCAAGTATGTTAAAAACAGGCTACGACACCATCAAAGACGTAAACAAGAAACGCTTCGCATTAAATCGTTTCGAAACTCGACCATTCTATTAATACAGCAAACTCAATGATAATATTACTAAAAATTCGCAATCTTTTCCTGGTTAATTATCACTGTTATAATAATAGTAAAAAGAGTCATATGAATTATATCTAAAATCTTGGATTTACACGCGTAAAAATCATCATGTTGATGCAAGTTGTAAAAACAGGAGTGAACAATGTTGTGCTACACCCTGTGAACAGTATTGTTAATGATGTTCAGTTGATGCTTGTTGACTCATCAATGTTGTTGCAACTTGTTACAACAACATTGCATAAATATTGATGATCCAACAAGCATTAACAACATTGTTAACAATACTGTTCCCAGGGTGCAGCACAACATTGTTCACTCATGATGTGACAACCTGATCAATTTTTGGCCGTTTACATGATGTTAACGTTTTTTTTGGATCGTGCATGCTTAACACTATAGTGACGGTTTCTATTCGTAGATTTGAATTATAAAAATAAATATAACTATAAAATATTGTTTCGATATTGAATAAATATATACTACCATCCTTATTCAGGTAATTAACTTCGTTTAAAAATTAATTGTACAGCATAAATATGTTTTGAATAATGCTGAATCCAGTGCTGATTCTTACTGTTGTAATTGTTAGTAGAATCATGCACTTGAGACGCTTTTTGTTTGTTCATTATTTTTACGCTTTCAGAAATATGAGGGTCAGACATTGATATTGTACTGGCATATTTGCTTCGTGCATGATAATATCTTTAACCACTTTTCACCTGGTTTATTAATAATTCTGAAATCGCGTGCATGCAAATTTCGTAACAAACTCGCCGAGTGCTTTAATTACCAACGTAGGGCTCTTGTCACGCACATGTCATCTCGAGTATGTTAAAAACAAGCCACAACACCATCATAGACGTGCGCTTCAACAGTTCCATGCATTTTTTATGGTCTGGTACGTTGGATATATAAATGTGTTAAAACAGATCAGAAAGATCACTGGATCGAAGGTATTACTCCTGAAATACACACATAAGGTAGGCACATTGTTTTATAGCTTGAGGTGATTAGATATAACAGCTAGAATGGGCAGTGCATATATTTCCATTCACAGTGCATCCATGCAAACCTCAATAGACATATATATTAAATAGAATAATGCTGGATCATTCCCTCTAACTAGCGGTATGTAGTATTTCAAGGCGACCTATATAGTATTTTCGCTAAATATAGTAGATCTTTAATTCCAATTTATTTCAATATTCATGCATAGTTTAACCAAAATTTATATATAATTATATGTTATATATATTATAGCCATAATTATAGACATTATATAGTTATATTTTGCAAATTATAGAGCAATATGTATGGAGCACCGAATTATTTTGCAAAAACAAAATACTGTGTAATTTATAGATATTATTCTAATATGAATCATGCACCCCCACTTCCCTTGTAGTGACTCTTGGATAGCATTTAGATCCTCCACTACTGCTTCTAGCAGTTTCAGTTAGCAATTTTACCTAATCGTGATCCTGCTTTGCTTTAACTTCTGGACTATATCAGTCAAACAATTTGATTAAAATCTACTGAATAACACATTTAGAAACATATTGAATGGGATTAACATTATTTATTGGCATGGACTCGGCCATAATTATACTGTAACGTCAATGCAATGTCACAAAATTATTGATTAACATGCACTAATTACCGTATAGCTATACGCCATCGTTGTCGATAATTTTAACCGATCGTTTTTTTGCTGATTGATATTCCTTGTTTTGCTACTTAGCAAATTGATAATAGCTATATCTCCAACTGTCTCTACTATTTATGCACTTCTCAGTTTTTCAGTAATAAGATATATACTGTAGTGACTTTGCTTTTTACAAACTTTATAAGCTTCAAAATATGAATTGGGATCCAGTTTCACTGCTTTTTTTTGATATAATCCCTTTGGTACAATATATTACTGCTAGCCTTTCTTTTCTAATATACATAGCGTGTATAGGTCAGCAACGTGAAGGAATACATTCAACCCACTTTTGGTTTCCTAATTTCAAGGGAAATTGCCAATCATTCTTTCGTATTTATTTATAGTCTTTTCCATTTTATAAAAGGGGCGGTCTTTAGAATATCTATCCTAATCGATCTATTATTTCGTCTATTTTTTACAAATCAGCACCGGTACAATCGTGCTGCCGTGGGTGGAATATTAGGATATCAAGGTGCGGAATATTATATGAAAAATTAGGCTGTTTTGATTCTTGAAAAATATATTTTAGATTAATCTCTAAACTTGAACACATGGACAGAATCATTATCATCTTGAAAATGAATTTGTAAAAAAGAAAAAGTTTTGGTTGTTACAATTGAGTGAACAAAATCCAATCGCTGGTCACGTAGTGATATCGTATCTGTTCTGAAATAATTTCATAAAACACGCTTTCTGTCTTTTTAGCTTTTACCTGTAAGCAACATACTCTTGTGATGCGGGCTCTCATTATTGAAACAGTTATTTTAATGCAATTACTTCAGCTAAGTACAGTTCTTAGCTGTTGTGACATTGCCAACTGGTGGGATAGTTTTAACCTCGCTGGGTTATCTGAATGCCTCAGAGACCGTACCTACATCAAGGGATTATGGAGAAATGAACAACGAGACACTCAAAATCTCTTTCTTATTGAAGAAGCGAAATGCTGCGATGCAGTAATACAAGATTACACATGGAAATCATCTTCGTGCCAAAATGCTAACTGGCGATACACATTGGACGGGTAATGAACTTTATTAATTGCAATGTTTGCCGAAACGTCACCAGGTTTAGTCCTTCAGACCAATTGCGCTAAAAAACTGAAATTGATGCATCCGTTCGAAAATATCCTAGAAAGTGAGTGTGCTTTTAAAAAATCATGACGTCCTACGCGATTTTGAAATCGTGGCTCGTGAGCGTGAGACCTTGTAACGTCGAGTGTCTTTAATGTTAGGCTGAATTCATTCTTCAAATGGTCTCTTGATTCTAAAGAAAGTGCTTTTCATGTTGTTATAATTTTTCAAACCCATCTAGGAAAATTGAAAATACCCCAAAAACGTCATCGTGAGAAAAGATAATTGTTGACACTGTGTTACTTCATATTAGGCACCTTCTACAGTTTGATTCGTTGTCGAAAAAGTTACACGCACGTGAAATATTCGCGACTATACGTACAAAACTAAGGAAACTCCTTTTTGTGGGAAAATAGTGAAATCGTTTTAAAAGTAGCATTACATAGATAGATAGATTTAATTACGATAACACATGGCAGCCTATAAGGCTGAATTGCGTGCTATGATTTACATGGATTAATAAAAAAAATTAATTAATTTTTACTCTATTTACACATAAATTTTGAAAATACAAAATTGTAGGATAAAATTACGCTAACATAATAGTTAAAAAGATCTAGAAATTATATTTTATCATTAAAATGTCTAACGCATGAGGGTATAAAAGTGTTTTTAAATCTATTTGTCTTGGTTTTTGGAAGGACAAAAGTTCTTGAATGTCTCAGATTGTAATTTGAAAGGCATCTAGGTGGTATGATATCGTGCATGTTACCCTCAGGTGTTGTGCTGACTTCAGTAAAAAGTTTCTCGCATGCATCGACACGCCTGTCACTCAGAGTTTTGATGCCACATTTAGATAAGCTATCCGTATAACTCATCTGTGGATAGATTATGGATAGAACACGCTTTTGAATCCGTTCCAGGGAGTTTGACAAATAAGAGGGTAGAGCAAAGTGGAATACTTGGCAGCTAAATTCCATAACTGGTCTGATGCAGGTGGTGTAGAAGTTTATAACATCAGTTTCAGGGACGTGGGCCCGTTTCAATTGAATGATAAAATAGATGCGTTTGTTGGCTTTCTTAATAATGTTGTTAATATGTTGGTTCCACTTTAGATCACTGGTTATTGTCAATCCTAAGATTCTGGCATGCTTGACTACTTCGATATGACCTGAGTTAATCTTTAGGCGAGGGAATTCTTTCTCAACTTTAGTGAAACTGATTACGATTTCCTTGCACTTCAAGGTATTTAGTTGCATCTTATTTTCTACCGACCAGTTTTGAACGCAATCGACTGCATCTTGAATATTACTGGATGAGTCTCTATGAATGATTTCTGATGCAGTAGTATCGTCAATGTATTTCCAACGCTCGAAATAAGGAGGGCGGAGGTCATTTATCATAAGAATAAACATCCAGGGTCCCAGTTTGGTTCCCTGAGGGACACCGGAAGGGATATCAATCCATTCAGACTTACAATCTCTTGCTAATTTCACTCGTTGTTGTCTGTTCACGAGGAAGTCGACCACCCATCGCTTGATGAAAGTTGGCATAGGTAAATTGATGACTTTTTTTGCCAGAATTTTGTGGTCAATCAGGTCAAAAGCCTTTTTGTAATCAAATAATACCACTCTTACTGCATTACCTGTTCCATCAGTGGCTTGAGACCAAGAATGAATCATAGAAATTAAAGCTTTGGTAGCAGAAGATCGAGGGATGCCACCAAATTGAAAGGGATCTATTACCGTAAGCACAGCTGGGGCGAAGTATTTTTCCACGACAAATTCCTCCGCAAGCTTAGATAGGACAGGTGTTAACGATATAGGTCTAAGGTGTTTGTTTATGTCCTTAACAGGTTTCTCCTTTGGAATGGGTGTTATATTAGCCTGTTTCCACGACAAGGGAAGCTTCTTTTGTCTGTAAGAGGAATTCAATAGGTTTGATATAGGGGGGGCAAGGATTTCGGCATAATCACGAAGAATCCAGTTTGGAATGTCATCGGGACCTGGGGCTTTGGATGGATTTAGGCGTTTCAGTTTTTTAAACACAATTTCAGTATCAGTCAGGTTCATATCTAAATCTGGTGGATCGTCAGGGATTCCTTCGAACAGGATTTCTACGTCTGAGGCATCTAATGGACTGTAAAAATTCATTGGTTCTAATAGGCTATTGTTGATTAAATCTGAGAAACCTTTATGTGTTAGAAGTTCTGTATCCTCGAATGAAGTTGATTCAGCAGGCAGCTGGTTACTGGTTTCATACCTGAAATACGTTTAACTTCCGACCACCATGATTTCGGGTTGGACTTTTTTAGATTGGCAACTCTGGTAGCAAAATATTTTCCCCTATAGGATTTCCTCATTCTGTTCACTCTCTCTCTCACTCTACTCACCCGAATGCCTTTGTCGCCTGCAAGGAAGTGCATGCCTGAACAACCGCCACGCAGTTTTATTATAAATATTTTTACTTATTAATTATAATAGTGATTTCTGTCAATTCTTCCAGCATCAATGTATGGGCAAAATGTCCCCGTGGCTACTTTCTGAGAGGCTTCACAATAAGTATGGCAGTTGGTTTAAGCCATATAGAAGAAGCAAAATGCTGCCATCCACAGACTCACCCAAACGAATACGGGGACTGCTACGAGGAAGACGTTTCAATTTCGTTCGACAATAAAGGTTGGAGTGAATGCAAACGGCAAGGCTACTACATGGCTGGATTCTACAAAGGGACTTGCGATGGCATTAACTGCATCGAAAAGTTCTACTGTTGTCAAATGAAACATTGTAAGTAATTTAATATAGCACATAATTATTTATATTTAAGGCACCCTTTCCGTATTATGTTTAACATGAGTTAGCCGAGATGGGGTTGAGCAGAGGGAGTAGCTAATATAGTTATTCTGTGTAAGAAACAGTACAAAATGTAAGGCTTGAATTTGAATAAGAAATATTCAATTGTACATAGGGTACCAAAGTAGATAATGCTATATCAAATTTATAATGCTATATCAAATTTATAGGAATATATCAAAGGGTGTGGCATATACCTTCTATATCGTATATCGCGTCTTATTGTATTTAAAAACTATAATAATTTATTAATAAACAATCAATATTTAATTTTCCTTCAGATGGTAATACAATTATTGGGAAGAGAAGTGCAAGATTCAGGAAAATTTTCAACCTTTAAATTTATTGTGTATTAAGATTCCAAAGTCCTAGAACTAGAAAAAGGGGTTATCGTTAGTTTTCCATGTAATTGTGATAGAAATAAATATAGAAAAGTGTTAAAAAAATGGATAGGTTGTGTCATTTTGTGTTGAAAATACGGTAAAGCTAATGTCTATTTGTGTCAAAATTATGAAAAAATTAGGTCGTTTAATGGCTATATAGGTGAAAAAAAATCAATGAAAAACTTGCCGGTGATTTTTTCAGTTTTCAGTCCAAAGTTGCATAGTATTCTTCAATTCAAACGCTTAATATTGAGATCAAGTAATTAATATTTATTTCTTGCTATTTTTCTTAACAAAGGCGCGAAAGGCTTTGTGAAATCTAAAAATCTGACATATATACGTCTGACATGATATAGTCCCCAATAGTTATACATAATTATTATCGTTAACATTAACTTTAGCCAGAATACATAAATCTTTCGTAGTAAATAGCTTATAGTGGTTTGAACATTTATAACATGCAGTACATTTATCAAGACTTTGCGGGTTTTGTATTTAATTTGCATAATTGCGAACTAAAATGGAGTGATTTACGAATTATTGTACATATTTTCGACCATACTTCCAACCATACTTTTTTGCGAATATTTCTATCTTGTCTCTAATATACAAAGTTATGAATAATCAAACTAAATTATTATATTTTCCTTGAAAAAGTATTATTTTCTTATTATTTACTTATTGCATTTTTATACGCAAAAGTTTGCGTATTCATTAAAAGAATCCAAGTACGCCATTATAGCTGTGTAGCAAAACTGATATTGCTCCTATACAAAGAAAAATGTATAAAGAATGATTGACTGCATTAACATAAAAATGTCCAGTATTGAGCACAGTTTATTTACAGCAACGTTACTCAACAGCAATTCATAGCACTTTGCAATTCATAGGACACAGTTCAAAAATACAACAAATTGTTGAATTTATCAAGGATCGATTATTTCTCAATGGATGACTTGCGCTTCAGAGTTCAGGCTAATTTTTGATAGAAGTAACAAAATAAATCACACAGCTAGAAAGAGCATACTTAAATTAGTGCAAATGTGAACTTTGGCCGCGAAATTTTGTTAAATGCAAAGCAAAAGGATATACGGGAAAAAATGTGTACAAAAGGATATATTACGTGCAAAAATGGACGACTTGCGCTTTAGGTTAATTTCTTACCCAGGCAATAAAAAGGACACTTTCTAAAAAAGCGTATAAAAATTAGTAAAACTGCCAAGTTTATCTGCGAATTTTTTTAAATTACGGAAAATATAGCCATGCCAAGTTGACAGATTTTGTACACTTTTGTATTTCGGCCGGAACTGTAACTAATTTACACATTTCCCACGTAATACAAAAGTATTCAAATTTGCCAACTTCGCATTTCTATATTTTCCGCATTTTATAGAATTTGCGGCCAAACTTTGCGTTTGCACTAATTTAAGTACGCTCTTTCTAGCTCTTCTGGTCTATTTCGTTGTTGTTACTTCTATAAAAAAATAGTCTAAAGTAGTCTAAAGCGCAAGTCGTCCATTTAGTTAAGCACTTCCGGATACAAAAGAAGTAAAAGAAATTATCAGTTTCGCATGCCTATATTTTCCGAAATTTACAGCATTTCATAGCCAAGCTGATATAGCTAAGAAATAAGTCTAAAGCGTAAATCGTCCATTATCTGCTGTGGTTTTTTACATTTTTGCACTAAACCCCACGCTTTATACTTTCAAATGATGCAGCCATGCATCTAGACAAAGCGAATAATCCCAAAATCTACTCACAGAATTTTCGACAAATTGGGCTCGTGCTCCTCTGATAATTTTTATAGTCTGGAAGACATCCATTGCTTGTTTTATTTTTATTCGTTCCAGGAGGTTTGAAATTGCAATGTACGTCCCTGTCCGGCCTGCCCCATCACTGAAATTAAATTATTCAATACATAAATTATGCTGACACAAATATTGGAGTACCGCATACTATCTACATTTTGTGTGTCACGGACATGAAAATTAGAGCCCTCTGCCCCATTTCTGGTACCAACGATAGCCGTAAACGACAAGAAATGCGACTCGTCTACAGTCTTGGCACTCTTCATCCCTCTGGCATAAATGAAAGACTCTCTTTCATTTAAGCTACTTCACCCATAGTAATATGACTACCATTTTGTTGTTTACATCAAAGCTGGTTGTAATATGTTTTCGTTGCTGATCAGACTTCCCTCATGCATTTGCGGGCTATTCCTATCCCACATGCAATCAGGCGCCTCTTTGGCGATGTAATGTATGCCAATTTGTTTTGATTTTTTGTTTTCTATTTGCTCATTTTTATCACGTGTTTTGCCCCCATACAAAACATGTATTCTCCCCTATTTATTTTCTTACTAACTCTCCTGACGAAGGCCCTCAGGTCGAAACGTCGAGAAGTGTTTTGTCTATTTAGACAGTGGTTATACCACATGTGATGCTAAGTTGTTTGACACTGCCACGTTGCCCGCCGTCCTTGGTTATATTGATACTATCTGCATTGCCTTTTATTCATCGATATTCAATTTGATCAGACTAAGAGTTATTTGAAGAGTTATTTTGGGTAATAAGGAATAGTTGCATATGATATAGTAAAGTTGAATTACTTTGGCAAGCTTTAAAATTTTCAGCCTATTTTAGGTTGAGGTTGAACGCACGCTCATCGGGCTTCAACCAATCAGAACACATGTTAATGTTAATTTATGAAACAATTTATAACAAATTAAAGCTGTATGTAATGTTTTTAGCTATGTACCTGCATGCCACGATTATTGGCCCCTTATGATTCTTCCTGGAATTTTCGGCCAGTGAATTTAGTGTGATGACGGCATTCCCTTTAGGAGGTACGCTGTGGTCCGGCCATTTCGTGTATTGGAAAATAGTTACAATACGTGGTTCTGACATATCCTATATAAATTCAAAGAGCATAATTAAATAAAGTATCCATGTTTCATGGTAATGATATTTTTATATTCACCAGTACACATAATGGGATCGATTAATGATAAATCTGTTCTATATTTACATGTCTTCAAACATATTCTTATACACTTACTGAATAAGTTGTTAGGGAAAAGGTTCTAGTCCATATTTCATCCGATTGTTCTTCAGAGTTCAACTGAACCGTCATCGTGCCGTACTGTGCAGGTTCACCTGGGTTTGTTGGCCAGAATTTTGGGAACGACTGAAACATGAACGTTTTAATCAGAACTTCCATGCAGTTTTGTTATTGTCGTCATGTTCAAATGTAGAATTGTAACTTTATTGACACAACATTTCGCAGAACAAAACTATCCGATCAAATATACAGTACAATGCAACTTTGCTAGAGACCGCTGCTGATTTGAAAAAAGGTTAGAATTTCTATGCTATAATTTTTACCGTTCCGTCTTTGACGTTGTTTAACAACACAATCGTGGATGACTTTTGATAATAAACCAATCGCCAGAAGTCGTTCATCGTATTCGGAAGAGGACTTTGGGTTGCGATGAAATAATTTCGCCCGAGGTAACCCTGGAGAGATATGGGGGGCTTAGTTTACAAATATTCACTATAAGAGAACGACGTGGTTCATGAATCAACGAACGCACGTGGCTGATTTATTGACAGTTTCAATATCGAAGAGTTAGAGTGATCAATCCTTTGTTTGCCGTTGTATTTGGCAAAGGAAAAAAGCAAAATCAGCAATATTATAGTTGTTGGACAATGTGCTCCATATTGCGTACTTCCGAATATTAAATGAGCTGAATAATTGATTGAATCTGCTCTGATTTCATTAATCCATTACTAAAATTAATCCATTTTTACTGATTTTTTTTAATGATATCTCCGGGATTTATATTACAACTTAACTGTTTCTAAACTATAGAGCCACCTTAAATGGATTGAATATCTCGTGCTCTTCCCTCGGGGCATGTTTTTGCATGAAAACTTTTTTTATTATGAACAATCAATGTGTACTTAAGACATCGCGCCTCGGCTCCATGTTAAAAAGTATTTCCGAATAAAATTGTATTATATTGGTCGAAATTAAGAATATAATTGACGCACATAGCTCAACAGAGTAAAACTAGGAATTCATTTCGTTTAAAAAGGTGTGACGAGCACTAATTATTAGAAAGGACTATAATTTTGTAAAACGGTCTTAAAAGTTTTTGATGCTCTCACATGAACAAACACAGCGTTGATGTAGTCTGAATATTCCAATCCATCCACGTACGGTAGAGGTACACGATTGCTTTCGCCTGAAAAACACAAAAAGTTTATGTTGAATTTGATAGGTCGGTCACGATAGAGTGGTGCAATTTTATCTAATTAAGCTCATTTTACTTCAAGACCTCTTCATCTGTGCGAAATATGAGCATTTCGAAAGCTGTTCAAATACTTGTGGAAATACTAGATATTACGTATACCAGGAAAGATATTCTTGTCGCGATTCTTTTTGAGATTCTCTTGAAGCATTGCTGCATTGTGTTCCTCTGAAGAGAATTTTGGCGAAACCTCACCCAACATCTGAAACAAAAATAAAAAGTTGAACAATAGAGTTCTCAAGCGCGTAATGCGTGACGGTAGTTGTTCATCAAGGTCAATTTGAATTGTGATTTCGCGATGCTCAGGATCGATTTAGTTTAACAAAGAAGCAAAAAGAGTCGGCAAGGTTTTCAGGCATTGCGCGCTTGAAAACTATTAAGCGAAAAGGGAAAGATCTACAGATTCTGGGACAAATTCCATGCATCGTATCTTCGATTGTATTGCATGCAACAAAATCGTGTTGAAAAATGCAGCAGGAACTCATTCAGGTATATCACTATCATGATTTCCGACAAATAAATTCTCCGTACAAATAATTTTTAAACCGTAACTACTAGCTGGTACAGAAATATAATTTTATATATAATATTATTTCAACGAATAACAAACCTTGAACTTCTCCTGAAAACCAGTAAATCCACTGGCTTTAACTTTGGCAAGAATTTCATTCTCTTTCTTGATTTTGATGGTGTCAACCTCGTTCATACCACAAAGAATATTTTCCAAAATGGCTTCGTGGATGAATATGTATTGTTGCTAAGATAAAAAGCACTAGATGGAAAGCTATTTCGTTTATGACTATTTTTGCTATAAAATGCAACAGAGAAAAATCGTAGTCTATGTATTAACAAAGTCATCACAGAATGCGACTGGGAATCGGTATACCTATGACTATGCCTTGGTCAAAATGATGTCTTTGAAAGCGTATCATGTAAAGACGACAATCTACTCCAATAACCAATTTGCCTTGCCATTAATATTATTAATTTTGGTAATGTTAATAAAAGATTATAACATCAATATGAGAGCAATACTATCGCCTGTATTCAAAAAGCTCACTCACACTCACACTCACACTCATGGAGTGTGACATATAAATTTTGTTACTGCTGATCAATAAGAAAGTTTTTTCTGAATAGATGGAAAGATATAAGGTAAATCACTGAAAATCAAGCCCCTATTCGGCTCGAAATACCGCCATTGAAACGTTATGAGAGGATTAAGATCTCCCACTCAATGAGTTTGAGTGTGAGTGAGCTTTTAGAATACAGGCGTATATATATACTCGTACCAGAGTTTGTACCATATTCATTCTCCTTTCCCTCATTGCACATACTTGTCCAAAAACATCAATGGAATCGATAACACCTTTCTCGAGTTTATCAAGGATAATATCAATTGCAAGAAAAACACCTGTTCGACCAACACCAGCACTGAAATAAATTTAAAAAACAAATAGAGCGACGGTGACCAAAGGGCAATGTTTGCTTAGCTACCACTTATAATAATTGTCTTCGAATGAATTGACTTTGACTTCGACTTATTCGGATTTCGGATTATCAAAATAATGCGATAAAAATACTTAATTTAAGCCGCCGCGTGTACAGTAATGATTATATAGATACACGTATCTGGGCCAAAGCCAATTGTTTATTTCGAAAATTGGCATAAATTGCTGTCTTTTTTGGAAAATCATCTGACCTGCAATGAACGATGATGGGCCCAGACTGATCCAAATGATAAGATCTGAAATGTGTTCTAAAAGCCAGGAGCTGAGTTGGATATTTGGGTACGCCATGGTCAGGCCATGATAGAAAGTGGTAGTGACGAACATCTCGTTTTTCCCCATCCTACATGAAGTTGATATCCTAATTACGAGTGGAAGTTCCATTGACGTAGATGACAGTGAGACAAAAACACTAGTTACATATACTGGATTGTAAATATTTTCAAGGAAATCCAACTTTTCTTCCTCACCTTTATAATTTCCAAGGTATGCGTGACGTGATCAGCGAACTCTTCTGTCTTCGTTAAAGTCACTTCAATGTCTCCATACATTTCACTTCCTTTGTCAGGCCAATATTTGTCACATTTAGGCTAAAATGTAGGTTTGTATGCCATAATTATTCCACACAAACAATTCCACAACTTGTGATTCAGGACCCATTTTTACGTCTTTTTAATGCATTTAGTAGCGAAAGATGAATCAAGATAACTTACTAGCTGGACAATATCCAAATAATAATTTGATATTTTTCTATTTATTCTTTAAGTCCTTTGGACATATTTAATTTTTTCGCGCAAACTCTTCTAATTTACTTGAAATTTCGCTTGTAATTGACAATAAAACACTCCAATTTAAATAGCTAGACTTTGGTTAGTTATTTGCTTGAGGAAAATCTGGTGGCCTCCAGTAGTTCATTTAGCTTTAATTTTCTATTTTTTCTGAAAAAATATTTTATCCAAAGAGAATTGCGGGCAAGAACCAAAACAAGCGAAAACTAGCTGCAACCTTACAAGAGAAAAAAGAGAACACTGAATAAGAAGAAACATGGTGCACAATTGAGTTGGAGTTTTAAAAAATGAAGTGATTGATAAAGGAATATATTTCCTTAGTTTCTCCAAATAAGTTTGCTTGGTTTAAAATGGAGAGAGCATCTGAGTGATTGATTATAGTTGAGCATGGTGATTATGTAGATAGACAGTATTGTTTATGGTTATCAGTAGCGTAGCCAGCCTGTGGATTTGTCCCGCTATGCTAATATTTTGGTGTTCACTAACTGTGAAAACAATAGATTTCTAAAGACATGAATAATTACAATAACTCGAAATTTACACAGCGGGACAAAATCGTCAGGGTGGCTACGCCACTGATAGTTATGGAAATAATGTCGTTAGCCCTGATATTCTGATCTTAGAATTATGATGCTAATAATTTCGAAAATCACTGGTAACTATTCCCATTTATAGGGTCCAGCCAAGGAGACATTTACCTTTCCACGCTCAAAAAGAGAGGTTACCATAACAACCGAATAGCTATTCTGCTCCCAAACCATTCGCCACATGTCATTCACAGTAGCTTCGTTAGGACCTAATAGGATAAAGCAAAATGTATTTAAAAAATGAAATGACCGTGGTGAAGACTGAAAAAAGAGGAATATATAGTGAGATTAGTTTTTTTTACTCTGTTTGAATTAATAAAGTGTTTACTACGTTGGATTTCTCCTGTAACAAAATAGTTTTTTGTAGATGATCATCATAATAGATATAGAGTAACTGAAATTTCACTTTTACATCAAAATTAATATTACCGTAGACAAAGCACACCAAATCATTAACAGAATCCAACATATGCATCTATTCAATAGTATATTTCATAAGTATCATTTAATTTATTTTAAACTTTTACGTGCGTAGTATATTTGTACGTACAAAAACGCGACAGTGGAAAACGGCCCTTATACTCTTGCTTTGTTTTTAGTATTGGAAGAGAAGTGGGATTTTGTCATGACTTTTGTAGATATTCATAAACCTATCTTCTATTTTTAACAAAACAAATTTTTCATCACATGTCCGTCAAACAAATGACGTAAATATTACCATAGAGAACCTTGAAATTGGCAAATAATTGAAATAATGAAAAATAGTAATGTGACATATTCACTCTGTTCAGAGTCACCGTACATAACTACTTTACCATTTTACTCACCCTGACATGCAATGTACGACCTCCCATCGAAACCCTGAGCGAATGAAAAATCAGTTAAAATTAATGGATTCGCAATGTGGGCTTGCAGAAACAGTTTTCGTTCTATGGACGGACTTTTTAGATATACGTCATAGTTAAAAATTACAGATAGGCTAAAACTTACATCAATGTGGCTAGCGTTAATGTAATCACTATTTTCATCTCCTGATAGAATTACACGAGAATTGTCATCTAAATTATAAATTCAAAGTGCTAAGCTAGGGTAATGGCACATAAGTGTGGCAATGCAATTCAAAGTAGTACAATGTAAATATAGGCAAGCTCATCGCTGCCGGGCCCTATAGTCCCATCCAGCTTCGGGACAGATAACAGAGGAAATTAGGTAAGAAAATTTAAATGCAGTACATGTAACGACATTTCCATATCTGTTTTTTGGCTTGTTAAACGGCTTTTTAGATACTTCCCAGGATATGTTCAAGTTTGTCGGCAAAGCCTACACAAGTAGAACATGAAAATTGAGACAAATGATTTTAAAAACGAACGCAGGCTCAGCGGGAATGACGTAACATCATTGTATCAAAGGATCGTCGGTTGAGAGAGGATTTCAATTTTGAGCTACCGGTTATAATTTGTGATGCCTTAATAGTTTGGTTTCTTTGGGCAGCAGCTAGGTGAGCATGAGTGATATTTATTGTTCAGACTGATAGTAAAGTGACCTGTGTACGAGTCACGGCATTATATTTCACCTTGATTGTCTTGTACAGGCAATCCTTATGTTCTAAATCGGATATAGTTCTTTGCGTGCAATAAAATATAATTTATTTGCAGTCACTAGCGACTGAATTACAGTGGCTACTTCTATACATTGCCTTTAAATTCGGTGTGAGCATCTGTTCTGAATTAATATGACTCACAGCCTGCAGTTAAGCCTGAAGGCAATGTTGACTATAATAAAACGTGTGAGCAATGTGTTGATCAAAGTTATGTGAACCGCGCTATTATTTTGCATGAGGACCTTGAAATAAAACTGAGATAAACGAGAATGTCACCCAACAGTATAAAGTGGGGTTTGCAGACACCGAGTCCGTACCGGCTGGCGGCAATTTAGACATCGACAATACAGGGTGTCTCAAAAAAACGCAATATGCAAGAATATTAATATTGTTCGTGTTTGCACCATAGTTCAGCTAAAATGACTTTTAGCATTTCAAATGAAGAATTAAGAGCCATTTTCAATTCCCAGAGGTGCACTTTAGACCTGTATTAATGTTCTTGCGTGTTGCGTTTTTTTTTGAGACACCCTGTATTGTTGACAAATTACGTTTGACGAAAGGGAATTAGGCAAGAGCAAGCTAAAGTGATCATAAGACCCCATGACACCTCTGAGATGTTCAAATGCGGTCACCTAAGCAATAGTATTATTATGGAAAACTTCACAAAAATCCTGGTAGAACGCAAAGCAATGAATGTTTTCGTTTCCTCCAATAATTTTAGTCTCACAATATTTGGAAAAAATCTCTTAGCGCATTCTTCTCGCTCAAATGTTACTTCAACTATTGAAACTGTTGATATGGACCAGCAAATTGGGGCTTCTGACTGATGAATTGCACAAGATGAGAACGCTCAAACTGATGGTCCGTCGAGTGCCAGGCAACATTTAGAAAGCGATGACCTTTTTAAAATTTGTTTATTGCTACCATTTGTGCCACCAAACCTCATCAGCATTCGGGGACTCAAACTCTATCTCGATGGTCAGGAATAAAGGTGTCTTAAAAGATGCAGGTATCCATGTTGTTTTTAGAAACGCATTCTAAGGGGCAGGCTTCTGCGACAGCCGCTTTTGCAATAGATATTCTCTAGTCGACAAAATTCCAAAAAGACCTGGCTAGAGTGTTACTAGTGCAGTGAATTTCAACCTGTTTTATCATATAAGTTAGTAATACAGTGTAATAATTATCATGTGTGTATAAAGGCTAGTTTTCACTCAGGAAAAATCTCCTTTGGATCGGAACGGACAGGAAAATTTCCTTTGTCGGTGAGTTCTCAGTCGGCGTTTATACAAAGGAAACTTTCCTATTCTGTCCGATCCAAAGGAGAATTTTCCTGAGTGGAAACTAGCCTAGTATATATCCCTCTTAAACTTAAATAATACTGTGATACTTACATATTTATTAACTAATACTTCAATTGTTTGTATTAATGTATTATCCACCCAATTGAAGTATTAGTGATGTGTGGATCCAATCTGTTTTGTACTCACAGTACCGCGCTATTTTGAAGACTTCATGTCAGTCCGCAGGTTAATATTCATGGGATAGAATTTAGAATACAAACTAGACTAATCTTGTGTTAAATTTTGACTTAAACGTAAGTATGGTTACATGACGTAACCATAGTAACTAAGACTGACAAACTCATCCTACCTCTCCTTGGGGGTTGTCTTTGTTAGTGTAAGCAGGTTAAGAACATCGATATTACATCACTCGCGCTGAGCATGCATTCGTTCGTCAGTCTTAATTTCAGTCCTTGTTACTACTGTTATGTGATACAATTCCAGTAAAATTTCAGCTTGAGGTAAGTCACATTTGACTACTAAGTATACCAATAAACATACTTTTATCCTTAATTCAAAGAATCGTAGCTAATATTAATAACTTATATCTATTTAGCGCGCCTTAATATTTATGTAGCAAGAATACATTTTATTTGCTGGCGGAGGCATGCATGATACAGCTATATGCACCAATTGAACCGAGATGGTTTTGCTAAAAAAATTTTGCTTCACACTCACATCATACTCTTTTTGGAATTCATAATTTTCGTTTGCTTTCAGTTCGTTCACATGATGTGCAAAGTCAGCAATTAGAACGGGAGAATGAGTCTTCTTATCAATCGCACCTATATAAAATAGAAGTTCCAGTAACTATTAGTTTATTCACACACATTGGCAATAGGGTATCAGTTGCAGCGGTACTGAAATGTTTTCTTAATTCCTATCTGGTATATATACACTAGCAACTTCAAATATTCTTAGGCAATCGTAAGCAAAAGCAACAAAGAGGCCTAGAACGACATAAAGTTAGACCATTTTTCTCATAAGATTGGCTATATAGTTTTACACAGGCAAAATGATTCGGTAGGATTTCAAACAGGATGACAAACATTTGAGTTGCCAGGAATGTAAAAGATTGATCTTGATTTGTGACAGGTATACAGTCACGTACGTTGTTCATTAGCTATCATATGTCTATATGATAGGAAACAATAATGCAGGATAATAATTTTTCAGTTATCAATTTAAAAACGTCCATATCCCTTTCTCAGAAGAAATAAAAAAGGGCATAAGCATTTTGGTAACCTGGCCATACTGCAGACAGAAGAATCATAAAAAGATGTTTAAATTCATAAACTTATAATTTTTACGTTCAATGAAAACGAACTACTGAGGCCCGTTTCATACGCCGTACTTTACATGTGCCGAATTAAATTGAATTGAGTGCGGCTCAATGTGAATTGGGCACGGCAAGTGATTCATACGGCGTAATTAATTCTGTCAAACTTAATTTATTTGAAATGTTTGCGCGGAAAGGGGTCTGGATATAAGCGATTTGCCCGCGAAGACGCGAAATTCAATTTCACTATGGCGCGTCCTGGAAAAGCTGGATATCTAATGAAAATTTTGACACTGAATGCCAGACGGCGAAGGCAAAAGCTGAAAAACATGTCTTTGCTCTTTATGGCAATGAAAAAAAGGCGTCTGCAAGTTTTACTAAGTCTTTTAGCTTTGATGCAGAATTTTCTGCAACAAAAAGAAATACAGCGTTCCTGTCGACGGCTGAGAAGAAACACCGGATGGTGGCAATTGGTATGGAATGCTTATTCTGACGAAAGATTTAAGCGAACATTTCGGGTATCAAAAGGTACATTTATATTTATATTGAGTCGTATTCGCAATGAGCTTGAACGGGATACTGTCAATGAATGTCCAATATCCCCAGAATGTCGTCTTGGAATTTGCTTGTACCGCTTAGCAAGAGGCGATTATTTTTACACAATATCAGAGATGGCAGGTTTGGGTGTGTCGACGATTCATGGGATGGTTTCAGAAGTATGTAAATCTATTGTGGAAAACCTGTGGACAGAGTTTATATCGAGTATGATGCCTACTAGATGGATAGTATGTGGACTATGTGGCAATTCCCATTCTACTGGGCTGCGCTGGATGGATGTCACATACCGATTAAAAGCCCACCTGGTGGAGCCGAGGCGTGTAAGGAGTACCACAATTTTAAAAATTTTTATTCTGTGGTTCTTATGGCTATGGTTGATTCAAATTATAGATTCATATGGGGTAGTTGTGGTTTTCCAGGGAACTCCCATGACTCTATTATCTTCCAGGCTACGGATATGTGGGATAAAATTCAGAATCGTGGAGCTGTTCCAGATATTGGGAAAAAGGAAGCAGATATAACTATTCCTCCATTAATTGTAGCTGATTCAGCATTTCCTTTACAACCATGGTTATTAAAGCCATTTACAGAAGCTGTTTTAAATGACAAAATGAAAAACTTTAACTATAGACTAAGCAGGGCTAGAATGGTTACAGAAGGAGCATTTGGACAACTTAAAGGAAGGTGGAGAATCTTGATGAGAAAGAATGAAAGCACTCCAGAAGAAGTTACCATAAATACACTATCATGCATGGTGTTGCATAATATTTGTATTGCAAGGGGGGATGCAATTTCTTCTGCATTGGACCTTACCATTGATCCAATTACCAATGCCAGAAAATCAAGTGAAGAAATTAGAGATGAATTACACATGAGCAAGTGTAGAAAAAACCAAAGAAATTCCAACGCACAAGCAAATAAAGTAAGAAATGCTCTTGCAGACAAACTGTGGAGAGAAGTTTTAAACTGATGAAACTGTTTGAATTGACTTGACCATTTCGTTTATTTACAATCAAGTTTTATATAACAGAACAACAATAATGTAAAAATAATCTCAAAACATATATTGTCACAAAGTTACCTATTTATTGTTTATAAGGCCAAAATTATAAGAACAATACTTTGATACTCTACTGGCTATCAAATAAATGTTATTGTTAGATGTATACTGATCTCATTCTAAAGTTAATATCAAACAATATTGCATGCTACTAGTGACATGTTTAAAATGTACACTTGCATGCTTAACCCTTCAAACACAAACTACAACAAGTTACCTGTAGCACATATACTAGTAAACTGTACACATATGCATTCAACTGAATGGTGGTGCATGAAAGAAACCCTGTGTCCATTCATTTTCTTGATTAGCTGATGGTGTTGATTGGCCATTGTATTGCCAAACTGAGCAGTTTCTATCAGCATATTGTATGTTGTACTGCTGAGGTGGTTGAGAAGCTGAAGCTGAGCTTTGATTGAGCATTTGCATCATCTTTAACTCATATTCTCGAGTTTTTTCAGACTCTTCCTTTAAAAAGGACAACACCTCCTTTGTTGGATCTTTTTCAATTGTACTCTTAATAAGATTCAAAGTTTCATTAACCATGTCCTGTTTACTTCTTTTTCTACTGCGTTTATTAATTACGAACTTTTCCTTCTTCCCAGATGAACTTGATGTTGAAGGTTCATCTTCTTCCAGGATTGTTAAGCTTTCTTCTGAACCAGACGGTTCCAATGCAAGTTCTGACCTACAAGCATTACGCGTTTTGACTATTGCAAACAAGTCATTAAACCATTTTCCATAGTCCTTTTGCTCAATAAATCTGTCGATTCCAGTAGCAGTTTTGATTGTTAGGGCTACACTTTTACATTCTGAAACACATTTTTTGAATTTTGTTCGAACTTGGTTACTATTAAATGGCACTTCTTCTCCCCTTGATTCAACACGTTTCTTTAGCTCTGCAAGCACTTTTTCATAAATATCACCATTTCTTTGGTTTTTTTGATTGGTAAAAATCAATTTCTTTTTATACTGCTCACTTGAAATGATTATGTCTACCAGATCATCAAGTATTGATTGGCTCCATTTAGCCTTTCTACCTCTTTTCTTCTTTTTGCACTCCTCCTAGCTGTGGTATGATGGGATCATCTTCACTTGCTGATGAATCGAGATCATCATTAAGATCACTAAATCAAGAGCTAAAGGGTTAGGTGACCTGAATGTGTTCATAATTAACATCTAGTTGTTACATATTCATAAATATTAATCTATACTTGGGTGTTGTCATATACTATAAAATTTATGACAAGATCGACACCTCATATAATTTTATAGTGCATAAAAACCTGGCAAAAAACCTTGAAAAAGATGATAGAACCGATCTTATACCTGGTAAGAAATGAATCTTTCACACTTTTGGTGCGATTATCTGTGACAAGAGTCTGCGTTTCCAAATTATCAGTTTTATCACGAGGTACAGCCCCATCAATAATCAACTTTCGTTTTGAAAGGTTTGTTTTCCGTTCGCATGAATAGCAATAAGCCACTTGTTTTCCCATGATCCAATCATTCGTATTTTCGTCTATCTCTGGAGTTCCACAAAGGTTGCATATTGGCTTTTTACACTTGATACAAGCATACTTTGTATCAAGAGAGCACGAAGAGCACGCTTTGTTCGCCATGTTTAGTGCAAAAACAAGTGTATTATGGGAAAAATTATTATTTTTAATTATTTATAATTTATGCTTTAAGTTCGGCACATGTGAGATACGCCGTCTAAATCAGCTGCCGCACCAAAGTCGCATTATGCGACTAAACGTGTCGAATTTATTTATTTTGCCGCACTAAATTAATTTGGTTGATTCAGACGTCGAACTTTTGCCGTGCCTAATTCCTGAATTTAATTCGGCACATGTAAAGTACGGCGTATGAAACGGGCCTGAGACTCTCGATTGAATATAAATTCAAATTCATCTCTTTAGCTTCAGTGCATGTATATTTAGATTATAGGTAATAGTTATACTCCAATAAATCGGTTGTATTTATTTATCGATGAATCTTTTGCTTTAGAGATAAAGAAACCTGCTAATTGTGTACACTTTGCATTGCCAGTATTTTTCTAAACAACTAACCAGTTTCATTTGAATCAGCATGTTCATCCATTTCGTTGCATTCCTTTTGGGTATCGCTTTCAGAATTTTCACATTCTTTAAAATTTCTCCTAAGAAAAGATGAGAAGGAGGTCTAACTTACAAATATAATGTAAAATTTTTACTCTTTTAGAAAATTAGTTAGAATAATTATATTCATGCAGCATTTTTTAATGTTCGCCTACATTTTTTTTTAAATTTTAGAATTCTTAAAATTTTAAAAAGCCGTCAAATCCCCCCCCCAGAACTACTGCATGATCATCATCAAACTTTGTCCTCCCACAGCATGATAAAACTGTTGAACTAGTGACATGAATTAAAAGTCTTTTTATAGCAGGAAATAAAAACACAGATTATCGTTGCTATACTGCCTTCATTTTCGACATTTTTTCCTGAAGACATGAAATACTATGTCTATGAATTCCTAAAAAATCAACAGGATTATAATATAGCGTCGTAACCCATGTTTACAAAACAGGTCTCACTCTGGTTTCTATTTGGTTCTCGCACTCAAAATTTGAAGTTTTCACTTTGTTGGTTTTTATACTCCTGGACAACTTTATTAAACTGAGTAGAAATCTGTAACATCCCCAAACACTGCTTATTTGTTCGCCTGATTTTGGACAATCATTCATATAACTAGATTATAGTTGTAGGACACGACGTAAGTATTTAATACAAAATGACAAGAGTATTATTAATCTTTAACGTAATTATTATCCATCTTGCAATATTACCTTCTTCTGAAGAATATGTAACTTAATACCAGTACAACAACTACAGCAATCGCGGCAAGCGTTCCGCCCACTGCGACTCCTATACTTGCCCCACCACCACCACCACCATCATCAACCCGCGCATTGACATCACCACTCCCTTTATAACACATTGAATATCAGGTTTTGGGAAGGTTACCGTTAATACTATTATAAATTATATTATAAGATATAAACATTAATAGTGGGGGTAGTTTGTCGATACACTAGGGAACAAGACCGTTATTAGATGCATGAAATTTCCAAAATACCTTTGTCTAATTTGAATGGTTTGCTCCAGTATGACCAGAATCGTTTCTGAAATAGAAGTCCGTAACATTTTTCTAGTAATAGATAATTAAAGTGCTATGCTCTAATTCTTCTCCAATACGGAAATCTTATCAATATGGTGTCTATGGTTCTATGTGCATGGATACCAGGTTGTAGTCTAGGTTTCGCGACTTACCCCGGAAGTGTCCTTACTCATTTGCGCACATCTATACGTTGACGTTGTACTTAGTTTTAATACAAAGAACTCGGCTGGGACTCTTTTTCTCCGTTCGATGGGCTCAGACTTTTGAAGCGAAATCTCTATGGTTTTTAAACCTTGGAATTCACTTATACTGTATTGTTTGGCCAGAAAGGCACCATTTTCTCTCGCTCCTCCCTGTGATATTTTTAGAGTTTCCATTGCCGGAGGGTTCTTTGAATCCGGTTGAACTAGGAGTAATACTAATGCGACCGTTCTAAAGGATAAGAAAAAAAGCATATTCTTTTTATTATTCAGAAACTGATTCCCGGCCAACGTCATCTCTTTGTTAAACATACTTTTTGCCCATTGTTGCGAAAATATTCGATTAAGAATCGCGAAAAAGGGCGCTTTAGGTTTAATCAGAAACTTAAATAAATCATAATAATTCGTTTAGTTTTAAATCTTTAAATAAAGAATCGACTCTTACGGAAATCAACATTGTATACTTCTGCTTTTGGAAGAACGAAAATTACGAAATAAGATTTTTAATGTCTATGAGCATCTAAAGGGCAAGCTGCCCTGCTTCCCACGTGGTTCCGGCGCTCCCTCACTGCCGCAAGGGTAGTCTTTTTTAATTTGACTAAAACTTACTCAATATCTCCACTCTCTGGCTTTTTCAGTAATAATGTGTAACTACCATCCGTTTCCTTTTGGAGCAAAATAGGTTCTAAAAGGAAAAACTTACATTAATCATTATGCCTCGCAAAATGCCATTGAGACCCCGTTTACACTAGAACGAAAGTTTCCGGATTTGTAGAATTATCCGGATTCATTGATAAGGCTAATTTCCACTCTGGAAAACGAGCAGTGGATCGGATCGGATCGGATTGGATCGGATCGGAACGAAAGATAATCCGCACGTGCACCGTCCGTTGAATTTTTGGCTTATATTGATCCGAAAGCGTCCGAGACCAGATAAAAAAGTTCAAATAGTTTAAACTTTTTTATCCGATCCGAAATCACTTCATGGATCGGACCAGGCTCGGAAAAAAATCCGATCCGATCCGCTGCTCCTTTCCCGGAGTGGAAATTAGCCTTAACACACATGTATCGGATTCGTCAGGTGTTTACACTACACTTTAGTTGTCTCTGTATGCGGATTTGTCCGTTTACACTCACATTACTTAATTGTTCTTGGAGAATTGTTTGGTCGTCACGTTTGAATTTCTTCAGATTCGTCGTGCAAAGCGTTTACACAAGAAAATTTTCCGGATTCAAATGTTTCTGCATGGATACGAAGTTTCCACAAACTTTTACGGATTCAAAGTTTCCGGATACGGCTTAAAGCCGAGTACATTTTCTATCGGATTCGTTGCTGCGTGTGTAAAAAGCAACATGAATCCTGTACTAATATATTCCGCTTTTGTGATGATTCCGGAAACATTCGCTCTAGTGTAAACGGGGTCTGAGGTGTTTAAAGGAATTTTTTGGCATTGCCTGGCTTTAGTGGTTGACATTGTAAAGCGATTATTCTAAATTTTAACTTGTTTTTACATCAATCGTGCTCCTTGGCACTTCACTCGATACACGTAAATTCTTTAGGGTTTAAAGGGTCAAGTTCGAGTGGAATTATTATTCACGCTTCACATTCAAACCAGGAACCGTTGAAGGAAAAATGGATCAACTATAGGTCATCTGGCTAGGATCGAACCTATACGCTTTTACGATGCCAGTGCAATGCTCTTGCTACTGAGCTACAGAGGTAGCTCTGACAAGAGCAAGCGTGGTTGATGTGTATAGCATGACAATGCCGGGAATTGGTGAGGTTAAATCAATTATGATTTGTGGCACTTCACTCGATGCTCGTAAATTCTAGGGTTTAAAGTGTCTTAAGTTCGAGTGGAATTATACAGACTTCAAATTCATGCGAGGAACAGTTAATGAGGAAAAAATGAGTCAACTATAGGTCAAAATGTACAGAAAATTGACTAAACAATTTTACGTACTAAATGCTATCTTTTATTTTTACCTAAATGATATTTTCATATCTTTTGACATTTTTATACCTGAATGAGATAACCATGACATTGATGCCCAATCACTTTTCCCGACATTAGTAACGATGCTTATTTGGAATGAGTACCCTGTTTGATAATCAACATCCACTTCGACCGATCTCGTATCTTTCGAGATAATCAATGCCATTTTCGAGCTGCCTGTTTGTCCGTAAAATGCCTGATACTGCAAGACAGTTTGGTTCACAGGTAAAAATATCGACCAGGATAAGGTATACTTTTTAGGAGCGATCGATTTGATCATTATTTCATGTGGAGCTATAGATTAAAGAAGAAAAAGAATATAACTATATATATGTGTCCCCCAAAAAGTGACGTACACTGCAGAAGTTATATCGTTGCTCTTAAATCTTTCTTAAACGCGCAAATCGAAATATTTCGAAAGTTTTTTTAATCAGGCATTCAATTATAAAACGGAAGAATTTTTGAAAATTTTGGCATCCCAGCCTTATCGTTTACAATGGGCTAAACAAGTGCTGTACCTCCACTTCTTCCATTTACTTCAAGATATTTCGGTCAATAATATCTTTATGTTAATAAAGTAGCAGATTTTTCTATATGTAAACAAGACGCCTGCTCTGGCGGTAACTCCGGCGTTCCGCGCACGTGGCAGTCTTCAACATAAAGCTTCAGAACATAAACAATACAGTTCATACTCATTTAATTTAGACGCCTTGCGAACCTAAATACCAGTATATTTTGCGCCAAAACGCACTCGTGACGATGAAAAAAAATTACAAAAAAACAACAAAACAAAAGCAAGGCGAATTTTCAACTCCGTCGGATATTTACCTGAAGGTTGCGTAGACGTAAGAACGCTTCTGCTCCATTCTGTCGAGTAAAACGTACCCTAAATAGATATTTGATTGAGTGAGTCGGAAATGTGAAACTACGTACTTCAGTGTGTTTCATGTCATACAAAATAGACGAGCAAGTTTAATATGACACAAGTCATATTTATGTCACAAGTTTTAATTGTCTGTCTGTACGCCCAACTTTGACAATTTTTTCTATAACATGCAAATACACTGTTTAAAATCTTGGGCGTGCAGACGAACAATTAAAACTTGCCACATAAAAACTTGTCATAGAAAACTTGCTCGTCTGTAAGAAGCTTGAAAGTGATGCCAAATAGAAAATTTTTCGTTAAAAATTTGCATGTTGTAAAATGCGGACTGGTCTGGACCGAAAGAGCGTGGCCTTGTAAATGACAGATATATAAAACGCGGACTTGTAAAGTGCGGAATAAATACGGGCAATTTAATACAAAAACGTAAAATATCTATCACACTTAACGCATCGGTATTATGTAAATTGAAAACAAGAGTTGAGAATTGTTCAGCAAATTTGAAAGAGATAAGTATGAAATAAACATTTTTTATTCTAATTTGTCATTGTCTAATGATCATGCAATAAGCTTTGGAGTCTTGCCTTTTGAGAATTTTCCTCCGAAAGGGAAAATTAGTGTAGAGATCTCAGGAAAATTATTATGTATTATTATTAATTCGGTATTTACAAGTCCACGTTTTATATCACGGACTGAGTCAGTTATTTACAAGTCGCAATTTGCAAGCCAGAGTTTTATATTACGGTATGAGTCCGTCATTCACAAGTCCACGCTTTTCCGGTTCTGTGCAGTCCGCATTTTACAACTTACCTTAACTATATTTACCTGGTTTTTGAAAAATCTTAGAAACACCGAATAACTGGTATTTGGTTTCAGAGCTTGGTTCAAGTAGTTCTTTCCATCGAGAAAGTAATTTTTCTTATCGCCGATCACAAACGACGAAGTCAAATCACTAACTTTCAAATAGGCTGCGATGTAAAGATTAGCGGTGTCTTCTGAGTAAGATCTTAGCGTGTTTGTTTCAATATCTTCGACCGCTGTTTGTTCAGCATTTCCACTTTTCACAATGATCATTACCTTTCTAAATAAATGATGTATTGAACTCAAGAAAATAGTCACTGACGAGAAAGGAGTGTCATACATATTACTGAGGTAAAAGGAGCACGTTCGATGCTAATACACACACGTTGATGCACCACGTTGATGCAAGCTTTAGCATGCGCATCAAACGTCGTTAAATAAAAATAATCGCTATATCATTCATAATAATCAATCATTTGTCTCATTTTTGATGGAGTAAAATATTTTCCAGTTTTTTAAAAATATATTTTTAACGTAAATCTTAGCACGTAGAAGTTTTACAATAACGCTTCTAAAAATTAATAGTATATACAACATAAAGGCCGGCGCACACTAGAGCTATGTGCTTTGCAAAAAGTCATTTGTGGCCATTGGTGTAAGCCAGTTGCTCTCGTGTGCGGGCGACTTTTCCGGCGATCATGCCACTTACGGCAAATATCTAGCATGTTTGATAATTTCTGCCTCGCGTGCCGAAATCTTTCCGTTTGCGGCAAACTGAAAGCTATCTGCTTATGGATTGTCTTAACAGCGCATGCATGCGTAGTATACGAAAGTAAACATCCAAGATGGCGGGACAGATTGCTAAAACAAAATTATGGATGAAAGTGATGTTGTTATTTTTGTTGCTGTTGCGTCGGACTAGACTAGACTTCCGCTTTAAACACCGTTATCCAAGTGCTATTAATTATATTACCTGTTTGAGAAAGCTTACTAGCTAGCTTCTCTCTGTTTCTCAAATCTGTAGAATTCACGTTGTATAAACACCTGTACTCTGGCCAAAGATCAACCAGTTTGTCTTCCAATATGCATGGCCTCAGCCACCAATTCGCCGGTTTTGCTTTGTTTGCACCGCTATCTTGGATGTTTACTTTCGTATATTACGCATGCGCTGTTCAGACAATCCATAAGCAGATAGCTTTCAGTTTGCCGCACACGGAAAGATTTCGGCACGCGAGGCAGAAATTATCAAACATGCTAGATATTTGCCGCACGAATGACCTAAGTCGCCTGAAAAGTCGCCCGCACACGAGAGCAACTGGCTTACGCCAATGGCCACGAATGACTTTTTGCTGAGCACATAGCTCTAGTGTGCGCCGGCCTTAACAATTCATACTATTTTTTGGTAACGTATTATGGCGAAATATGGCCAGAATTTTAGACGAAGAATAACACGAATACTGCAAAGCCCTATCTTCCTTTTTTCCCATCCCCGAGCAAGAGAAACGAAAAAAAGGCTCTGCTCGCAGGGTACTTGCTGGCGTGTATGACGAACAAGTTTTCGTTGACAAGTTTTCCTTGCAAAGTTTTATTTGCTCGTGTGTACGCGAAAAATTTGACAAATTTTTATTGACAAGTTTTACGATAATAGCTATGAGTATATTCATCGATAATATGAGCCATGATAAAATGAGTATACAACCATATCTCAAAACAAGAAATGATAAAACTTTAAGAACCCGCTCGATTGGCTCAAACAATGATGTTCCGCTGTTCCTTACTGCGCAATTCTTTGTCAAGTTTACTAGACGGCCGTACACACGAGCATTTTTCCTTGTCGAAAAGCTGACATGACTTTGAAAAATTGACAAAAACTTGTCAATTTTTTCGCGTACACAAGAGCAAATAAAAATTGGCAAGGAAAACTTGCCCGTTCTCGTTGAAGCTCTCTAATTTTTGTATTATCATGTTTGCCTGCAGATTACTGAATAAATTTGCAAAATATAATGGCAGTTGGTAACCTTTGTTCTCCGGTTTTGAATTATTAGGCTCTGGTCTTTTTAGTCATATAAAGTCATGAGGCGTCATGCAGACATTCATGTGCCTGTTTATACATTACAGGCTAGCTGCATGGACAACACCTTTAATTTAAAGAAACTTACTTGATATAAGGAGCTTGCGGTTTAAGCCCAGTTATGCTTAAACTCGAAGACGAATATCGGACAAGATTAACAGCATCTAAAATATATTAAATATATTATAACATTTTGCGATTAACAACACGAGTACTAGTAACATGAGTCCCCCGCTAACTCGAACTTCTCGGTAATTCGAATAAATTGTGTTTTCCCTTGGTAGAATATATCCGGTTTACTAGAACTTTGGTTTCGAATCATAGATCAGCAAACTTTAAAATTTGAGAAGATAGCATTTTGAGAACTGGAATCAAGCGAACCACAACAATTCAATCGGAGTATAAATTATTATAAACTTTAAAACATATATGTACTTCCACGATCGTTTTTTAGGGGTTTTGTAACATCTCTACATATCAACTTCATTTAACTTTAACGTCCAATTAACTCGGTTATGGTGTCGCTGCTTTAGTCAGTATTTCATTATTATATAAAACAGGGTTTTTTAGCAAATAAACGCATGAACTGCGGCAATCCAATGTACGTAATCTGACACCAACCCCAGTTAACTCGAACCCCCAGTAACTCGAACAATTTCTCTTTCCCCTTCGAGTTGCGGGGGGATGCTGGACAGTCTTTGTGAGATTAATGCCATGTATGACAATTTTATTATATACACAAGCACCAGATATGAGGTATGCTGCAATTTCATTGGTTGGGGCGCATCGTCGGCTATCAGCTCATATACGACTCGAGTTCGCAGAATAACTGTTAAATAATAACACAATGATTACCCGAAGAAAAGTATATACAATACCTCCGCTTGAAATTACGCTAGTTTTCTGGCTCTTTGGTCCTAAATCAACTTTCGTTCTAGCTGCGACAGTAACAAAATACATAGTTGCCGGTTGAAGTGCAAAGATTGTATAATTATAAGGCGGTGATCTTATCGATGTATTGAAGCATTGAGGATGCTTAGCAGAATCAGGCGTAGAATAGCAGACTTGGTATCCTAATATGTAGTCGTTTCGTAAATTTTCAACCGGAACCTCCCAAGACAATTTCAACGAGTGTTTTGTGCGCGATATGAATTTAACACGCAATGGTGGCCCACCAGGATCTGAAAGAGAGAAAATCAACATTACACGAAATGAGCAACAACAATCTCCTTCATGTGTAACACTACCCAGATTAATTTTTTTGGCAGAGTAAGAACTACGATTAGGAATTTTGGACCGAAATCAGACGCGATATCATGGTAGTATTTTCATGATATCAGATATATTTATAGCTTTATACAAATCTTCCAAAGGTGTGGTCTGGAACAAGGTTACCCCCCCCTCCCCCCAAGGCTACCGTGTTCAACCCGTGTAGGGTTGATAATGTTGTCTAAATGCATAATTTACAACGATAGAAACGAAACTATTTTCTATTAAACTTTTTAAGACACTGTAGCTGGCAATTGTTTACTCACGTACGTATAGTACTGCAGCATCGCAGTGTTTTCTTTGGTTCTCTTAAAATAACCTATGTATCCAATATCGTATAACCATTTTGCTCAAATTAAAAAAACCTTCTTCAAATCGATCAAAGTTAAGCACGAAATCCATGAAACAGACAAAAGTCAAATAATTCAGCTGTGCGCAATGTCGCTATTTATACCGGATTTCATTCGAATGATAAGGATTCATGATTTAAATATACCTGCTTTCTTCGTTTTAATATTTACAGAAAACCTGCTGCTCTTTTGAGAAGAACCATCTACAGTTTCTATTCCAACAACATAGTCAGTGTTTGGCTTGAGTTTAGTAATTTCAAAGGTACCATCAAAATCGCGGAATACTTGCAGGTATTTTCTGTTGTCAAGATATACATTGATCATTGTGATATAACTAGAGGTTGACACTGATGTTTCTATATTCAATGTTATTTTAACTGAATTCTCGTTCACATCAGTTTTAACAGTTCCTACCGGTGCTGGCCTTTGAGCTGAAAGTAAAAGAATAGGCACAAAGGGTAAGATTTGGTTGATGTTGTTTTTTGTAATAAATACATGATATTTAAGAATTATTTGCCGAAAGCGAGTTGAGTATTGCAGTAGCCTTATTATAACCTCACCTTTTCCACAGAGTTCTATTCGTAAACAAAAATGTGTTTTCCCAATCGATTGTATCTTTATATGTCTCACGTTGTAAATGTTAAGACGCGTGATTGACGCTTGAAAGCCATTCGTGTTTCCTGTCATCTAAATTAATTCAATTAGAAGTAGTTTTGAGCATGTAATATATATATATATATATATATATATATATATATTTATATATATATATATATATATATATATATATATATATATATATATATAATCACAGCTATTGTTTTGAGGGCGGCTTCTTTAACGTGTAAGTCCGAGGTTATGAATATCTAACAACATTTAAGCTCACTATGCTTTTATACGAGTTTTCGTTTCCTCAAACGTGTTTTCAAACGTAAATTTACGATTAATTGCCCGATTAATTTCAAAAAAATTACAGTCAACGAGGTTTAGATAATATGTGTTAATGTGACAATCGCATAACAGAATTCGAAGATTGAAGGAAAATGTTGAAATGAATTATCTGTAATATAACTATTGCAATCAAATGCGAGCCAGAGATCTAGTATTGAAGATAGCTACGTATTTTATTACATTCAGTTTGTGGCAAGAGCACTTTCAGAAACTAATAAAAGTAATGATGTTGCAAACAGTTAGTTTTGTTGGAAATTATAAAATATTTGTAAAAGGGTTATAACAATTTAAATCTCGCTATTATAACGTGTCTCAACATCGCAAAATCAGTGATAAAAAATGGACCACCGTGGTTTGCGAGGATTTCGCAAAGGACTAGTCTATGCGTATCTTTCATGCAGACCTTGTGGACATTGAAGAGTTTGCATTTTTATACCACAAAAATCACTCAGGATCATTATTTATATCCATGATGTCACCCAATGTTATACGGAGTCGCGTTTCAGAAAGATCGACCTTCCAAGTTTACTAGGCTGCCTGCAAGTACCAGAAAGAATTGTTTGCTGTCAAAGATCAACATGTAGTGGAATGGAGTCACTCTGGTCTCTGTGTAATGCTTAAAAGAATTGCATATACCTTTGTCGCTACCCTGACTTGTCGTCCTCTTAATTTGCTTGGGCAAAACCCAACCGAAATTTGCCCGATTTTCCTGATTGATTTTCTGTACATCACTAACCATGCATCATCGTCTTGAAAGTTGGGAAAAGCCTCTTCTTTCTCCCGACAACCATGCAAGCTATGCTAATGTCATCCACAATCATGGATCTCCTTTGCCAAACTGTTTTGGTGTAATCGATAGGACAGCTTCCCAGGATTGCAAGAGAAAAGTGCAATAAAAAAAGCGTGGCACAAGCGTACTCATACAATACAGTTCCAAAGCTAAGTTTTATCATATCAAATGGGCTGATTGCAAATCTTTCTGGCCCCTTTGAGGGAATTAAAACGCCACGACAGTGCAATGTTCCATCCGTCTGTGTTGCTTCCACAATTAAGACAGCATGCACTCATCAATGACAATCGACTTTGCCTTTATTGTGATCCAACCTATCCTTTAGGGGTCCATCTCAAGGCCCATTTAAAGAACGCCAGCTTACTCCTGATATTCAGCACTACAGTAATAAGGCCACGAGTGTCTCAGTAGAGTGGATGTTTGGGTGTACAGTATATCAACATTATAATACAAATAATTACTTGTTTGAATGAGAATATTACATCAAGCACTTTTGGTCATTGACCTCCAAGTTTAGACCAACCGGTCCATCATCTGTACAATTGTATTTTGCATCATTACAATTTTTTTGCTTTGCTGTTGCTGAGTAAAAATATTTAGTGTATCTTGACGGGCATTGAGTGAAGATGATCCACTACTTTTTGCCATGCAGACCCTGGACCTTTGCTCTTCGGTTTTTGGTGCATCACACCTGCGCAGCAATCTCTTTCAGCATGATCATCAGATCATGATGAGATATTTCTCATTAGACCAAATCATAAATGACCTTTACAAGTGACATTTGTGAAATTGGAATATTGTCTATGACATCATACAATCATTTTCATGTTTTTTTTCATATTTTTCTGACCAAGCGAATAACAGCGTGTATGATAATGAAAATAATCCCGTAAAAACTTGCTATAATCTGGGCCTTTCCGGGCGGTTCATAGCCATGCATAGTAATTTATTGGATGGCGAATGAATACTTATCTCTGATTCCAAAAATTATTACGGATAATTTTTGTCAGAATAGATTAATATATTAACACATAGGCAATCCGAAAATATAGCATGGAATAACATAGGTTATAATTGATAAAATGAAAAGGACAATGGATCACTATCGATCGATGTAACATTTGTCTCGAATTCGTCTCCATTGGTTTTTTTCGTTCATTCGTATGCATAGGAACAAGCCGAATTTCCATGTCGTCAGATCACTCAGATGAATAGTTGTGCGAACACGCACAGAAATTTACTGTTCCAAAGCAATCTGATTCGAAAATAAGTCAAGCCCGCTCTTTCCCTATCCGCCATTTGGTATTATTTTGACACCACATAATTATTTAACTCTCAATATTGCGTTATTTTAGCACTTTCTATCCGTAAAATAGGTGCTATTTTAGCACCTTGCAAAGGTGTTGAATTTATAAGGCGTCATATTGTCACTTTTATCGCGTAATGTCGGATTTGGTGGTGTTATATTAGCACCAAAATTGATGCCAAAATAGCACTTCAGTTCTATTTAAAGTGCCTATAACACTTGTGGGATCTTTACAGATTTAAATAGAGCTTGAAAAATTAGTTTATGAGTTCTACAACCCTTTTTGATATAGGTAAATAGTTTCGGAAATATTTACATTTAAACATGACGATTTGCCTAAATTTCCGTCGTGCTCAGGGACCTATAGGACTCAGGAACCGAGTTCTTGTCAAACATAATATAATCAATTGTAATTTTACTTCGATCTGCCAATAACGTAAAATATTTTGAAAAATTCGTCCAGTTGCTACAGCCATACACAATGCACCGTTCCCGCATTTTTTTCTTGAAAAGCGCAAACTATATCGCCAGTGAAACTTTTCATGTTTACATTATAAAAGACGACGTGTTTGAAAATCATTCCTGAGTCCCAGTCCCCCCTACCAACGTATTTTCGAAACTATTTAATTATATCAGAAAAGGTTGTAGAACTTATAAATAAATTTTTCAAGCTCTATTCAAATCCGTAAAGATCCCACAAGTGATACAGGCACTTTAACACCACTGCAATGTGTTGATTTGACACCTAGGATGGTCAAAATTAACAGTGTAGAACACAGTATATATACGCTGCAGTGCGATCTCCGGTTGCTGCATTGTTGTTCTATATAATATTACGTAAATTCACACATTTATATTTAAAAAAATAATAATTTAGCTTCATTACAAGTACCTCTCTTTTATTTCTAAAACTTTTATCAAAGCTGTACGCCATTCGGTACTGACCAATCCATTTGGTCTGGTCTCTATTACCCATTGTCACGACTCGGGTTATGTGATATTCTTTCTGAAGATCAATCAAAAGATAATTTGGTCTGTTATCTGATGAACACCAACCACTGTTGAGAAATCTTGCGTCCTTGAAAGAAATAGAACCACTTCCAGAGAAAACAGAATCAGGAAAAGCTGTTTGGTTTTGGAGTAAACCGGGATTGTCGCACATCTTACCTATAGAATTAAAGCAGTAATGATAGAGAAGAATGTTGAAGACAAAATAAATACAAATTTTATTATTATTTCAATAGACATACAACGTGAATTCAATTTTACGATTATTTATGTTCTTTAACTCAATTATTATTCTTCAACTCAATTATCTGGAAGCGTTTGCGAACAGGGGCGGACTGGCCCACAAGAATACCGGGGAATTTCCCGGTGCGCCCCTGATTTATATGCCGTTTGGCGTTTTGCAAAAAATTATGGAGGAAATGATAAACCCACTGCAGTAAAACACAGGAAAGATAACCTGATCTAAATCAGGTATTTTGAAACTCAACATGAAAGATTTTCAATACCTGTTTCTCATGTTAGAGCTACAAATGGCGCCCCTTTTTGAGTTTTCCCGGTAAATCATGTACAGACCAGTCCGCCCCTGTTTGCGAACTAATTGGCGGATGAGAGGACGTAATAATTCTTAATAAATAGACAGGTTCATGGTTGTGGACATTCGGAGAGAAATTGTACGCATCTAAGTGTACTCACATTTAATATATGGTAGAGAAACACTTGAACGCCAAACTGTAGAAGGGACAAGATGATCACAACACGGCGTTCCTTTTAAATATGTATAATAACATGTCAAGTTCCCAGTCGCAATCTTCAGTCCATAGCGCGATCTTATTTCTCTTCTCCCAATATTATTTTTGGCAGTTACAGCAAATCCTAAGTGCTGACACAGCATTTTTTGACGTTTTTTATCCCAATTATCATCTCTAACATATCTCCAACCTGAACCATCTTTTATTTGAAGGTATCCTCGGTTTGGTGAGTTCCTCAACCGTAAGTTACGTGCTAGAACAGATTGTTTTTATTAAAAATTTTGCTCCAAACTAAAATTTGTACGGTCAAATCACTCAAAGTCTATATTGCTGTTATACTTTTTGTTCTCGGACAGGTTTTCTAATTAGTTTAACGACGTTTTGAAAAATTACAAACTGATTATGCTTTTAAATTTAGAATTCAGATTTAACACTCATTGCATCAAGTCATCGTCAATTTTTATTTGTGTCTGCTCCACTGAATCAATCTCATCATCTCGGTTGTGGTGATTCCCATAAAAAACTAAAGCCAGGGCTTTCTTGAAGGAAATGATTATTACCTTAAATTAAACATATTTTAACACATTTCTCTCAAGCTGGCACGCATGTACGTTATATGTTTTCAGTCATTGAGTTATACTGCTCGCTGACGTTTAAATCGAAGGCTAATTGTCCCGCTTACATCTGGATTTTACCTACTACTATCCCTGTTATAAATTTCTTTGACCTTTCATGGACTTAAATATAATTACCAAGATAAAAGGATAATAATAATATTTTCAATATCATCCATCATTGGTTTGTAACAGTAAGATAACAGTAAAATCTCCTGGCGGATTTAGTACATGCACTTACGATAAATATCATGGGATAAATGTGGAAAGAAAATGCCGAAAATAAATCATAATGGTATTTTACTGCGAAGTTTAATCAAAAGAATTCTCATCACTAATTATTTTCTCGTTGCTAATCCTAGCGGCATAGATAAGCGATGGAGTGCATTACCTTTTGTTATTGTGGAAATGTTATCCATACATGTGTATTCGGTAAAAAGCTCTTTTGTACCATCAGAACAAACGGATGTTGGTAGTAACCTGTCGTCAATATTCAGGTCACAAGATTGTTTTCCACTGCAAAGAGATTTCATCTTACAGCTTGCTACTGCACTACACTCGACATCTATGCTTGCATCGCCATTAAATATACCATTGTTATTAAAGTCTCCATAACGAGCATTCTTAACCACCATATGTTGTTTTGGAGAACAATGAACATCATTCATTTTGGTACCATACTGTGTCACTGAACCTTAATGAAACGCGGCTGTTAAACGTTTTGTTGAATATTTTGGATATGTGAACACAAAAAACTGCTCAACCAGCCAGCCACTTCCCTTTTATGGCAAGTAGGCAGGTGAAACTTTATTTAACCACGCTGGCCTCGATCAGCTACAAACCTGCTTTTCATGATGGGCGTCACACTATGTACAATTTTACTTTAAGTCAAACGAAAACTAAACTGAATATAATTTAAATTATATAGAGGAAAATTTATAACTGGCATATTTTTCATTTGAATGAACCGAGGGTTTCATTATACGAAAATCAGAGAATATAGTACTCGAGATCAGTTTCCAATGCCCCGGAATTCTAAAGATGTACAAAGGTATATGCTTATCAGTTACTTCGGCGTAAGATACGTAATGCTTAATTTGGTACTCTGCATGTTCCTGGCCTGTCACTGAGCACTCACCACTATTGCATAATTATTATATAGATACAGTTTATATATAATATTTGTTATTTCTTATGTTGTACAACTACATGTCCTTCTACACTGAGGAGACATAACTGTATTGAAAATGGCGCCGGCATTGTACATCGCTGCAACCCTGCTGATCTCATATATGTAAAAATCTTACCAAAAGTAAACTTTTGTTCCGCTGTGCCTGTGCATCCATTCTTTTTTTGATCAATATATTTTCTTCTGGCATCAGGCTGAGAACACGAGTTTGCCACTTTGTCGTAAAAATATAGTGATCCATCATTGGTTTGTTTTAGACGGTAAACAAGACTGCTCTCAAAATTTTTTCCCACCAGACTTTTGCCGACATATATGAACAAACGTTTACGGTATATTTCTCCGCCAGATGTGATAAGGTTTCCTCCTGTGGCAATATTACGCACAAGTTCGCTCTGAAGGTAACGGAATGATGCATTTTTATACAAACAGTCGTCAACCAATTCAGCCCAATAACGTGTGGCAGTAGTACTCTCCAAAATTAAATACCCTGCAGAAACACACTTTCCAGACTGGGTATGCCTCAGAAAAAAAGCTTCACAACCTTGAGAAAGAATATCAAAATAATAGAATAATATTGTCATCCTTAATAGAATAATAGAATAATATTGTATATTGTCATGCTAAAAGAATAACATGGTTTGATGGAAAAAATTCATTTGTCAGGCTTGGCTAAGCTACTACATGTTCAATTTTGAGTTTAAAAGATAATTTTCCTTTAAACCCGAATGAAACCAGTTTAAACTGCAGAATAAAATTCTGGTTGGTTTTATATGTTATGATGAACAAGACCTTTTGGCAGAAAACAGTTAGCTATACAATATACTCTGAGGACAAAACTTGCTGTGTAGCAGTCAAAAGGTAAAACAGATAGCATTCATTTTTAATGACTATGTCAATCACTTTGCACATCAAGTTGTGCCTATACTTTTATCAACTTATTATTTGGCAATTATTATAAAGCGATTCTCCATTTCGTCCACTCCGCGCGAAGGATGCTTTGTTTGTTTTTTTATAGGCCCTAGACGGTCGCATGAGCACAATTTCAAAGTATATGTAATGGGATGGAATTATGGAAAACACCCTTAAGACTGAGGTAAGGAGTGTTTATATATTACAGTGGGACGTAAAGTCTGTATGCAAAAAAAATGTTTCAAAAATTCAAAGCATGCAAAATTTAGGCACTTTTTACATCAGAGCACCTCATAATTGTTATGAGCAGAACCGATGCGCAAAAAGGACTTGGCTTCCACTTTAAATATTATGTCATTTCAACCTCATATGCATAAGCTTGTGCTAAATATATCCTTTATCTAATTTTTCGTTAGAATTATATGGACCCGGTCAGTTTTTAATTCCATAAAAGGCATTAATTTAGGCATTAAAATACCATGCGATATAAAAATATATCCTGGCCTAATTCTTTGCAGTAAAGAAAGGTTACTTAGTCATTGGCGTACATACAAAATTAAAACTGTTAAGACTATTAAGAAACCACTTCACATGTCAACATGTGAGATGTCAACATGTGAGATAATAAAGTTCCTTTCGGTTTAAACGTCGGCTGTCAATATCTAACTTATATTATTGTACGATGATGTTTCCAAAGAAAATACAAAATTAAATTTAAACCTTTTTTGTCAAATTTTCTCTGGTCTTAAGTCTCTACAGACACAATTCTATTCTACATACAAACAGTTCGCTTGTTTGTGTATGCTCCCGTGTTTGCAAATGCAGCCGTTTTTCATTCATATAGGCCAAAGGAACAAAAATTGCTAATTCTAACAAGTACAAAAAGAGATTTTCAATGTAAGCTCAAAGAAAGGGGTCAGAAAACAAACAGAAATAGCTATACAGGCAATCATCATGTTTGCTCTCTGAAAAAAGCTGTAAAGAGTTTATTTGATGTCTACTACTTCCGCCTGATTTGAGGTCTACTACTTCCCCCTCACAATTTTAGCGTTAGAATAGAATAACATTTTGCTTTGGCAATGGAGGTAGTTTCCCGAAGAGATCATACTAAAGTGAATAAATTTTCAAAATTTTGGCACGAAAGGTTAAATTAACATTCCGGCAAACTCGTAAATTTGTATACACCATTGTTAGCATGAAAATTGTACCGCTTTTGAGCCGCAAATAGTAAAAATTTTCGCTTTTAATACACAAAATTTGTAAATCTTTCATGACTTCCGAATTTGACAATGCAATTTTCTTATTTGTTGTGGTTTATTTGCATCGCCCTGCGTAAAAATGAAGCTTACTATGCTAACGTGCGTTTATATTGTTATTATTATTATCACCTTGGAAATTACGATTCGAGTCATTAAGTAGTCTCTGGTGTGAAAAATGAAGAGATTGGCCTTTTAAGTTCGTTTCGTTCTATCTGTTTGCGCCTGGCCTTGGAAGACCAAGCAGTCTCTTATCGGAAAGGCACAATTTAATATCGCTGATTCTTTAAATTAATATTACTTTAAATTAAGCATAATATTTTACCTTCAAACCCCAGTAGGGATGCACCAAAGAAGATTAGCCATGGATGAAGTAGCCACGACATGCTGCGATTGACGAAATTTCACTAAAATTTTGCCGCGTTAAAGCGAACAAAGAACGTTTAAGGTCGCCAGTACTTGAATGTTTGTATTTCAATATTATCTAAAAGTTTACGAAAACAGGAAATATAAATAATTATGTTAATAAATTCTTTCTTGTGCTCAAGGGCGTTCCTTGCGGAAACTTTGAATCCAAGTACTTCATAATATTTCAATATAGCTAAGGAGCAGTATAGCTAGCATTTTCCAATAACTTCTCATTAAATATACTATCTCTTCTTGCAGATGCCCTTGTTTAAGTAAGTCGAAAGTTCGAGGGGCTTATTTGTCTGTTATAACGTTATTTGATTATACTATAAAGTATCTATATACATATATATTTTAAAAAAGCTATTCACTTTAATTTATGAAATGACAGGATGGGCCTTTTCGGTTATTGCCCGTAAAGGCCTGCACATCCGACGTAGCTAATATTATTTTCTGTTTTTGGAGCACAGTAATATAATCCGGAATGCAACTTTTGGGAGCTAATAATATTATGTACACCAAAAGAGTGAAATGTACCACCGTTATGTAATCCAAAATAATATTATGACAGCTATGATATAATTAATTTTATAAAATAAAAAACTCGGTAAACGTTTCCAAATAGCATCTGATCTGTGCAGTTTTTCACTGATATATTTGGTGAATGTTTACATCATGACACCCAAATATTAAGCACCGTTTACACTACACTTACTTTATTGGCATGGCAGGTTAAAATTGATACCCAATTTTGTATATATTCAGTTTACAAAAACAAAGGCCGAGCACAGATGAAAAGAGCACGGGCACCCAAATTAAGCGTGTTGTACCAAAAAATCGAGTGTAGTGTAAATGGGGCTTAAGTGAAAGAAATATGCAAATTAAGGGAGCACCACCAATGAAATTCTTGACATGCTGCTTGTTCGTGAACTCGTACGCATGCAGGGACGGCTGAATAAGGGGGACGCAGGGGCAGGTGCCTTGCTTGCCTTTCACCATAGCAGGGGCAAGGCGGGCAAAGATGCCCTTTCATTTTAAAGGATTACATTTTATATCTTAAGTATAGAAGTGCCACCAACGAGCGTCAAGAATTACGCAATCGTCGGAACAAAAACTCCAAGAAAAAGACACACGACAATACGAAGTTCCACATGCACACGATGTTTTGCAAACATTTTTTATTACATTTGCCGTTAAGCCTGCAGCACACGTCGAGAGCTATCAGCTGAGCAAGGGGTTACTCGTGCCTATTAGCGCAGGCGACAGTTCACTGTGTGCGGATAGATTTTTGTGAGTTTTCTACCACATGCAACCTTTTCTCGCGTATGAAACATGTTTGATATGCAGCATTGGTATATCGTTCCCAGGTGTTAACTTACATCAAAAAGTTTAGAATTGAATTCCAGTAAATTGTCAATTTGCATGGTGACAAACGTGTGTATATTTTTTAATGCAGAGCTGTTTATCCGGGCCTTCATCAGGGCCCCATATCTTATAATCCCACATTCGAACAATTTTTGTATACATAGGTTAATGCTGCTCTAAAGCAATTTTCCGGGTGACGCAGTTACGATTTCTGCCAATGAAAGAATCTCGTTTCTCGAGCCAGCGATTTCCAATTTTCGGGCATGGGGAACAAGTTATAAAATACAATGAAATACCTAATACCCAATTGTAATTTTACTTCGATCTTCCAATAACGTAAAATATTTTGAGAAAAACTTGTCCAGTTGCTACAGCCATACACAACACTCCGTTCCCACATTTTTTTCTTCAAAAGCGCAAACTATATCGCCAGTGAAACTTTTCATGTTTACATTTTAAAAGACGGCGTGTTTGCAAATCATTCCTGAGTCCCAGTCCCCCCAACCGACGTATTTTCGAAACTATTTAATTTTATCAAAAAAGGTTGTAGAACTTATAAACTAATTTTTCAAGCTCTATTCAAATCCGTAAAGATCCCACAAGTGATACAGGCACTTTAAGTCCTCTTCGTGCATAACCTTTCTTCAAAATCACTTTTCATATTAGTTCCTAGTCCGTTTCTGCAAAGCAGCCTGAGAAAGGCTAATTGTTTTGTTTCTTGTATCCCACCAATGGGCTCGTTTTCATGTCAAATATTTATCCTTGTTTTAAATATTTATCATTGTTTCGTGCATAGTATGTAGTTTTAAAATTTTCATTACATCCAGGAATTGGCAATATATGTTTTTGAAAAGACGAATGACTGCTCTTCCACAATACTTGTTAATGTGAGGATTTTTTTAAGCACCCTGCATGATATATAATTTTAATTTTCCAGCACCCCAATATTCTTTGATACTAAATTTGTTGACATGAAAGAAAGTTCATTGGGATAATGGGTATGATCTATAACTATTAGTGTATTTTACTTCTTCACACCAAATTATTTTGTTCCTTCTTATCAAACGTAAAGCCGACGCGTTGTGGACAATCATCACATGAGTATAATTGGACATCCCTGAGTGATATTAATTTAAGAAAGTCTTTCCATTCAACGACATTCCCACCACCGCAAGCCAAGTTCGTTGATATACGTGGAATACGAAAGGTTGGGAAGTTATCCCAAATGTTCACTTGCGTTAAATCACTCATTAAGGAAAGACTTCTTTTGGTACCTAAAATTCATTGAGATAGTAAAGGGGAGTTTCGTTATTACGGTGTTCATTTTGTGTTTTTAACGGCTTTCTTTTTCTGGGATACGGAGGAGGGGGGGCACTTTATAATATTTCCTCACATTATTTGCTGTTGTCTGCTATTTAAGTGGGTTTTGCATTTCAAACAGAGAAGACAGCAAATGAAAATCATTGAATATAATTTGTCAAAATAATTGCTATTTTATGAAATTTTCGTTGTGATGTGGTCGGTGTGTATCCATTTTTATACAGGAAAAAGTTAAGATGATAACAATTCTTACCTGGACGCCTTCCAAGATAAACATACGCATACTTCTGCTCTGTCCTGGACTTTTGCCCCGAAAATAAAAAAAATGATTGATGAACTTTCTTGCCACCCCGATAAATATGCATTTTAGAAGTGTTTTGAAGCGAAGCGCAGATATGGTGCCAGTTACCATCGTTAATTGTACACTTTTGTACTATCCTGGAAAGAAAACATTTAGTTTATTGTCATATTAACGTAAGAAATCCATATGAGAAAATCCAGCTGATGTATTATGAAGAAGAGTGTTTGGATACTTCTATGAGCATGGGCGAGTTGATTTCTGGTGGAATATTGCAATTGATAAAATTATTTAAATCATTAAAGTCTCTTAAAGAAGACGTTGTATTGTCGTAATGCTTTGTTTCCTTTAGATCGTAATTAACGCCAGCAAATCATTTTGTTTTATTTGGTGCACACAGATCTGTCGATGTCATTGAGGCTTAGTTTAACGTTAAGCTTTTCTTGTATAACATTGATGACTGCCTCATCAGTATCTTCAACGCTCCCAGCAGATTTTTCTGGTAGGCCGTGAATCAGTAAGCAATTCCTTCGACCATATTGTTCCAAACTGTCCAGCCCGTCGCGCATGGTTTGATTCTCGTTCTCCAGTAGAGACATCTTATGTTTTGAATTATTTATTTCGTTTGCCAGATTACTATGATCAAATTGTATTCCTTTGTAAACTTCTTGTGTTACGTTATCTTTAATGTCATCAACAATTTCAGCTTTAAGTACTTGTTTGAAGTTTGAGGTTTTACCAAGCTTCGAGGCTGCTTCGCTTGAAAGCGTTGACATAAAAAATTCTGTCTTGAGCAAAGTGTCAGCAATCGTGGAAGAAATACATTGAATCAACCTGTCAGTGAAGGACGTATTAGATAGCAGACTATTTGCCAGTTTACGTTTGATTTCATCAAATTCGGCCGCGCCCTCATGGCCACCTTTCTTCTTGCGAAGGCCATCGGCCATTACCAAGTTTGAGAGATGAGTTATCACGATCAGTTCACAGATGTAAAGCTATATTTTTTTGAATTGATATATGGCTAAAACGGCTATATTATGTTTAAACCATAAGGCGTATTAGATATCGAACAATGGTAGGAGAATCGATCAATATACTGTTTTTATCGGAAGCGATTTAAGCACGTCCTATCTCGACCACGACCACCGTATCTAACAAATACCTATAATTATTTATCATGAGTGTTTACAAAGTCACGCCATACCTGATGATACGAGGCCAATTTCCTTTCAATGTCAACCAATTTCCCACACTCGTTTATAAGCAATTCTATTTCTCTTCGAATTCTCGTTAAACTACTGAAATAACCAGTTCGGGACATATACAGAGTTCTTCCTTTTTCCGCTTTGTCCTTATCGAAATCCCTTCGTATATCACCAAATTTTAAACGATGTCCTTCACCCAGTGTCCTCCCTGATAATATGCCAGAAATACCATAATCTGAACATGCATAGTTTCCTTCCTCGGGTTCTAGGGACGACTCTTCATTAATTGAAGTTCCCTGAACTTCCAGCCAAGAGCGAATTGATATGATTTGACGTATACTGATACTATAATAATCTCGTTACTTTCCCTTTTACTTTACTTACTCATCTCCAGTTTCTTACCCGTGTACCGGAAATGAAATATAAATAAATTTCAACTATACTACAAACATATGATAGCTACAGCTCAGGAATAAATTCTTCTTTCTCGCAGTTAAAATTCTTCATAATTTTATGCAAATCTCGGAGACATGCAAATTCCACATTGAAGGATTCTAGATTTCAAAATTTTACCGAGAGTGGAAGCCTTTGGATCACCCAAGATTAGAAGATTTTGAGAATTTAAAATGGCGGAACATGAAGCCTTTCTTTTAGGTATGATCCAGGCCTCTGGTGCGGAAATCTCAAAGGTAAAATCATAATTGCCGCCATTTTATCTACGAAATCTCCGTGTGGAGGCCTTGGCTTCAAATTTTTTGCAGAGCTGGCGTTCCAGTCTTATTTCAGTTCATTGAGACAGCCTTGATGAAGCAATCTCACAGTTCGCAATTAAGCAACGCAGTAAACAAAAATATTTCCATGAAAACCAATAATTATTCTTCGTTTCAAATTCATGGAGATCCGTAATTGCATGTGTACAATTACTTCAAAGTCTATAGCAAAGTTGACGTGAATGCAGATAAACGTTAGCTTATCTGATATCATGTGGCTTTACACTGGGAGACTTAAAATCTTTTATTACCCTTAATTGGCCTTCGTTTAATTCTCAACATCATTACAACGTATAACGAATAGACCTATTCTATAACGAATATCTATTGGCATTATAGGAACTTACTTTATTATTTTAATGATCCAATGATCCATATTACTTTTAATGATCCAAAGAACTCTCTATTCTTAATTCTGCATAATTATATAACCTTTCTCACGCAAGCTTTGTTAGAATTTTTGCGGAACTTTCTTTTGAAATTACTTTAACAAACCTAGCTCCAATTAGATAGAGTATAATTTTATATTAATAAGTGACGCTGTAAATGCAGGAATTTGAGCCACACAATCACAAGATGCTGTAATCGTTTAACGTCCGTTGGTTACCACATTCCTATTAGGTCCTCTTCGTGCATAACCTTCCTTCAAAATAACTTTTCACGAGTGATTTTCATATTAGTTCCTGGTCGTTTCTGCAAAGGTGGCCCGCATGAGGAAGGCTAATTGTTCGTTTTCCGTATCTCGTCTAAGGGCCGGCTGTTTACATGAGCCCGGTTACTCGAGATTCATCGAAGCGTGAGAGGACTTTGAGGTATTGAAATAAGCAAATAACATAATCCTGGCTGTCGTATAATCACCGCAACAATAGCATGAGCTTGTTTGGTGTTATAAAAACTTATTTCAACACCTCAAAGCCCTCTCACGCTTCGTTGATGTTCATGTAAACAGCCCCTAATAGTCTCACTTTCATGTCAAATATTTATCCTTGTTTCAAATATCTATGTTTCGTGCACTGTATGGTAAAATTTTCATTACATCCAGGAATTGGCAATACATGTTTTTCAAAAGCTAAATGACTGCTCTTCCGCACTACATACAGTACATACAATGCATTGCGACATAAAGTGACGATTTTGATTTTTAAGGACCCTGACATATATTGCCAATTCCTGCACCCCAATATTCATTGATACTAAATTTTTTGAAATGAAAGCAAGATCATTGGGTAAAATTTAATTGATAAAAGGGTATGATCTATAAAGGTGTATTTACTTCTTCACACTAAATTATTTTGTTCCTTCTTATCGAACTTGAAGCCGACGCGTTGTGGACAGTCATCACATGAGTATAATTGGACATCTCTGAGTGATATTGCGTTAAGAAAGTCTTTCCATTCAACGACATTCCCACCACCGCAAGCTGAGTTTGTTGATATACGTGGAATGCGAAAGGTGGGGAAGTTATCCCAAATGTTCACTTGTGTTAAATCACCCCTTAATGAAAGACTTCTTTTGGTACCTGAAATTCATTGAGATATTAATGGGGAGTTTGACTATTACGGTGTTCATCGCTATTACGGGGTGGGCACCCTTCTCCCCTAAGAAATTGTGCACCGCTTCTAAAAAATTGCCAAAGAAAGCAAGTGTCAAAGAAAGCAAGTGATCGATGATAAGGTCGTTTTAGACACCGTAATGCTCTAAAATTTGACCGATCAAAATTACGCTTTCATTCTTCATATTTCATTATTAATAGTAAACGAAAAGTAAAGGCTAAAATTAAACTAATCGTCCCTGAAACCCTGATAATGCTCTGTTTTCCTCTTGCTAAATAATGTTTGGAAAATATATGCTTCATCTTATGAATCCCATGTTGTAGTATAATATAATACAGACTTATGATGACCAGGACATGGTGTGAATGGTGGTAGCCAGAATATCATGTGCAGTATTAATTTTTTTGTTATGAAATGAGTTATGAAATGATACGAATAAGCGGAAATACAACTTCCGGAATGCTTAAAATCGTTTGAAAATCCACGCAATGGCTTATATATTATTTGTTTCTGCTTTTTTCTTCTATTATTTGTTTCTGCTAATTTTTCAACAATGAGCCGATGGACACGGGCATTCAGCGTGTTTTAAACATTTAAAAATATTTCTTGACTTTCTTCGATTCATCGGCCACCGTTTAATCTGAACCCGACACATGGCAGAACCTTTATTATTTTTCTTCACATTATTAATTTTCCTGTCGTCTCCTAATTAGTTAAGTGGGTTTTGCATTTCAAACAGAGAAGAAAACAGATGAAAAGCATTGAGTATAATTTGTCAAAATAATTGATGAAATTGTCGTTGTGGTATGGTCGGTGTGTATCCGTTTTTACAAAGGAAAAAGTTAAGTGATGATAGCAATTCTTACCTGGACGCCTTCCAAGATAAACATAAGCATACTTCTGCTCTGTCCTGGACTTTTGCACCGAAAATCGAAAAAATGATTGATGCACTTTTTTGCCATCGAGATAGATATGCATTTTTGAAGTGTTTTGAAGAGAAACACAGACATGGTGCCAGTTACCATCGTTAATGGTGCACTTTTGCACTATCCTGGAAAGAAAACATTAATACTTATCAATGTAAAGTTTAGTTTATTGTTGTATTTACATACGAATTCCACTGAATTGTGAAAATCTAGATGCATTACGTAGAAATCGAGTCTTTTTATACTTCTATGCACATGGGCGAGTGGATTTCGGGAGAAATATCGCAATTGGCAACATTGTTTTATTTCAACTGCTTTCATTATTTTATTTTTTAAAATGTAATAATTATATATTTTGCAAAGTACACGGTATAGTTTCATAATTTTTTCTTCGAACTAAAGTCTCGTGAAGAAGACACATGCACCTAAATTTATGATCGTATTTATTACATTACCACGGTTAATCGCCCACTAGGTTAGGTAATCACACACCAGTTCATTTATTTGGCTAAGTCTACTTATTAAACTGCAAAAGTTCACAAAATACTTTAAAATACCTTCGCCTATCCTCGAAGCTCAGGACCAAATTACCGTTTTCAATTGAAACATCAATTCTTGCCTTTTTATTGTCGTGGTATATCAAGGCGATAATCTGGGCATAGTCATCTTTAGTTCTTATCCAAAAACACAAAGTGAACGTCGTGAGAAAAGGGATTTTTACCCTAGCTCTGAGCATGCACTCCCCTAGATCCTTCCGTCGTAACTCGTGGTGGAGCTACTTTTTTCTTGCCGTATGCTCTACCGGGGAATAACTCAACAATCTCTTTCCTCATAGATCTTCGTCTAACCAGGGCACGCTTTCTTCTTCCCGAATTGGAATTTTCTCCAAAAGCAGCACCTGCAATCGCTTGACCTAAACATACCGTGAAAGATGAAGCATCATGCACATAACACCATTGCTTGTTTATCTTTATACAATAACTACAGCGAAACGCGGAATTTGGTTGGCCAATTACCGTGCAGGATCAGGAAACAAGAACGAATTTCGTTTTAAACTAATCGCCATATTTGTTTACATTTTTTAGGCAAGGCCAATCAGAATGCCTAAATTTTAAGAATTTCATGTAAAATGATATAAAACAATGATGTAAAACAATATGACTTATACATATTGAACTTTTTGTAAAAATTTATGCATTCTGATTCGGTTACTGAAAATGTAAACAAACTTGCTGATTGGTCTAAAACGAAATCCCCCCCCCTTGTTGGATCATGGATGTTGCTCGACTTTCGGGAAGCGTAATATCCCTCATGCATGGATCACGCAATCCTGCACGGAAGACCATTTGGTAATCCTTTAATGTCGAGGCCTTCGTGGGGATATCACTATAATGATAGTTTTGTATGGAATTATAACAATCAGCCAAATTGACACAGGCTCAAAATAAATCAACATAAGGTCGACATACGTTTGGGTTGAGCTCCACTCACAAGCGTTTATAATTGCAAACGTGAAAGTCAAACTACTATCAATCTATTCAATAGACTTTTCCTAAAATGACGTCAAACGCGGAAAGTCCAATGTTTCGTTAAATTTGATTGGCTCTTCAAAACTATCGACCCAATCAAACTTGGTGTAACATGAGACTAACCGCGTTTGACGTCATTATGAAAAAGGTCTATAGTTTAATGTCAGTATTACTATTTACGTTTGCTGTTGCTGATATCGAATTTAGCCCTTAGATTTTACACTTATCTAATAACTACAGGGTTTTTAGAATAATCAATATAGTATACTGCATTACTTCGACTATAGAAAATTATTTTGAAATGGGAAGTTTATTATTTACAACAGTAACTTCTTAATCCCTGTAGTATTTTAGGGGGCACAGCAAATCCAGCCCGAGACCAAATTGTCCCTTTTAGGCGAGCTTTGTTTCCGTAGATTTACTACTTTCTTCTGAAGTTGTTTATTTTGTTAACATTTAAACTTAAAAGTCACCTTCGCTGGGAGCTGAAAGTCGTGAATAAAGGATATTTGTATTGGTTTACGTACCTGGATCGATGATCTTAATCAACGTCTCGGAATCTCTGAATGGTTCACTGTGAACATTGACAAGTTTTGTTTTAGCTTCTCCAGTCGATGCTAGATAATGGTCACGGTACAAGACTGACTCGAATACATAGAAGAGATGATGCTCAAAGCTCAGTTTCACAGGTGCAAAAACATCACTTTTGTCCGTAAGATTAGCTGCCACGTCTTCAGTCTACAAAAAAGAAGAGGGGGGAATATTTTTGGTAAAGTATCCTCAAAGAGCGAAGTAGCAAGGGCAATTTTACACAGCATTCGTACGAGAAGGGTATGAACAGCAAAATAATGTGCCCATTCCTGGTGTCAGATGATTTAATCTTTAAAAATAATATTAAATTAAACTTATAATCTAAAAATATTATTTAAAAGATATTTTCGAATAATATTACGACGACAAACTATTAGTTTAACTCAAATAAATAGCGTTTGAATTCCAAGATCGCGTCGCCGTGAAAAAGCTAACGATGAGAAAGTATAGTGCCATTGCAGTTATTTTGGGTAGGGTCGCAGCTCCTCGCAAGATTGATTTTTATTAGCTGAACTTTACAATACATTTCTGTTTCAACCAATAGCATAGATTCGTTCTTTAGAGAAAGCATAGAAAAGCATTATCCAAGTGAACGAAAGCTTCCGAGCACTGCGACATGTACCTTTTTATTTTTTTGCTTGAAAGTCTTAGGGGTAAGTTTTCTCACTGCAAATTTTCTATACGCCTACTGTTTCCACACTATATCCGTAGTATGAAAATGGGAATTAGTATGGTATTATAAATTCCACTTCATTTCCAACTAGAATTCACACTATTCCAGTGTTACTTACCAACTAATTTCGGCTAGTATACCCCCTCCTCCATTGCCTGCATGGAAGGCGGTCCCTAAATTCGGGGACTGGATTTATATCCTCTTATTATTAACGCAACTTACCACTGCAATCAACTCTTCATCGACGTCACGAGCTTTAAGATGATACTTCACGTTGTTGTGATACAAAACTAATATCATCCTTGTTTCAAAGTCTGGAAATCCGCTAGAAACATCCTTGAATTGAACCAATGCTGAAAAAAGAAATGCACAATTTTTAATGACTAATGATTAAGTTTGAGATATTGGTAAACTTGACTATTTCAACGCTCCCCCGAGTACTTTTCTTTTTTTGTATACTAGCTATGTCAGTACGTTATACTGATCGGAAAAACCATAGGATGACAGGTCTGGCATGCATAATGAAATAGTAAAGATGCCGACTTGATGCGACTCATAATCCTCAGAGCAAATCTTTGCTGGCAACAGTGGCGTATGTGAGATGATAATTGGTTTGGGGGCACATATTCATGTATTGATGTTATGCAAGATTAATTTCTTTTCAAATCCATTGTCTCGATAGGTCTGTCAACATGAATATTTGAATATGCCCCCAATTATCGTGTCTCCCTTCCCAAATTATCGTGTCTCGTACGCCACTGGCTGAAAAATATTTTACTGATCTCTACGATTACATTCAGCAAGTGCTCCTTAAGAAATTTCTCAGAAATTTGTAAGAATCCCAATTCGCTGGTAGGATTAATATATTCTTTATAATCATAATTTATCCTTACTATCAACACTGGTATTTGTACCATCCACTAGGCCACCAAAATCAACCCCCATTTCATCGGTGATGTTGGAATTATTCGCATTATTTGTATCATATATTCTTAGGTAGTGATCTCCCACATGACTTTGAAATGACCATAATCTTGTCACGGAACCGCCACAAATTATACAAGGTTGTGGATTAGGCGTCATTGCAAAAGTTAGTGTCACAATCTGAAGGAAACCAAATATTACGTAAAGATAGATGCGTTGAAATTTGCGATTCGTTGCGCGCGCAACCAATTTTTAAGCGTCGCTGATACAAGCTGCTCTTCTTCCTCGTAGCAAAGGCCGAGCAGAATTTACAGCCCCGCCTGGGAAATGAACTAAGGCTTCGACGTTTAAAATCATCATCCTTTCTTAAAAATCAATAATGCTAAATATTCGCGTTAAAATCCAAAAACAGCTTTTTGGATCTGTTCTTTTTTTGTTAATGGTGCAAAACTATTTTCTGCCAAACTGTTTCTGCCAAACTGAATAGTTTTTACTAGATGAATAGCAATGAATAGATTAAGACGCGATTAAATAATTAACTAGATGAATAACAATGAATAAAATGATTATATAAAACGCATCAATAAAACATGACTATATCTGCATGCTATCAAGTATATTGCAGTATAATATATTAGTAGTAAACCCATTTAAGCAGTATAACCGGGAGCAGCGTGGCAGCGTCTTCAAATAACTTAATGATGATACTAACTCTCCTGACGAAGGCCATCAGGTTGAAACGTCGAGAAGTGTTTTGTCTAATTTAGGCAGTTGTTATACCACATTTGATGCTATATAGCTATTTAAGCAGGGCCGAAATTTTGTACGTGTATAGCCCTTTCTCGATTTACCCCCACCCTCCTCTAGTTATTGCCCTATTTTCGGTCGTGCAATTAAGTGAATGAATGGCTTAAATTGTTACACGACATGCGCATGTATAGGAAACCACATATACAATAATTATTAGCTATTAATCATATGTCCGTGATGTAAATTTCCTTAACACAAAAATATCTATGTTTTAATTCGTTAAGAATTATGTACATGTAACAATATTACAGTTGCAACTGTAACTGTCATATTATAATAGCCATGCAAAAATATCATTAATCCTTGTAAATATAACTTTATTATTTCAGGTCATTTTTTAAAATAACATGACTCAGGTTCATCCGAAGCATTGGAAGCTGTTGTATGTATGTATAAGAGATAGGGGTATTACTCAACTCAATGAAATAAAGATATAGCCAACACCAACCTGTACAATGATTGCTAAATACAGGAACATTTTCATGAAAACAATTTTCGTCTGATGTTGCTTCGCGATCTTATCAAGGTATCAAATATAATCTGAAACAAAAAAGTGTACATACATTTTATCGATTAATTACATAGACTAATATATTAATATAATTATAATTTATTCATATAATAATTTACTTCGCCACCGCTTTGTTGATGGGTAGACACTGATTGATAGATTTTTTGATTGATACCCATTTTAAGAATGAATCACATTCGACAAATGCAAGATTAATCGATTATATTTAACAACAGATACTGAACAATGGCTGCATGAATATCTATTTAAGTATAAGCGTCCATCAAAGAGAGTCATTTGACAATTTCAGATCCTGAAATTTTATGTAGCAATTCTGCACGACAAACAATATACTTCCATAAGTGAACTACTTTTCCTCATGCCTTTGACCGTATATCATTAAATAATAACTTTCGTTCGGTATTACGTCGGTCAAGTCATATAATTATATAACTGCTGCTTGTTTGACTCTAAATTAACCCACACCCACTGACTGCAAATCAGTTCTATTATAGTTAGGTTGTGTGTACAGAATTTGTAAAAAGTTGTTCCGCATATAGTCTTTGCTGTGGATTAAAATTTAAATGTTCCTTCTAAGGACTAAACAGGTAATTTACTTACTCAGGAAAACTTCAAAATATTCAGAACATTATATTCATTATCGTGACCATCGACACGACAGCATTCGAATACCCTCTGCTATATGAAAACCTCGATTAAAATCGTCTGCAATAGTCGTAGCTGTTACAAATATCAGCAGCAAGCTAAACTTTGTTCCAGTCTTCAAACGTTTTTTCTTATGTGTTTTGGTCTGAATGCGTGTTTTCAGTAAACATTATGTGCGTGAATATTTGAAGTACATTAGCGTGTTTCCTGACAACCATACTTCTCTCTTGTTCTCTCAAGTACATAATCCGTTTTCAAATTAACATGACTTTATGAACCGATTATCCATTTATTCAACATCGTCTTTGTACATCCGATACATGAAAAGCTGTTGATGCATACAAATTTGTGATATATATACTAAAACGTCCTTAGAAGCATGAAAGAGGTTTACAAAAAGATAATCTTATCGCCGCGATCGCTTTAGCCTCTCTAAATCATAGTGTATGCATGTATAGCATTTTATGTTTGATTTTACAACATTTTACTACATGTAATCTTAAAAAATATAAATTATGAATTATAAGCATGTTCCCTTTGCATGTGTTGAGCGTGTTTCTCCAGGCTGGCTGATGACAAGCATGCAGGTGTTCATGTCTATTTATAGTTAGGCCTATATATGAAAGCCATAATTATAATAAAAAGGTATAATTAATTTATATTACTTAGCTAGCTAGGTCGTTCAATCATGAGCATAATAGCACAATAAAAGTGGTAAAACGATGTGACAAACTTGAAAAGGAATCGAGTTCGATATTACGTAGCAGTGACGGGATCCAGGGTGGACTGAATAAAATTAATTACACAGTGTAATTCAAATCTGAAACACATCGCAATATATTGGTTATTGTTTCTAAAGGAACACACTTGACTCAAATTAGATCTGCATGCACAAGTTTTCTTCCTCGGTTTAAGTCGACGCCATTTTCAGATTGTCACCCGTTGCATTTTGGTACATTAATATGTTACAAACAGTACATGCATGGAACAGGATAAACTGTTCAAAATTACACCACTAAAAAATATCATAAAAAAGGATTATCGTATATTTAAAAGAAAGTATCACTAAGGAAACGGTCGGCTTTCATCATAAATTTTGTTGTCGTTGCCCTGGAAAATTCTTAAACTGGTGCCCTGCTGATCAATTTTCTTTCATACATTTGGGTGTGTATTACCTTTAGGTTTGTCTCAGCTTAATTATAAGGAAAGTCGAGTGATTGTGAAGTGTAGACGTCACTGAGACCTTCGAATAGATGAAAGACTCCTTTTTTAACCGAGAGAATTGAATGAACCGCTGCACTGGTATTGAGTGCACCTCTCGAAAGGCTTTAAACGACGCCAAATTTCAGATCTTAAAAGCTGTTATATTTTGAGAGTAAATTTTGGAAGTTATAATGGAAACAAGAGAAGTTGTAATGTACAAATTGTAATCTATTCAAAAACGTTATGACGAGATAAAATATGTTTGCTTTATAGGAAACAGAAATCTTGCAAAAAATTGCATTGTGTTGCAAATCGCGTGCGGTCTGTGTGGGCTTTTTTGAAAAATCTCCATTGCTGCTGTCAGTTCTTAATAATGTAGCCGTGTGCATCTTCGGAAACTCTAGCCTTTTAAAACTGTAATATAATATAGATATACATAATTTACAGTATATATATATAAATATGCACTCTTGCGAGAAATGTCGATAAACTGTGGTCATTGACAACTGCGTATTGTTCACAAAGTAATTTCCTCATCCTGCACGCAGGAGATCTGTCTATATTATCAGTCTTTATACGTTCACGTCAAATTTGCATATAAATATGGGCATCAGACTTTTTGACTAGCACTGTTTGTATACCTAACATGCATGTTTTTTCATTTGGACTAAAGACAATAGAGCGAATTTTTCTATCATGTCTATCGTGTCTATTTTGTTGCATTTACTCGTTTTTGTGTTGATCGCACTTGTGGCAGCACACAGTATATACATCTCGTGATAATAAGAGCCAAACAAATACTCGGTTTTGTTTCCGAATATCCTTCATTTTCATTCAGTGAGAACAAACATTCATATGGTGTACTCGTGATCAGTCTGCCTAAAAAGTTCCGATATTTCGAGTGCAACTAATATTGAGGGCTGCATGTTCCTCTGCTTTTGAGAACTGAAAGAGTTAGGTATAATCATATGCAGCCTATTATTATCTTTCTACATCCTACATGCGTATGACTCATACCGATGCATAGTCAAAAGACTGTCAATTACCATGATCCCATAAATTTTTCATTACCCCTGTAACCTGAATGAATGAAAAACCACACAAGTAGATCGTTATAAGAAAGTTATAGATTAAACTCTGATGAAGTGTTGGGCCAGAAATCTCTTAACTGATATTTGCCCGACTTTAAGCTCATTTCTATTTAGCTTTTCTTGATACTTAAAAATATTGATCTCCGGGAGTCAGTTGAATAAAACTGTTAAGTACATTTTAGGCAGTTAATGATATAGTTAACTCAAAATTGGCAATTTTTAATTTCCCATCCTCTCACAAGCTATAATTAAAGCAAACTGCATTCTTATACAACCGGTCCCTGGATGTTTTCATTCTGGAAACGGAAAGAAGCCTGTTAAGCAGGTTTGGGGTTAATTCTGTTCCCTCTCTCCATATCTTGTTATAAATTCCATATAGGCCCTAGCTAAACATAAAATTCTGCTTTCAGGAGACTATTCAAACAATTCACGTTTGAAAGGCCACTTGATGGCAGTCTCTGATACCCTATATCAGCCTTAAAGTCATTGCCCATAGTTATTCACAACTTAATATTTCGTATTATAAAGTCAAATTAATGATTACTCAAAATTTTCTGTTGCTGCCTTATCCAGTTAGCCTATGTCAAAATGGTTATAAAATGTTTAAACAGCACCTGTTGTTACAAATTGTGAACCGTCTTTAATAATTACATGCATGATAATATTTAATAAATAATTACATGAATGATAATATTTAGTAAATCCGGGTGTGAATACTGTACATATAGGTTACTTTAGTTTGTTTCCATCTAATTCAGTGAGGTGGTAAACATGCAATTTTGCCGATAAGGAAAACATGCGTCATATATCTTGCACACTCTTTACACTTTATAAATTTATCAAAGAAATAAATTGATTTCATACTGACATGCACAGCTTACCTTTAGCGAAAATACTCCCAGGAACGGTGAAACACTTTTAGCTGCTGTCACATTTAACGAATTACGGAGAAGATAAACTAGAAATCTGCTGACAGCATTGATATTTATAGCATCTACGGATGAAGTTTTGTATAGTTACGAAATAAAGTATTTTGGATAAAAATGTTATGTTCCTGGCGTGGGAAGTCACCTGCAAGGCTTCCTATCTTTCAAGTATGAAACAAAAAGGCTTAGTAACTAGGCTTCAGTCCACCCAGATCTCCTGCATTCCTAAACATTGCTTAACTAAGACTCTCTTTCAGATATATGCTTTCCGCTGTTGAAAGAAATAACTGTCGCTTAGGCGCTTCAAGTATTGCCATTTTCGCATCATGCAAATATTTCTATAGAAATTCGAGTCGATCTTTCCATTACTATCCTTCATTTTATGTACAGCATGCATGCATGTATGTAGCTACAGTGTTATATGCAATACGTCTTATTGAAAATAAATGATCGATGTAACTTTTCAAATTGGCTATATGACAATATGATAATATGGATAATTATTTCTTAAGGCATTAATACATAATGCAGAATCAGACGAGGAAGAATAATTTCGCGTATCATTTATACATATATATACTCATTTCCATGAACTTTGAGAATTTCAGTGTCAAAAGTTTGATAAAAGAATCTTAATCGTGTATATACTGATATGAAAGGAAGTGTTATTATTATACAATAATATAACCTTTCACACAAATTTACTTCCACTGGTGATCACTGCTGGATATAGTTCTCATAGAAGACCTCAGACAGCTCTTATGATAGCAATATATCAATCAATATGCATTTATTATACTGCAGGAAATTAAAACTCGACGAGAAATATCAGACAGAAGACACTTGAAGACTGATAGGTCGAGCTTTTTTCGTTCTTTCTGGTTTTTCTAGCAATTTTTTGAAGGGCTATATTTTGGTCCACAAAGAAAGACTTTTTCAGTCTTATACTCCTATTATATTCTTGGCATTGAATAGATATGTGAATATCTGCCAGTTCCACTTAAATCAACCAAGAGAGAATGCACGCATACATGATTTTGAAAAAATATAAATGTAATATAAGAATATCCTGCTAGAATAATATAATCTCATAAAATTGGTAATTTGTACTACAACTGAGAATCAAGAATATAAAACAATATTGCTCATGAAGTAACTTACCATTCAAATTTTCCAACTAATCAAAAATATTCTTAAAAGAGCGTTTTTCAACCTAATTTCACATAAATATGGTATAGCTATAACGTAAACTCGAATCCTCCATGATTATTGTTTGTTGCATGAGGACGGTTGAACGTATTCAAACACTATTGTGAGTCTTCAATGGTTCAACCTGTATTATTTGTAATTTCTGTCTGATAATTTCCTGTCACAGTCTGATACAATTTCTTTGAAAATCTTTGAAATCAATATATTCATAGCTACCATAGGAGTTTCTCACAAATCTTATATTCTATCTTCAATACCTATAATTTGGTTAACTTACACTAGTCTAGCCTTTTTTGCACAATTAAGACTAAATATAAGCCCCGTATGAATGAAAATATACATCAATATTTGGACGTTTAAAGTATTTGAAAAGCTTACTTCATAAATTTAAATATTTTGGATAGCCAATCAAATTTGCTGTATCACGATACTATGTAATATCATTCAAGATGCCGAAAACTTGTTTCCGATGCGACACGACTTCTTGTGATGCATTTGCTAAGTAATGCTTTAAAAATAAGACGTCGTGTTATTTTTATGTTAAAAATATGAAAAAAAGTATTTATTCAGACAAGAAATCCTTTTTTTGATGTTTTTGTGCATTTTTTTCACCCGGTGCAATTTTTAGTACTCTGACCACAGAATACCTATCAGAAGTAGAACTCCTACTTTTTTCGTAAGTGTGATTCGTCATGATTCGTCACTTAGCAAGTGCATTTTTTTGAGGTACTCACCCCCCTCCTAATACTAAAAATGGCCTGATTTTAGACATTGGCAGGGGGTGATTACCTCAAAAAAATGCACTTGCTAAGTGACGAATCATGACGAATCACACTTACGAAAAAAATAGTATAGAGTTCATTCTTCTTATAGGTTTCTGTGCTCTGACTCTCCGAAGGTCGTCAGCATGCATTTACGGTACACCTCGTAAAAAACAACGATACCAAAATGTAAGATATTCGCGTACCTCCCCTAAGTTTGACTGAGTTATTTGTTATATATAGGCTCTTCTTAAGCCAAGGATGTTCAGTATTAATCACAAATTTCCTGCGCCAATAAACCAGCAGAACCTCGCGCGTGGTGTCCTTAAATACTTTATTGTCCGCTTCGTTCGCTTGTATCTTCATTCTTTTTGGCCCCTCTTTAAGTGCCCGCGGCAAATTGCCTCCTTCTTGGAGGATTTAATTGCGAGGATTAAAAAAGTGTAATTACTTAATTTTAACTGATGATGAAACTATCTTTTTTGTCGTTTTAAGTGTGTTTAATTGGCAAGGAAAATGATGATAATACGATGCATGAATAATATTATAATTTTTAAAGAAAGATTTTTTTATTTGTGACACCACAATGGCATTCCTAAAATGTAACTTAACCAGTCCTGATGTACATAATAAATAAGTGCAAATGCACTTTATATTTACAACTGCTTTTGGAATGTATGACTGCATAGCTTCATCATTTTTTGACGTGCCGATGTTTCTATAGAGCTCTCCTACCTTACCGACATACCATTGCTTCCAACCTTAAGTGAATTTCTCAAACACTGTGTTTACTAAATTGCTTCTCTTCTATTTATAATCACAGTAATTTACTGCCGCGTGGATGCCCACTTATTCATATGTATTTCCTTGACCCTTTCATATCGAAATCAAATTTATATATATTATATTATATATATATATATATATATATATATTATATATATATATATATATTAATATATATATATAAAAACCTTGCATATTTATACATTATCCACGTCTTATTTACGACTCTATTCTTGCCACCACCGTGCGTGCACACCCCTATTACATACCCTCATTGCCCTTTTTTTTTGTTCTTTTGAAGTTCTTAATTAGACCTCAATATACTGTTATACCTTTTCAAAGTTCTGAATTAGACCTCAATATATTGTTACTTAGCAAGACGTTACTTATTTTCAGATTTTAAGCTCGGTTGGAAGGGCAAAGTATACCGCGTGTTTACTCAAACAAGCGCCGATGCGATAGAAATACGACTACGATGATTACATCCAAGAACCACACCAGTATAGCGTATACATTCCTGACCCACTGTCACTGTGCATGGAATATGATAACAACTGGTGAACGGATATCATTGATTGGGCGCAAAGACATGAACAGTTGTTTTTATAGACCAAAGTAGATTATACCTGCCTTGATGAAATTATATTTAAAAACCCGTTTCCCATTTGTGACGTATTTCAATCAACAAGCGCACACACACGACTCACACGACCGGCCTGAAAACGAATTGGAGCCCAATAACTATAATATGGAAATAATTTCTCAACTGTTGCGCAGCCTCAAAGGTCTCCCAAAGACTATTTTGCTTACAGTTATTTACCATTGCACAGATCATCTACCCCCTCCCCCCTCTTTGTGCCCTAGATTTCTTGTGCCTTCTCTCTACCCCGACAACCTATTCCTGGGATCCACTAAAACGGGATTTTTTAACCCACACAAATATTTCACACTTTTGCAAAGTTAGAGACTAAAGTCGACCTATTCGAAAAAGAGTAAGAGGCCTGTGGCGCGAGTACACGAAAGCGAGACTAGTCGGATTTTCATTTTCGCAAACTTCAAAATCATGCTTACTTTCACCTTTCTGCTGGACATGTCGGAAGCTACAAATTTATTGCATCGCTCAAATGAAGGTAGGCCTAATAACCTACAATCAAGGCAAAAATTATATGGACAACTATAGGAGAACTAAAATATTAATATTCTTATGCAAACCTTGGCATGTTTTGAACCCCCGCAACCCCGTACAATGTTGACTTTGATAATGCACTTCACAAACCTAAACCTTAACTATTGTATTAACCTTTCAACATTGAAAAGGGGAGCGGGGGGGATCCTCTCAAAACGCTTCTCAATCCTGTCGTTGCTAATATTGCATTAAGTCAGAAACTCAGAATATTCAAACTAGCTTCGTATTGAATATATTACACGCTTAGTTCTAGCATGTGTAATTAAGGCGATGATCTCCATTACGACTGTTTCGACCGCGCTGGTAAAGCACGATTTGTTTTTCTGGCCCTTCACAGCCGCATGAGCAGACTTTCATAGGCTTTCAAGATTTTCGAATGTAATGGCAAACAGCATTTAATATATATTATAAAATGAATGAAGTTAGAGTTGTAATTCTGGGCAAGGATTTCGGACGTTATACACTTCACAAAGTTATAGTTGCATAGTCTTTAGGTATGGGTATATTCGAAATTCGCAAATTTCAATCGTAAGGAGGCAGCAAGTGACTAAAAAAATGCACTCAGTGTAAAAGTAAAATATATATATGTATTTTCCCTCAATTATTTATATCCTAAATTGTTTCGCTTTAGTTCTTTTAAAATAGTTTTAAAAAATCTACGAGTCAACTCCAAAGGCGTGGTGAACGAGACAGGCCAAAGATCAAGGGATGTAATTATGTTGATAAAAAATCAATGCCAAACTTTTTCGCCTAAATGACTCATAGAATGCGACAGTAATGCAACTTTGAGCAAGTGATAAAGGCTTTCCCAATGGTTGGTGGCCAATTTTCAAATCATAGGCCTAGATTTAGATCCCTGGAATCAGCCAAATCTGCGCATGATCAATCAGCATGACTAACCCACTAAATATTCGTGGCAATAATTTAGTTTTTTGGAACTGTGGCGAATTTACTTTTACTGACGAATTTTCATTCTCCTATTTTAGACCGATAATAGAGCATTTTCGTAAATTCTAACGTGGTGAATTACTGTAGGGTGTCACATCCTCTTACGGCCCTACCGTCGCCACGCCCCTACTTAACACAGTTTTGTCTTTTTGAGTCTGCTCAAAGATGACTCGTCGTCGTTAAATAATTATTAACGAAAAAGTAAAAAAATAATAGCAACAACAATCAGCCACATGTAAACACAAATATTATTATATACTCATGCGATGGTATAAAATACGTAGAATCATCCTGAAGTGTCTTCATAATTTTCACTAGAATTTCAAAAATATATAGGGCCACGTAGAGTGCTTCTGAATTCTGGCATCTGAACTTTGAATTTCCCTTGGATCCTGTTTGAAACCATTCCTTGCACGTGCGTGATGACGTCGACCAAATGTCTAGGATTTCGATTTCTTCTTCCTTCACTCCCGTATTCCTCACAAAGGGCCCTAGTTAATTCATCAATATACCACGAACCACATTCGGTATCTCTGTAAGCCACGTAACCAGGGGAAGTTGAGAATGCTATCAAGTGATCGGCTTGGAGCGGAAGATAACCCGAGCTTTCTACATTCGGATGTGATGGCAATCCTTCCGACGGGACAGATGGAAGCGACGATGCTGATGCATTTACGCTTGGTTCAGCTGAAACGAAATCAGTGCAAAATATTTCAAAAAGGCAGTCTGTGTAACTGTTTTGTCAACCACTATTGAGTTCATTTAGTTTTATAAACGTTATATAAGTTTGAACTTAAAATACTGTTATGGCGTATAACCACAGAGTAAACAATAGGACAGAACTGGAACTAGGCAGCGTATAGTACCCGCTATTTTAGTGCGTGTGAGCATAAAGTGACCAACAGCGCATGCTCGGCAAGTGTCTGAAACGTTCAAAATGGCTTGGATTTCTCGCTTAAACATTTTCGATTAATTGTAGCTGAATTTGAAGTGTGAATAATTCCACTCGAAATTAAGACCACTTAAAACCTCTAGAATTTACCTACATCGAGTGAACTGCGAAAATCAAAATCGATTTACCCTCACCAATTAATAAACTTGTTAAAGCCGCATTAAAACTTAATCCCCAAAAAAACGCTGCGCGAATCTTGGTTTCAAGCAACTTATCTGTTAAGGTGGTCCGCTACAAAAAAATCATGATTTATTCTGTTTTAAATATTTCAGGGGATGGGAACTTAAATGTATTCCTAAGCGATCCTGAATAATTTTTCCAAAAAAATATGCAAAGAATGCGAGAATGAAGGTGATTTAGAACATTATATATTTTTTTCTTTTATCTTGAAAAATATAAAAATCTTTTCACGACAAATTGCAAGATAAGTTGCTGTGAGTGAAAAAAGACTTGTAGGAATCTTCAATCACTATAGTTACCAAGACAAGACACACCCAAATGACCCAATGGTGGAAATACACAATTTTCGTGAACACGAGAAGAAACTAGGTTTTAACGCTAGAACCAGGATTAGTTTTATTTAGTTCTAAATATTTTTTGTCTCGGAACTGAACGCGAAATAAATAAAACTTTTCCGGTATTTTTTCATTGTTCTATCGTATTGTTTTCTATAATTTATAAATATATGCAAAACTTTTTTCGTCGCTTTTCTTATAAGCAAACAAGAATTCTCATTCCCCCTACTTTCGTGCACGATAACTTAAAAAGTAGTAAAACTAACTTCATAAAATTTTCATGGTAGACCTTAAAGATAATTGGCATGGACGTGAACCTGAATGTGTTGTATTCCGTTCAGTCTAAGTAAGATAGCAACTGTTTCTTCCAGATAGATGATAGACGTTTTATATTTATAGCTTGTAAACGCTAAATACTGCACAAGTTTTATTTATTCGAGCTTCAACTTCCAGACAAAAATATCCAGAACTATATAAAACCAATTCCGTCGTTATAGCGTTAAAACCTACAATCCTGGACAAAACAGTCAATAAAAGTATTCAAAATCTTAAAAAAATGCTTTGGTGCAACTTGAAGCAAGTGTTTCCCCCCGTTTACCCCCCAATCAATGTTGGATATCTTTTCAAGTTGCCTTTGCTTGCTAAACCTAACATTGCCAAGGGGATGGGGGGAGAATATCGCATGAAACAAGTAAGTTAATCGGAATGAAAGAAAATTGTACTTTACCAACGGTGTTATGAACAGGTTTTGTCCATGATTGTAGTCAGTTATGGTGTCTAAAAAAATTGGTCCATTTTCGACCATTGGGTGTATCTGGTCTGGGTAACTTAAGTGATTGAAGATCTTTCTTCACTTAGAGCAACTTGGATTGCAATATGGCATTAACAGATTTTCATATTTTTTTAAGTTAAAAAAAGAATTTCTGTAGTGAACGCGACCACCTCAACATCGGAGGTCCTACCGTTGTGCGCCTCTTGAATTAAATTTCCGTGTTTTGATGGCCTGATCCAAACACGGTCTTGGGCCAATCAGAACACACGTTATATACATGTTATTTTAAAAGACATTTTACCTGCCAAAGCATTCGGCTCTCGGATTCCCATACTAACTTCCTTCCCTCGGCATTTTTGAATCATGAATATTTTTGGCTTCCCGACCAGTGAAGAATTAAATTTTCTAAATGGTGACAGTAATTCATCAACAGTCACAGATTGTCCTTTAGCGCCCATAATTCCATCGCGCACATCATCAGAACTATAACCATGGGATAATATCACTATACGATACAGTCGACACCCCCGTCGATGCATATGCGCCAGTTTTTGCTTGCTAAATTACTGATGTACTGCTTCATCTCATCACATGAAAGGTTATTGAAACACTGAATATAAGAGAAACCAAGCCTTCCAAAACAGTCTGTAAGTTTTCCAACGTCTGTACCACTTCCTCGCCGATAAGCAAAATAATTTCATTGCCAGCATAGTTGTCTGGAAGGGAAACAGCATGTTTAATGTCTATTTACACGATCATTTTGTCGATACACGATCGACATACAATCATTTACTGAACATATTGCTAGCAGGATTTCCACCACTTATTTGCGTATCACTATCTTCATAGGGGGTAGCAATAACAAAAAAGAGAAACAAAAGAGAACTTTTGAAAAGAATGCATAATTATATCCTATTAACACAGATCTCCCCCCCCCCTTCCTTGTGTTTGTGAATTGCGAGGAAATTCCCTTCCATTGTGGAAACCATGATTGCTAGTTTTGTAAAGAAATTCTCATCAATATCCCATAAAATTGCAGCAATATCGCACTATTCAACAAGTTTACTGTAAAAGTGATCTTTATGCATACTTGATAAAAACAGGCCCTCTTCTTGCCATAGGATAAAATCTCACAGGACCACCATCTACGTTATCTGATAATCTGAATCGTTTTCCAGTAGAGTCAAAATCTGGCGGACCGTCCACTATATCTTTGGCGTCATTCTTCCTTTTATTTTTGCGAGAATTTCTTACTTGTTTTTCTGCCTTCGGTTTAGTCTTTTCGGTCTGTTTTTGACCTTTGCGTGGTCGCAATGTTGGAGGCATCCTAAAGAACTAAATTGTATCCATGTCAAATTCTCTTTCTTATATTGTCAGCGGCTGTCTTAAATTAAGATCAAGTGAAATGTAACGCTTCGGATTCTCCGCCTGTGACCAGCCATGCAGGCTAGAAATCAGTAATAAGGCCCTGCCAATATTGCGAAATCTCGTCATTATGAGTTAAACAGACATAATTTTGAAAATACTTATCAACGATTCGTTACTAAACATGCAACATCTTCAAAATGAAAGTTTATCGAAAGAAAATCGCCGTCAAAAACCGCCTGTGTAGCCGGGGCTACTGAGGGGAATGGGGGTCTGTGAATGGTCAATTGCCCATGCCTATTTAATAAATTATACTAGAAATACATGCATGCAGAAACCCCTCGCTTCGGTTTAAATGTGAAAAAAAGAAATTGAGAAAAGTGTGGAAATATTTTTCTGCACGTGGAAGCACTGTAGTCATAGCAACTCGCAACGGTCGTATATTTTTAAAGAATCAAAGTTTACCCTCATATTTTTGTGAAAAAAATGGCAAAAATACGACAAGATTCTTACTTTTTTCTGGAAGTTAAGTTACTCATCTATAGTCAGTGTTATTGTTAATTATTTTAATTATTAAATACCATGAAATATAACATCAGACATCTCATACAGCTTCGGAAGTTTTATGTTACGCTTCGACTGGTTTTTGCACGGGAATGGTTTGATTTTGTTTTTTTTGTCATTATGAAAACAGAGTTTATAAATGAAATTATAATGTCGTTTATCACATAACACATTCAGATTTATAGTGAAATACATTTTAGAACTTTAAAGTTGTGTTTACCACAAAATAATTACTTTTTTAAAGCTGTGTCGGATGAAATATTATCAAGTGAAAATCTTCCGACTGTATTATACACGGTGAATTCGGTCAAAAATTTGGTCTTGTTATTTGTTAAACCGTGAAAAGTCCTGACCACATTCAAGTTTCCTTCTAATTTAATTAAAAATACATATATTCTTTATTTTATGAAAACATAAAATTATAAATTTCATCAAAATTTTGCAAACTTGACAGTTCATTTATTGACATTTGAAAAAACAAATTTTTGTCTCGACCAATCAAGAGCTTAGTGGTTCACTCTGGCGCATGCGCATAACGTAGAAGACTGTCCATGGCGTGAGGTCCATTGCATAATGGCGGACAACTTTGATTTCGCATTTGCACATCGTAGGTGTAAATATCCGAGCGGAATTAGTTCCCTCGCACGGTGCTCCGCACCGGCTCGGGGATTATATAATATAACATTTACAGTACGTGCGTGCTGATTGGTCAAGAAGCGTGTCTCTATAACTGTATAGAAACACGGGAATTTTCCCGCTGAACTTGACAAGCGAAACGATGTAATCAGAATTTGTAATTGAATCGAATTATAATATTTGCATAAAATATTTTTATTGAGTTATACTATAAAAGCTAAGAAATAAAAAACATTTTTTCTTGTGTTTCTATACAGTTATAGAAACACTTGTGGGAGTTTGGGAGAACTCGAAATAACGTGGAAAAACTTGCCCTACAGGCTCGTTCTCCCACTGATTATTTCTCGTTCTCTCAAACTCCCACGCGTGTTTCTATAACTGTATAAAAACACGGAAAATGTTTTCTATTTCTTAATTAAAATATACCATTTATAGCACGTCATTGCTGATTGGTCGAGAAGCGTGCTTCTATTTATCAATTAGACAACGAGTCCGAGTTGTCTATGAGCGAATAGTCAACGAAGGCGAAGCCTGAGTTGACTATTCGCTCATAGACAACGAAGGCGAGTTGTCTAATTGTTTTAGTATACACCCTGTACCTAGATATGTTAATTTCGAATCACGAAATTAATATCTAGTAAAACATCACGTATAGACAATGGTTGAGTAGCCAATCAGATTATCAGAATGTAGGATTTGTAATAGACAATAGTCGGGTGTATACTAAAACTGTATACGTAAAAACGCCAAACTTGTCAAGCGAAGTAATGTAATGAGAATTTGTAATTGAATCGAATTAAAATAATTTTTTAAAATCTTTTGATTTGACGGAAAATGTTTTCTATTTCTTAATCATTAAATTTTGCAATAGATGAACCAGATCGAGTACACAAATATGCGCGCAGTCGACGCATATATGAGCCGCTGAAAGCCAGAAGATGGTCACAAA